GCCCTATGTAATATAGTGTTAGATATAAGATAATAAGTTAGATTTTGCTGCTGCAGATTTACAGTTATAAAACATGTTTCTTCTTATCCTTACCTGGCATAAAACTATAGAGGACATACATATTTGCCGCCAGATGCAAGGCTGAATAGTGGCTGAATGTTGACAGAACCATAGGCAAACATTTTGAACCTGAAAATAATAACAAGATAGATATTTTTTTATAATGGTCTGTCATTGCACTGCGAGCAGTATAGATATAGAGATGTCTATCTCATGATATTACAAGATAATTTAATATAATTTTTAAATTCATAACTTGTATATGTACATTTTTAATCTAGAGGCTAATCAAATCTCAAGCTGATACCATAGAATAAATAAATTTTTAGTGAAATAATATTGTCATACTCCATTACTGATGGATTTTTTTGTTTTGCAATTTAAAATTATAATCAATTTACTCACTTCCTGCAGGGTTTGAACAGAAGTACTTGACCATATAAGGTTGTAGTGCTCTAAGACGCCATGCACCAAACACCAACAAATTTGCAGCAAGAATAGGATAAAAGACCTTTTCATTGTCTTTTAATGAATTCCACCATTTTCTTACTGGTCCTGGCTCAGATTTCTGGAAGAGTTTTAGTAGTGTTATAATATTTTTATACAAAGCATTATAGATATATAATTATAGAACACATTTATTCTAGTAAACTCTTATGCACAAAAAGAAGTTTAGTGATATAATTAGAATGGCAAACAAGCTGACAGACCAGTGTACAGTGGACAAGTGGTAACCATCGCCTATATGTATGATCAGCACCATGGACATTACTTTATCATGTGGCTCCCATGATAACAGACATGTGATGCCTTTCCAGGGGACTAATTTATGCCAGCACTGGCTGCAATTTAACTTCCTTATAATCACCATTCAACTGTATCACAGCTTACAAAGTAAGGTGCTTGGCAGTTGAAATAAGAGACTGAGATACTCATGCAGCTGACTTTTTACTAAGTGTACCTTGGTAAATGTCTAGAACACTACAAGCAAGTTTAGAATCTAATGTGATTATGAGGATATACTGATTTATTAGTAATCTCTTACAAACTGTGCTATTTTCTTTTGCTGTGCATTTAACCAGGCGCTAGGCCTGCGGAGTAGAGATGATGTATGAGCTCGTAGAGTTTCATATTCCCAGATTACACACCCCACAACACTCACTGTTGATATCTAAAATAAATAAAATATATTTATTAGTAGTACCTTCTGGTAGATGCTAACTATTATTGTACAGAGATAATCAATATTAGCCTGACGTGACTACAACACTATGTTCACCAAAATGCAATCAACATTCGTGAACATAATCTTCAATAATGGATAATTAAGATATTTAGATATAAATTAAAATTATATATTCAAGAGGTTTTATAAAGTTGAGTGACAATCCTTAAACACAATAAAGTAGTAATATTGAGAAATTAAAAAAATCTTACTCCAATTGTGAACAGAAAAGGTTTTAATAACCCTTTGGCATTCAATGGCCCAGACTCAATGTGCAGTTGGGCAAGGGGGTCAGGTTCTAAACGCTGCCCACGGACACCCCGGCGCGATTTGTGGAATGAGTTGCGAAGTTGTAGACAAGCATAATTAGGTCTATGGCTCTGTTGTAGAAGTAATGATTTACTAAAACGAAATTTATTTATTATGGGTACAGCATCATACATTTATCTCTCTGTCTAACTGATCTATTAATGCACGTACTAATGATTGCAGAAGACATAAAATCTTGTATATAGGTTTTCTTAATAACGCTTAACCACTAAGGATTAATGTTTTAATGTGTAAATTTGTATACCACAGAAGACAATAAGTGGCTCGTCGGCAACAACGTGATAATGTAACTGTTATAATTGGAAATTATTTGTGGACAAGTCCCTTTTTTATAAATTTTTGGGTATTACTATTTTTAGTTGTGTAACAGTTCTATAATAAGCAGGTACTTATTTCTTGAACAATTAAGTTAAGAATAGCAGTCTACAAAAAAACCGCAATTTTTAATTACTAAGTATGCAGTTTTTGTATGCTTTAAAATATATACATAAAATATAGTATGTTACTCTTACCAACTATTCGTCAACTCCGCAGCACACCAAACTTTTGTAAAGAACATGTTAATAATTCAATTATAGGCTATAACATTGTCTTACGTATATATTTAAATAAATTATTTTGAAAATTATTTTGGATTTTTTATAAAGAATAACAAATACAAATGATTTTTTTTAAATTATTTATATTGAAATAATGTTGAAATTGAATGGAAGGATAGAATGACAAAATTAATAATCATAATGAATGACTGATTGACATTAGCTCAATCAGTCTATTGTCAATTTTCTGCAGGCAAGTAAATTTTGTTATGTTAATCACGTGTTCTTCTCCTGCCCTCTATATGATCGCTCTGAATTCATTTCCCAACTCCTTCTGATCCGTGTCCCACTTCCTACATCTATTAATTGTTTGTTACATAATAGCGATACCAATGTATATAAAATATTAGCCACATTTATTACATATAATAATTTAAAATTGTAAATATATCCATATATCTATAATATATATACATTGTAAACATCATAAACCTGACCAATCCTTTATCCTACAAAATTCCGTTCTATTCCGTAAATTTCTGTGTATATTTCCCTAACTTTGTTATTGGCTAAATGCGAAGGCAAAGCCAAAGATGGAGGAGAAAAAAAAATTTCGGATTAAGCCGAGGCTAAGGGACAAGCCATAAAAAAATGCATTAAACAGTATTCGAGTTTAATTTTAAATTATTGTTTTTCTACAGCCAGAAAGCTTCCAAGGGGCAGAGAAAGAAGATGCCTAAAAGGGCACCGCAGGAAGTTACCTACTCCAGTCTCGCAATCGGCCGCCGGTTTCTTATGGGCAACGATATTGTCTGGGGTAAAATGATCACGGTCCCTGAGGCTTAAAGAGACGACCACTACCACAGAAGAGTCAAGGAAATGGCTTTGTGCCTCCCAAGAAGAAGGCGTCCCCGCCGCTCCCGTCCACATTACGGTCCGGACCACTCCGCGGTCGTAATATTAACCATCCGTAAGGCAACGGAAATGGGACGTGACATACGCGAATATCCTTTGCGAGGCAAAAGATATGATCGATCTCCGACCCCTAACGATGACCGTACTCTTGAAGTCTCCAACACACCTAGCGATGAGAACGTTAACGCTCAAAGCGACAAATTCTGGGCCTTAATACTGGAGGACGTGGCCAAAGTTTCCAGACACACCAAAAACTTCAGAGGGTACCGCTGCGGTTGCGCGGGATGGAAAAAGCAGCAGGGGGATATTTAGGTGGGTGAAATCCGCAAAAGCAGCACTTATAGTCTGGGGTCATATTGGAACCGCGGCCCAGTAATGTCAACAAAAAGCACAACGGGCATCTCAGAGCTCAGTGCACACGAAAGAAAGACCGTAGCGGTCTCTATTATCGTTGGGGAGAAATCCGGAACAAAGTAGCTGAGTACGCTGTTGCCCCAAATTACGCAATTTGCGCGTAACTGCCCCATCTGGTCGATCACTGGAAAGGGAGCAAGATGTGCACCTCACCAAAGAGGAAGGGAGGAAGACCGTCCTCCTCACAAGCTCCAGGCCACAGGAGTGAGAATCAGGAGGGAACAGCCGATTAACGCCCCTAGAACACTACCGAGCAGCGGAAAAATGGGAACTAGTGGGTTCTCACTACGTGGGTGCTTGAGTGGACCACCGCTGTCGGAGTCGCAATGAACTATAGTTTCAATTCCGCGAATCCAACATTTGGCGCTGGACGGGTGATATATTAGAGTTTTTGAGGAGTAGGAGTCTCACAGTATCCACTTGTCTCACCCGGGACGGGCGGGTCCTCATCAGGATTTTATCAAAGTTAAAATATAGATTGAAATAATTATATCAGAATAATGTAGCGTCTCCTCTTCAATCTCAGCTAAGCAGAATTTGCGTTATGGTTACCAGATATTTTTTGTAAATACAAACATAATATTACATAGAGGCGGGAAGGAAATTGTTAGTAATGTGGACTGATGATTAGGTACATTGCTAGCAATGTACAATTATAAGTCAGGTTGACCTCCACGCGGTATCCCTTGGAAAACATTGTGACTAATTCCTGGTGAAGTTAACACAATGTGCAAACTGACCTAATCCTCCACTGGTATCCTATCATCCTCCACTGGTATCTCGCACGAGGGTGAACTATACCATTATCGTCGATTAATAAAATATACATAGAGTACCCAGACCGATAACATACAAACAATTTAACGAAACGACCGCCAGGCCGTCGTTTTGTATTTGTTAGTAACAAACGGTTTTTATTTGTATGTTTTCTGTACGCAATATTGAATTATTATGAAGAAAGTACTAGCTGTAGTTATGATGTGGTGCTGATCACGTGAATTCCGATAAAAATACCTATGTAGGTACTAATCTATCTCTGTACAAAATTTCATACAAATCCATATGGTAATTTTAATTTGTAAAACTCTGTAAAAGTAATAGGCATCCATTCATTCTTCCTTACAATCAAGCTTTCACCTTTATAATAATAAACAGCTATAAAATAAGTAGCCGAGACAAATTTCGTCTATGTGTGCTATATCGATACTATGAAGCTATATATTTTATCTAAAACCAAGATTATGGCCGTGAAAAACAAACAATAAATTAAATAAGTTACATTTATAAAAGGAGCTTTTATAGAAGATATTTACATGTACACGTATATCATACATAAAGTCTTATGTAATTCCCTGAAGCCGGTTTTAACGAATTATTGGGGTTCTTTTACTAACGAACAAACATTATTATTGTACTCTTCAACACAATAAGGGGGTTTGAGGAGCGAGGCGAGTAATGCGCATGCCCTTCAGTATTTGAGCCGGGAATTTGCGTGACCCTCATCAACTTCAGTGTACAGCTGAGAAGCCTAAGGAGACACATACCCTGTGCTTTAGATCCTTATATTAGGAACATAAAATCCTATATATTTTTGAAGTAAGTGATGTCCTAACCGTATATATATTTCTATTAAATTTGGTCTATAATTCGTATATATTTTAGTGCGACGTCGTTATTGCAAGTGCTTTCTTAGTAGATTTAAAAATAATCAATGGAGCTGACTAAATTAGAAAATAAAGTGACGCAAGCAATGTCGGATATGGTGAAAGATTTAGAAATCACTTATTGAGATAGGAAATTTTGTTTTTATAATAGTGGTCTCTTTAGCAGTAAATTTATCAAAAATGTGCAATCTCTGGAAGCGCGTCTTCACGGAATCGACCGATCGATATATTCGAGGAGACCATGTGGTAACTCTAACAGGCATGACTACTATTGTCAGTATTTTTTATAACATAACTACTATAAGTACTTTCTATGTTATATTTTATACTAAAACGGGAGTAGATACTGATAACTATATAATACACATTTTTTTTTCAGAAATGATGAAGCCAAAGTTGTCTAGACCACATTATCCTCCCGAAAGACTATGTAAAAATCGGCCGTTGTGACGTCCAGTAATTATATCTGGAATTATTATATTATTAATATATTAAATAACAAACAATTTCTTTTGGAATAGATTTATTATAGATCTTTAGATATTTGTCTACTGTTCTCCATAATTATTTTTATATGCAAGGATGAGATATTTGACTGTTTGATATTGGGAATAGGGAGCATTGTTATGGCCAGGTTTACTTAATCTAGGGTTCGTGTTAAATTTTATTTCACTTAATATATTTAGAAACAATCTGCATAGGTGCTAAAGTAAATTCTTATAGAAGTAAAACTTCAGAAACATTAAGTATGACGATGTATTTACCAATGGAACCATATAATGATGAATTGTTATGGCTAGTAGTTTGTGGGTTCGTGGTGGCTTTTGTATTGGCATTTGGAATAGGTGCCAATGATGTCGCCAACTCTTTCGGCACCAGCGTCGGGTCAAAGGTTCTGACGCTCACGCAGGCGTGTATATTGGCTACCATATTTGAGATCGCTGGAGCTGTTCTAATCGGTGAGTGTTTTTTTTTAAATTAATGTCAACGCGCAATAATAGATATATTATTTGTAAGTATACTGTTATGTTTTTTTATATGTAAGAAGTTTAAAGGTTAAAGGTCGTTAGGTTAAAAAGGTTCAGAATAGAATTCAGAAAATTTAAAAGTTACTTCAAGTTTATATATATTTTAATATTTTTGTAGAGATATGAAATATTATTATTATTTTAATTAATATAATAATCTTACTAAAACTTTATTGGGCCTGAGGCACCTTTTCTTTTGGGTATTATATATATTATACTAGTACCTACAGTGTAGGTACCTACCTACTTTTATTTTCTTATTTTTCTAAATAACTTAAAGTTTTATTAGCATTGAAGATTTTATTATACCTGTATAATATCGATGCGGATGAAGAATTGCATCAATATATGTATGTATATTTATAGGTTACAAAGTGTCGGACACAATGCGTAAGGGTATATTGGACGTGTCATTGTATGCCGCCGGAGGGGAGAAGTTGCTGGCAGCTGGTTGCTTGGCAGCTCTGATTGCTGGAGCCACGTGGCTCATCATTGCGACAGCATTACGGCTCCCTGTATCGGGCACGCACTCCGTAGTCGGAGCCACTGTTGGATTTACTCTCACTGCCAAAGGACCAGTCGGCGTGCGCTGGTCGACTCTTGGTGCTATTGGTTAGTATCTAGTTTTATTTCTTCTCATCTATACATGAGTCCTTTTATGTCTATACAAACTAATTGTTTGTGTGTGAGTAGTGAGTATTTTTGTTAAATTTTTAAAACGAAGTATTATTTATTCTAATAGGTTCAGTAGGTTCTGTACTTCAAAATCTAAAAGTTATAATGGTCATTTTGATAAAACAGACCTTACTTTTCTACTTGATACAGATCTCAATTAGAGTGGTTAATTTAATAATTTGATGGGAACGTACATATAAGCTCGTAACCAATAATAAAACGTATATCTGCTGTCATTTTATTATTATTCTCGAAATTTCTTTACAAGATCATTGGTAAATTGGAATTATCTGTATCAAAATGAGTCAACAGATTTATTTATTATTTTTTAAATAAGGAGTCATATCTTAGACTATTATCGTTTTCAGTGCTATCATGGTTCATCTCGCCAGTGTTAAGTGGGACGGCTTCTGCTATGATATACTGGTTGGTGCGCCGGTTCATTCTTCGTTCCACCCAGCCGCTTGTGTCGGGCTTGCGTGCCCTACCATTCTTTTACGGTGCCACTATAGCAGTGAACGTGCTTAGTGTTGTTCACGATGGTCCTAAATGTAAGTTATATTATTAACTTTTTAAATGTGGAAAATTTCTTAGTTCAGTCCTCTATTCACTGTTTTATAATGAAGAATATGTACCTAGGTCTAGGTCCCGTAGACCTTTCAATTGAGAATAGAATAGAATAGAATATCATTTATTCAAATAAACTTAATTTACCCACTTTTGAATAGTCATAACAATTTTTTTTATCTACCGCTCATTCGGAAAGCTGTCTCATCAAAAGAAGAACGAGCAAGAAACTTGTGTGTTGCTCTTTTAAATAATCCTTGTAAGTTTACATTTACAAGTCGAAACGTGTGATTATAAACTAACAACCAGCACTAATTTATTTGGGTCAAATAGATTCAATCAGTCGTGATACTAGCAGACCAGTCCCTACAAGCAGCACTCGTTCACGAGTATGACGGATTTTTCGTTTCGTTTGAGAATTATTCGTTTTGTCAGAAACGACTTTGAACTAGTGGAAAAAGTTAAATACCTACAACATATCTGCGGTATATTTTGTGTGAGTGTGTGTGTGTGTGTGTATGTATGTGTGTGCGTCGTCGTTAGCTTTTCGAGGTATGTATGTAGACATTGTTACAACTATACCTATATTGATTATTTTAGAGTTTAATAACAATAATAATCATATCAATATATACAGGTTGCTTACGACTATTAAAGTGAACATGAAATTTTAATGTTGATGATGATCATGCTTGAATAATTTACCTAATTTCAATATTGCAACAGAAAGTATGTCTTATTTACAGTGTTGGCGATGGATAAAATCCCTCTTTGGATCGCATTAGTCGGTTCTTTAGCATTGGGAGCCTTAGTGGCTGGAGCTGTTCGCCTTTTCCTCGTGCCACATTATCGCCAAAAACTTATTGCACCAACGGTCAACTTTACATTAGGACTATCTAATGGTAATATAATTATATACAAGACACAACGTTGGTCTCTTTTACCATACATCGAACTCCATCCAGCAACATAATCTTTTACGTATTGCGCTGATCCTGTAGCCCTCACTCTTGGAAAAATAAGGCATGGTCAACAATCGATTAATTACATTACCAGCGTCTAGTCCGCTTCCGATCCGTTTCTATACATTTGTATTTAGATTGCTAGATACAGACTGGTTAAAATAAGATAGATATTATAGATTCACTAACAGAAATATTTTTCAGCGACTTGTCAATTGAACAACTCGATGTTCCATGTTAAATAGGTATTCATATATATTTTATTTTTTTAGAAACTACACCCGCAAACACACCGACGCACACAAACAAGAACAGTGTGCCGCAACGACCTACTTCACTTTTATCTGAAGATGGGAAAATTCTAGAAGCAATAGAAGAAAGCGCCGAAATGGTAACTCTAAGTGATGCTGACAAAGCGTCTATAGGTGTTAGGGAGATGAACGCCAGGAACCGCGCACTATTAGCCACTATGGATGATTGCAGCATACTCTCGCGTAGTCTAAGCCCTCCAAACAAATCACGTTTGCAGTTGATAGATGCTGACCCACAAATTAATACATTAAAGTATATAGATGAGACATTAAGTTGTTGTAAGAGCTTAGATTCTGCTCAATTGGCTGGCATGGGGGAGAGTTACGACTCAAGGAATGGTTTCTTAGGCGATTCCTGCGACACGATAGCCCGTGGGGAGTTCGATAAATTGGCAGCTGCTAGAATACAACCGTCCACAGTGGAATTTGAGACACCACCTCCTAGACAAGATAAGGTATGACGTTATTCAACTTAATTGAATTTTTTATACAAATAGAAATTGTATACCTACTACTTAAACTAATACGTTCTACGTGTATCTATGGAGAAAACAGCTTATGTATTTCATAATAGTGTTTTAAATAATGATAAAATTGAACAACAATTATTTATTTTACGTGTATTTATGATATTGTTATTTATTTTACCTATGAACTTATTATCAAACATTTTATTATAAAAGGTATACCTATAGCTGGTACTAAATCAGTGTGTATATTTAAGAACTTACACATAAACAAACCTAAAAACAATAAAATAATAGTAGTGGTGCAATTAGTACGTGAATCTATCTATGTATATTTCACTAATTTGTTTAGTGACCTTGACGAGTCGTCACAAGCTTTATGAACATGGCGATGATTTTATCATGTTGATGCATATTCCTATGGTTACACAGTATTCATATATATATTTTATTTATAAATTACGAGAAAAACACTTCATAAGAAAGTCAAAATTTCTGCCGCCATCTGGCGTTTAATCTGTTTCTGTTCAAGGATGGCTTATGGTGTAAAATTGAATACAACTTATTTTAATACATAATATGATGTGGGTACGTTGTCCCGTTCTTTTCTGTAACAGTCAGTTATCTTCCATCAATCGGATTCTTTGTTATTTTTTTTATATGTTTCAGGGCCCAGCAGCTAGCGCATGGAGTATAGAATGCGAAGGTAGGAATACTCAGCTGCCCGCTATAACGCCGAACTCCAGCGCGGCGCCATTACTTCGACCCATGACTCCTCCACAACCGGCACCGCCTGCCCCTCCTCCCGAAACGTTGCGGCTGTTTTCTTTTCTACAAGTACTTACTGCCACATTTGGTGCTTTTGCACACGGCGGTAACGATGTTAGGTAACGATCTTTTATTTGTTAGATGTCTTTACGAACTTTGCAAGACTTAACTAAACTACTTGATTTCCATGTGAATTTTTAATCTCTATTGTATCAGGATCTTGCTTTATATACTAGAGTAGTCAAACTATATTTCATGATTTGATCAATCGATACTTATTTTGATGTCGTAATTTATTTATGATGGTATTTTTTAATTAAAAATAATTATAAACACAAAAAGTATAGATTTAAATTTGCGAAAGTGCCGACAAATCGGCACTTAATTGGGTAAATGATAATTAAAGGACTAAACGGTCGTGAATTTGAATCTGACCGCCGCCAAAAAAATTGTGTCAAGTTATATTTCTCTCCGGTGATAGAAACACCAATAACAAACCAAAATTAATCTGAGAGACGCCGTAGATTCGTCTACTGCGATGTTGGATTCAAATATACGTAGCGTTACAGCGTAATGTAAGTATGCCATGTATTGCATTCACGATGATATCAACAGTTCACAAATGCCTCTGATAGCTTTGCCTGCATTCTGAACATATTATTACATATTCACACAACGCCATTTAGTTCCAAGCTAAGTCCCCATAACACGCTGGTGTTATGGGGATAACAAGGATATATATACATGCATTTTTTTTAATTAAATACATATTGTACATAGAAAACACCCAGACCGATACAAACAATCATATGTTTGTACCGTGCGAGGAATCGAGACCACCGAGGCTTTTTATTTAATAAAACAAATACTTTATTAATAATAATAATTGTTTTTTTATCTTTAGTAATGCAATAGGCCCCCTGGTAGCTTTGTGGTTACTGTATTCGGAGGGTGGAGCACACGCCAAAGCTGAGACGCCTCTTGCCATTCTGGTGTTTGGGGGCATCGGGATTGCACTGGGTCTGTGGTTGTGGGGTCGTCGCGTCATACGCACCGTAGGCGAGGATCTTACTAGCATTACGCCTGATACGTGAGTTAATTGTTTCTGTTTATGTGTAAACACCTCTTAGTAAACAGTAATCGTCACATGTATGTATGAACGGATTACGGTTATACAAACTAATCACGTAAATCACGTTATCATGTGACATTTGTGATACCACCCATGCGTTGCCATTCCAGATGCATCGTATCATGTAATTTCACTGCCTAATCTCAACCCACAATCGGTACGCCAGTTTAAAAAGCAAGGCTCGGAGGCTAATATAAGTGATACTGAGGCAGACGATTTTTTACAGAATATGCTCAGAACCCAAAGATAATTTGTGTGTATAATGTAAAGTTCTATCTGTTAGAAATTTATTTATCGTGGAACTAATCTTGACTAAATTTTAGCGGGATATTTGATCGCTATTTATTTATAAACAAATGTAGGACTGCTTATGCACACAAATACACACATTTATAATCTCTCACACATTGTATAATATTCTTAGAAGTATAATAAATCTTTATTGCTAACTGTAAGCTGTATATATAATTAGCAATATATACGCATGTGTATATAAGTTTTTTTTTTCAAGAAATTAAAGGTATAACATTTGCGATTTAGGGCTGATTGGTTGAATATATCAACCCACTCACCCCTTTTGAGGGTGATGTTCCAAGCTTGATGAAATTAGCATTATTTCAAAATAGATATTAACCATAAAGTCCAGAATATTAACAAATCAAACTGTTATAGGAATTAAATTGTGTTTATAACTGTTTTCTTAACTTTTCTTTAGCGGATTCACAATCGAGCTGGGTGCTGCATTGACGGTGTTGGTAGCGAGTAAAGCCGGGTTGCCAGTATCTACTACGCATTGCAAAGTCGGCTCTGTGGTCTGCGTCGGGTACTTTTCGGAGAAAGCCGTCGATTGGAGTTTGTTTCGGTGCTCATATTTTTTTATTTCTTCTATAATTATTTAAAATATAATTTCGCGACTGTAATTCCAGACGTCGCCTAAATATAAAATTGTATAGTTTTTTTACACACGCATTTGCACACACAGGTGGTACTTAAAAATACACTCAAGTGTCTATACACTTACATTTCGAACTTCATGTTAAACTTATGTACTAAGTATTCCAATTACAGCGTGATGTCGATGATACAGAATATAACTAAGTTTGAACTGGTTCCGCATAAATTGCGAAAATATATTACAGTAAAATTAAATTATAACAATCTAAGATTATATAAATTATAATCTTAGATTGTTATAATTTAATTTTACTGTACAATTCTCTGATATGATTTTTGAATGTTTTCTTTACAGTAACATCATTTTCGCGTGGGTGGTGACTCTGCCTGTTGTAGCGGCCATTGCAGCTCTCTGTATGCTAGTACTTGAGGCTTTCGTCGTATAAAATGTACTTAAATATTTATTAACTTATTAAATTGAAAATATAGACTTGTCAAATAAATAGTAATTTTTCTTCGTAACATTACCTCTGAATTGTCTTAATTGTTGCTAGGCTTTTTTTATTTGGTAATTAGGTTACTAATGACCCATATTATGAATACCTAAGACTAAACTAAGATACATAAGAATTAATATTATACCACTAATAAAATTGTCTTTGTGGTCACGGCACTGACGACGGTAATCTGCAACGGCAGCGCCGATACACAACACCCTTCGGCCAGTAATCCGCTTTAATGAAGGTGGGCGTGGGTGGTCGTTTTAATGGATTATAATAAAATAGTGTATCTGTCAGCAATATGATATATCTCTAATGGGGCATCATTGCTCAGATCCAGCTAACTATAGACCCATTGCTATCACCTATTCTCGAACACTATGGAATCGATTGGCAACCGTCGACTACTACGACACTTAGAAGAGAACCAGCTGATTTCTGTTCGTCAGTATGACTTTCGCCAAAGTTGCTCAACTGGTGATCTTCTAGTATTTTTGACCCATTGATGGGCAGGTGCAGTTGCGAATAAGAGGCTCTATAACTTAGTTTGGACATTGCAAAGGCTTTTGATAGGGGTTGATACAAAGCTCTTCTTTCCAAACTAGCATATTCTGCCAAATACCATCCTTCGGATTACCTGCAATATGACGCTGATGGATGATATGTAATAAATCAGCAACATTTATTGCTATGCGGATGACACTGCCGGAGATGCCTTGTATAGCGGCCATTATTATATGTCGAGAACGTTATAGGATGCCGGAATAAACTTGAGAAATAAAAAGTTTACGGCGGCTCATCGCTAATTATACAAGGCACAGATCGGGTCGCATATGTTAATGCTAAATATCCGAAATAACGGGTAACAGCGCCTATTGATTTCAAAATCAGACACTTCAACAGGAATAGATATAACCTATGTTAATAAGACATAGGCATTTCAGAAAATAGGTTTTTACTGTTTTACTTTTAGTAATTTGCCACTCAAAGCAACTCAAAACAACACCGAGTGCCATGCTTAATTGTGCGATATTACTTTACAGATATCTTAATTAGATTATATTTTATGATATGCTTGGCATTTCACTAACAAATTATATATACGAATATTAATTTAAACAACAAATTACATTATGGAATGTCAATATATTTTAGTTCATATCTACATTTGATTTAGATGAGTAAATGACTGAAATTAAAATTTGCTTAATAATATACAATTCATTTAGGGATGGTAATCATTTATATCTTAACCTACATACCTTTTACAGTATGCAGAATTTGGATGTAAACTGTACTACATTTTTATTGATTTTATCTATCTACAAACATAAAAAGACATATTCCAATGTAAAATAAATATATTTCAAATCAAATGTATGACATTTGATCTGCTTCAAATGACAGGCTGATAAAAAATCTACTAACATTAAGCAATATTTATCGAAAATCGAATACGTAACATAAACTCCACGGCTAATAAATACACAATATGCTATACATTTACTCACTGCATGAAGACCACAACACTATTACTAGGCAAAATTAATATCGTCTAATAAAAACAGTGACAAAATATAAAATGCCATTTGTGAAGTATCTATACTATTATTCATGCAATGAGAAAATATCTAGAAAATAACAGGTTTCATGGTTTTCCGATTGTCTATCATTTACATAAAGCATTATATTGATTTTTTTCAAATTTCAATCACTACCGTTCTAGTCATTAGTACATACTATAAAACAATTATGGAAGGTAGTTGTTTTTAGAACAAAATATAAATATATAATTTATATATACTTACGAATGTAAAGAGAGTTGTTTAAGAACTTACTTATAAACTTATATAGTACACATTATTTCAAATGCAACCCTCTAGTAAAGGCTCACAGCACGAGCGTAAAGTCAAGGTGATAGTAAACAGTTCATTTTAAAATATCTATTCACAGCACTTAACCACAAATTAGTCAACGTTTCACACACAAAACGATCACAAAATCACTTTGGTGTCACATTTCACCATACATATTTTATATATTATACTATTAAAAAATTACATACTCATATGTACATTTATAATATTGTTTTTAACACATTACAACGATTCTTCAAATGCCGCCATCAAGTCACTCTGCAAGTTCATGTCAATCTGTCCGGCCATCTGGAAATAAAAACATTCAAAATTCATATTAGCGGTCTGTTGTAGTATTCGCCATTGATTTTCTTGTATATTCTAACATTGTTAAGTATGGATATGGAATATTGTATAGCGTATATTATTATTAATATTGTATTGGCTTCAAAAAGATTTTAAAGACTAATTTCTAATTATCTATAATATATTACTTCGTTTTCATTATATATATAAAAATCGTTAAAACATAAACACGCAAAAACCGTTTGTACTTGTTAAATATGAGTCCACATTAAGTTAGACAAAGTTAAGAAAAAATTCCAAATGTGTAATTTTTCAATATTATAATTTTTATATCAAATAATAAACGACACCTTACGTCTGCTTCATTCCTCGTTGCCATTCAATTACAATCAATAACTTATCATCTACAAATGAATCACGAGGTTTCAGTCCAACATGGAGTAGTCGCCTGTAAAAACAGCATTGTGTATTTGTCGGTGTTCACTCACCGCTTCCCGACGGCGCCGCTCCTGCTCCCGCTGGCGCAGTCGCTCGCGCTCGCTGGCCGCGGGCTTGTCGGGCGCGGCGGCGGCGGCGGCGGCGGCGGCGGCGGCGGCGGCGGCGGCGGGCCGCGGCCGCCGCGGCGGCGGGCGGCGACGCCCGCGCCACCGGCGACTGGCTGGGTGACGCCACTTCTGCGCTCTCTGCTTTCCGTACTCCTTGAACGGCTCTATAAAACGTTTCAAGCTTTTAAATATTGAATTGAATATTTATTTATTTAATTCAGGCTACATGGCCCATATTATAAATAGCTTCTAGACTAACATACGTATGGAATAATAATAAACTTACATTGTTCTATTAGATAGACAAAGGACAAGGCCTGTGGAAAACAGGTCCAAGTGGAATAAAGATTATTAGGACTAGTAGCAGTAAAAATTGTTAATGCTAATGTAATATATTATGGTTAGCCTGTCTTTACACGTACAATTTTTCACACGCGAATTGTCTTTCACGCAGATAAGAATGCGCATGTAATCGTAGACAAAGTGAACGATAGCAAACTCTTTCAGCTCATGCATTCAATTTTAAAAGAAAGTGAAATACGAATCATTCGTTTTCGCAAATGATTTAATTCATTTTTCATTGATTTTAATTTCCAGAGACACCTATAAGATTTATAAATTATCAATAACTCTATAATTAAGTTTTCTTCATAGTCAGATATCCGATCCTTTGCAGCAATTAATTATATTGATATAAAAAAACTTGAAAGCATTTTAATGCAAGCAAGCAGCGATTGAAAAACGCAAGAATGCGCGAACTGGCGTTGCTCGCGGATTTTCCCGTTCGCTTTGTCTCCATTTATATAATTGTACATTCTTTCCTGCGTAAAAACGTATTCGCACGTGAAAGCGCGAACGTGTAACGTTAGCTATAAAGTAATAGTATATGTTAAAAAACACAACTAAAGTAGCAGTCAGTAATATAGCATGTCTCTGAATAAATCGTAACTTTGACGACACCCTTTTGCTTCCAATGGCCACGAGGTTGATTCCTCGCATAATGCAATTTGTATTGTGTATTCCTGATTCTAATTGTTTGTATGGTATTGGGTGTTATCTATGTCTACAAAAAAAATGTTATTAAGTATTAACTGGATAGACTAGACGGCGCTGTGTGAAATGTGCAGGGTTATAATTATTCATGCCCATCCCTTTATTTAAAAAGGGTGCAAGCATTTTGTATTATTACGTCACCTCATACTTTATACAGATCTTTGTATGTAGTTTTATTTAACATAATATACTGAGTTTAGTTTAAATATATCAGTATCCATTTTACATTATTTATTAAATATTTTGAAGCTACCTTATTTTATCTTCATCGGGATGTCGCCTTTCCGTCTCTTGCCGCTGTCTTTCTCTTTCAGCTTGTTCTTTCTTTCGTAGTTCTTGCTGTTCTATGAGTGCTCTCTGACGATCCATCTTTTCTCTAGCTTGTTTTTTGAATGCCTGTAATATTTTTTACGTTGTATAGTATTTCAAACAACCTATTCTACCACTATATTTAACCTGCACAACTTACTACCACTACATTGTTAGTTCAATATCGTTAATTCAACATTAGTAACATTTTAATTTACATTACACCGCAGTTTAATTGTAACTGTCAGGTGCTGTAGAAGCTATATTTATTATACACTACACGACATTGTTGACTACAAGACAAGAAGATAGATATTAACAAAAACAAACTTAATAATTAACATAAAAATATACCTTCACCTTAAAGTTTCAAGTAAGTTGGACTATTCGCGATAAGAAAAAGACGAATATCTACTTTAGTACTTGTAGTGCTCTTGAGAGCAGACGGATACGAGGCGTGTTCGCGTCGTGTTCGTGCCGTCACTAAATACTACATGTGATCCTTTGTACTGTATTTTCAGACAAGATCAAAATCGTACATTAATTTGTAATTCTGGTTTGCCTACGTTTAGAGCATCTGCTTCTATTTCATACGTTTCTAACTTTCTCTAATAATAAAAAGTCATACTTTGGGATATTAGAAAAAATCAAATACTTACTTGAAAAGTGTCCATAACAGGTTTCTGTTTAATTTGATTATTCGTTGCTACATTCGGAATACTTTGTGGACTACCAGCTTGTGCCAAAGATGACCATGAGCTTGCATTTTTTAAATTTTGCTCCTGTTTCAATTTAAAAGCTTGAACGAAATTGGAATTTTGAGAATCCTCCATTTTCTTCTCCATCTCATATTTTGCTCTATCGGACATGTTATTTGGTACCATATTCGAAACACCCATTAGATCTTCAATAGGTTTAGGAGTAAGAAGAGGCTTTACGTCCTCTTTCTTTACAGCTGGAGTCATTAGACTCGGAGCACCAGGCATATTATGATGTGACTGCGCTATAACTGTAAGTGGAGTCGATTGTATTGGATCAAAAATTGATACAGGTGGAACTGCCGTAATGCCTGGCACTGCAGTATTTATGTCAGGCCTCATTATCTCCCTCTCATGTTGCATATTTTTTTCTACATATCCATTATGAGGCGGAACATACATCTCATTCTTAATAGATTCGGGTACATGTCCCATATCAGTCAGGCCCCCCAACTGTGCCATGAGGTTATGGTGTGCAGCGTCGGGCATCATTTGGGTTTTCGGTAGTGAAAACTCATCCTCGAGACGCATCGACGACTCCGAAACGCCTACGCTGACGTCCATAGGTACGTCGGCGTTCAAGCTTCTCTCCAAGCTAGCGAGCGAACGTTCTATAGGATCTATATAGTGCGAAGAATCTACTTTGTCGAGTCCGTTTCGAGGTTCGATTTTCAAACTGGATTTTTGTTCTTCGTTGTCTCTCGCGATGAGCATTGCGGACGAATCTGGTATATTATTGACAGTATTGGAGGCGGCGGAGGCGACGTGCGAGGGCTGTGTCGTAGGAAGTTCTAACTTTGCCTCGGCGTGGGGGGGAATGGAATCCGCTAGGTCCGGCTTGGCTTCGGGTGCGGGCGCGTGCGTGAGCGCGTCTTTGGCGGGTGCGAGGGCGGCGGAGGGCGCGGCGGCGGGGGCCACGGGGGCGGGCGGGGGCGGCGCGGGCGCGGCGGCGGGGCCGGGGCCGGGGCCGGGGGCGGCGGCGGGGGGCGCGGGGGGCGCGGGGCCCGCGGACACGCCCGCCGCCGCCGCGGGCACCGCCGGCGGCATTGGCGGCATCGGCTTCTGTGAATTGGATAAATCAGTGGTAGCTTGTATACTTGTACGATATCTTGTACTCTAAAAAATGCAATGAAAAAGCAGATATTTACGATTTGAGGTGCATGTTGATGTGCTTGTTTCTTCGGTTTCTTTTTAGGCGTTCTTCCTGAACCAGTTCCTGAAATTAATAAGAGATCGGTAATGAAATATGTACTAACAATAATATTATCACTACTATCTACGTGTACTACTACATTGATAGGACTACTATAAGCACTTTTGCAAATACTTAACTTGATGATACTGTCGTGTCATATTATCTTCTTTATAGATTTTCCCAATTTCTACTTCATTAGATTGATGTGATGTTTTTATTATATTCTATCGTAACCTATAATAAAATGAAGCCTCCATATAATATAGTGTCCGCTGATATCTGTCGATGGTTTATAGGGTGGTAATGAAATGACAAATATTCATAATTAAATGATGAAGCATAAGCAAAAAGGACATAAAAATATAGCCGTACATATTAATTAATCCCTATTATTTTATTAATTAAATAACATATTAAAATAGGTTTGCTCGATAAATACACGTAAGATGCATTGTAACGAAAATCACTTAAAAATTAAGAGGTATTGAATACTTAAATTATATTCAAAAGAACAAAATATTAAAAAGTAAGAAAATGCGATTCATGTCAAGAAATTCATAAAAGAATTACAGATAAAATATATTCACTTCAGATCTCAGGGTCGTACAAATAAAATTCATTATAAATTACTTAAAAGATTTACTTAAATTTCTGTAGTATACTGAAATATATACAATGTTTATTTCCACTCGGTCTTATTATCTAATCAATTTAAGTCATGAGTTGATTAAATAAATATTACTTAAGAATTTATTACACATGGTGTTCCTGTTTACATACATACTTGCAACATTTTCTAATTAACATTACAACTAAATTTTGCGATCAAATAACTAATGTGGTACAACATGTACACTATTTTAACAAAGTTCGATATATCCTGACAATACATATACATGGCGATGGAAGCAAAATATGATGATACTTTTGAACGTCGACAATTATAATCTCCATTAATTTATGGGCAAAATACTACAGTTATACAATATACTCATTTGTTCGTTTGCTAACCTCGTTCCCAGTCGTAAGGAACTTTAGATAAAATAATTATGTTATTAAAAGCTAACTTACAATAACATTCTCGGACAATTTGTAAAATTGTACTTGATACTAACAAAAGGGGATATTTGTAAAATTCAATTCGTCAGGAATGTAAAATTGTATATTTAATATTTCTATAATATTGACCCATAGTGGGGATTTTTATAGAATTTACAGATGACAAGAAAAAATAAAATATTTATGACGTAAATAAGATATCTATAAAACTCTGAGGCAAATTTTTGCATTATAAATAAACAAATGTAGATTAAAGTAAAATGATCAACACTTTACCGATATTGTGATGTCGTCATTAATATGTGTACAGTATGTCTGAACTAAGTACATAATGTAACTGGAAAGAGTGAGAAATTTCAATTGATTAGGCCAGTAGTTAATAATAATTAAAATACAGCACAGCTTATATGCAATAGAAATTATATCAATATTTTTTTATTTAATCTCTATATGTAAACTTGCCGATTACAAACGTACTGTTCAATAAATAATAGTTATTCACTAAATTAAAATATGCTGTACATTATTGAGAGAATTTCAGATTTTATTTTTACAACTGCATAGTATTCTTCTTTTGTTCTTGAACAAAAGAAATGTTCACGAATTAGCTATCAAATATAGTATAGGTAGACACATTTACCATTTATTATTATATATATTATGATGTCTTTCCTTGAAAACTTTACAATAAACATGTAATAAAAATAAATAGATATATAAGTCTAATTAAAACTTATTACTTGCGTATGGTCGTGGTGTCCTGTCAAATTTCGTTTATATTAAGATTCAATTACTTAGTCCTTTTTAGTATACATATTTCGGACATCTCATTAATTAGCATTATGGTCTGTTTAAAGATCTTGCAATAAATAGAAACAATTAAACATTGTATAAAATATTTTATACAATGATTTATGAAGCACCTGTAAACAATATAAGTATTGAAAAACGGGGCACCAATGAATTCCTCCCTTCTTTACATGTTCTGAGAAGGCTACAGTTCATTTTACACCATTATAACACAGTATACTTTAATTACCACATAGGTAATTCACTACTAACAATACGCATTTTAACTGCCAAAGACATACAACTAAATTTACATTTTTTTATTATAGCAGTCTATCAGTTCACATTAGAGGCTCTCACGCCCGTGACATGTTTTCAATTTATATATTAAAATTTATTCAGATGTGTAAACTTTTAAAATCTCGACATTGTTGAATAATTTTATTAAATAATTACAAGTTTGCAAACAATTGGTAAAGGAAGGAGGCCAGCTTTAGTTTCTTTTAATGTTTATGTTACAAATAATTTTGATAATACGCCACATCAACCTTGTGAGCAAGCATTGAATTGTATCAAGCATTAAACCAATAAAGTTATACCTTTTCAAAGTAATAAGCTTTTTAACTACAACATGTCACAAAATATACATCCGTTGCAACAAAAAGAGCAGAGTCCAACAAGGGGCTGATGAATTTTGCTTGCAAGATGGTATCCGACCTTACACAATTGTTTGCATTACTCGCTATGTGACTGTGCTCGGCATATCAGCTGTCTCGTGGATCCTCTTCTCTTCTTATCACTTGACGTACCGACACTACTATCTATATTCAAGTTATCAATATTGCTTCCACGTCTTAAGACGAGCTCAATCAGAAATTATATTGGGTTTAAATTTCACACTCAAAAGCAATTAGTACCATGAGATCTGAAGTTTCCAATAGTATTTTATAAAATATATCGATACTTTTAAGGATGCAAATGAAATAACACCGCATTGAGGACATGATATAGTTAAAACATATTAATATGAAAAGGTATTTTCCTATTGGTTTATAGAAGCAAACCAAAAAAAAACATATTTCTTACCGGCACCAATAACAAAATATCAGCGAACACCAAAGCTGGCTTCTCCTTCTTACTAAACTTTTCTGTGCATTTTACCGACATTTTATTGTATTTCATAGAGACTTTGCACTCTGATGGTAATTGAATCATAACTTTAGATGGTATCCCACCCCATTATCACAGTAAAGAATATACTCCAAACAACAGCCACAATTATTTCATTCATACATTTCAAGTAACACAATTAATAAGGAAGGTAAGTGCCAAAAGAAAACTGATCATCAGTTTATATCCTATTATTTGTATTCACTTCCCTTATGCAAAGAGGATAGTGTGTCTTGCACTTTAAAACTCTCACACCGCAAAGAATTTTTATGTTACTATGAGGTGAGCGGTGTTTTTCATTCATAACATTATATAAAACATTCAACTTTACTCATTCTATACATATCCCCGATTCTGCTCGCAACACCACCTACTTATTCAGTTTTAATCATAAAAGACAATTAAAATAACAATCGCTATATAAAAAGCTATAAGTTACTATCGATGTCGATATTGTGAATAGTGTACAATAAATAAAAAAATATCAAAAACGATAGGTTCCCAATCGTCAGAATTAGGACGTCACTCTGTTACAAAAATGAAAATATGACAAAGTCTATATCAATATTTCTTATAGCATATAATTTACTAGAGACACTAACAATTCAATTCTATTACCCACTGCATTCATTCCATTGCTGACATTTTCAGACTAGATAAAAGTTTATTAGACGTATTGCAGCATTGTGGTATGCTTTTTTTAATATTTTTATAAAAAAAAAAAACAAATTATACCACATTCAATCATACTATACAAATACTGGCTAAGGTAAAAAAATGTTTAACGTGTCGCTCTCAGCTATATCTAGAAACGTTATGATGATAACGTTATATCCTAAGACTAATCATATAGATCTCAAGCGTCGTGAACATATGACTAAAAGACAAAGAGTTACATTGAAAACGAACAAGAATGGCTTAATTTTGTTCGAACCCCTGTCGTCTGCAATTAACCACTATTCGCCCCTTAGTCTAACATCCATACAAAGTGAAATTTCTCTTAATTAAATGCATGTTATCTTTAAAATCTAATAGTAAAACTGCAATTTACATAATAGCTATGGTACATGGCGTTACCTCCAAGTGCTACATTTTGTTTGTTAATGAAAGTAACGAGGTTTTCGAGATTTTCCGCAATATATTCTAACCTGCTTCACTGTCACTGCTGTCTGATGAGCTAGTGTCTGTGCTTGAGGATGAGTTGGACGAGTCTGACGAACTCGACGATGAAGACATTCCACCTCCCAAACCATCCTTGCATCCTTCTGAGAACAAAAATATACAGTCATGTTAATAGAACAAACAAATGCAATGGGTTTAAAATTAACTTTACTCATATTTTATTAGTTTATCATACCAATAATATGAACATGTTAATTTGTGTAGTTTTAGATATTTTATTTAACCACACTTATACAAGTGCTAGGTTAACAAAGATAAAAATACTTTTGAGAAATGCACTTCAAGTACAACAATACAAGTCGGTTTAGATATAATTTTGAATTAAAGCAATTTAAAATTTATGTGATATATGCTGAAGTATGAACTGAATTAATCTGGGTATTTTCTATGTACTACAATATAAGTATTTACAGAAAAAATATGAAGGGCATAATAGTATAACAGTAACGCTAGTTCATAATCTGTCTATAAATCCAGAACTATATACTATAACTATTTTCGGTGCTTAAATTTTTATATTAAAAAATTAAAGTTTAAATATCAATACAATATATGAAATATCAAACCTTGCCTACTTGGGATTACTTATTTTTGGATTCATCAGTTAATATTACCGACAAACAGTACTTCCTTACACATTTTACTACAGTAAAAATTTATCATCAAGAGTAAAACATACCTTTTTTCTGTTGTTGTTTTTTATTAGTTCCTAACTGTCCAGAGACATCTTGCAATCGTTTTTCCAACTCTTGCTTTTTCTCTGCCATTTGTTCATCTTTAGATTTTCCGGACATCTTACGATCTGAAAAAATATGAGCATGTTCAGTATCTAGTCGATCTCCATGGATGGAAATCAGGGTAGCCATATCTATAAACAATAACATCTTTATTTTTATATACCATTTCATATATGTATATACAGTATAATTAGGAATGTTTTATTTTTATTGTTTCCCATATGTCGAGTCAATGTTTCAACTGCCATAATCTCGGGTAAATTGCAGAACAGCAGGTACAGGAACAAGGTAAATAAAATTTTTTCTGGGTAGATCCCGTAATTTTTTGGCAGGTGTATTTATTTTTCAATAGAAGCCCACTAGCCTGCACCATTAGCGCAGATTTAAATTACAACTATTATAGATAAATAGCTATTCATTACTAACGATTTTTTCAATTTGAATCTCACTGCTGGGCAAAGGCCTATCCATCACGCCTTGTAACCATTTTATCCGGAGCATATACCATGACATTTCTTTTAAGTGATTCAAATAGTCGACCCAACTACGTCACCTACCATTTTAATCTACCAGAACATAACTGCCCTTCGCTTGTTCCAGTACTGGACACTTAGGGTCAAGTTTATATTTCCTTATTGAATTTAGTATTGTAATGTACTAAATTCAAGCATATCAAGTACACATTATAATAGTATATTTCTACTTACGTGTCTTTTTGCGTAGACATGATGCTACATAGTTTTCTAATTCCCTTAGGGTGGATGGCTTCAAAGTTTCAAAGTCGATTTCTATCTCGTCAGGATTAGAATCCCTCAATGAAGGTTCTCTGCTTTGAATTATATGAACTACTTTGCCGAGTTTATCCCCTAAGAATAAAATAACACTAGTTTTATAAAACATTCATATCAATTAAGATCTCACACAGATAATAAATATAAAGTAATAATAGAAATATTAATGGAGAAGTACGTAGGCACTGGCCTATTACTAAAAATAACGAATTTAAATCTACTTCAGCTTCATAGCAGACAATTGAGTCAGGCAGACAATTAACATAACATTTTTAGCCATGCGCCACATTAACCTTTCTAAAATTCTTATGCCTCAAAATACATACATAATATTTAATATTTAAATGACATTATTAAGAAAATAATCACTAATTTCCTAGTTCTTAACGAAAGTAAAGTAAATTTTCAAAATATAATGAAAAACTGAAATTAAAATTACAAATAATTTTAATAAAGATTTTTCTATAGTAGTTAATTATTTTAATTGGCTTTTTTCTTTCAATTTGGTACCGATATCTAGTATCGCATTGAAAGGGCCCGCAGCGAGAGGGTCAAAATCGTGGTCGAAAAGAGGGTCCCGCGTCGGGAACACACCGGTGTAGTCAGACAGAAGAGCGTCTGTTACCTGGCAGCTTGTTGATGTCGAGCGAGAGCTGTCGCTTCTCGTCGTAGGACATAGGCTTGGCGACGTCCTCGTCCTCGGAGTCGGGGTGCGGCGGCTGGTGCGGCGCGGGCGCGGCGGTGGGCGTGGAGCTCTTCTTCTTGGCGGCGGGCGGGCCGCGCGCGGCGAGCTTGCCGGCCGCGCCGCCGCCCGCGCCGCCGCCGCCGCCGCCGCCGCCGCCGCCGCCGCCGCCGCCCGCGCCCGCGCCCGCGCCCCCTCCCGCGCCCGGCGCTCCGCCCGCGCCGCCCCGCGACCGCGCCCCCTTGCCGCGCGCGCCGCCCGCCGCTGCATACCCAGTACCCACCGCTTCATATAAACCACAACTCCAGTCAAACTACATACTCATCGTAATGACGTACGTATGTACGGGAACGAATATATCTAGGACCGATTTACATTTGTGAACTGCTTTCCTTGTAATAAAAATATTTTGTATTCAAACTTATATGGGCATGATGACTCCAAACCTATGTCGACGGATTGACACTAATATCGACTACGACACGTAATCGTGATAAAGTTTGTTGCATGAAACAAAAACATAACATTGGTTTAAATTACAGGTTTTGCACATGTAAATATGACAATAGTCACATAATGTAAACGTACATTTTGATATGCCCTTGTATTCCTTTAGTATATGCAATTTTGTGTCACGTACTTTGCACTGAACATTAAATACCCTTAAGAATTTGGCCTATATCAATTACTCTTATTGTTTGATCGGATATAACAATCTCCTTACCGCCTCTGCCTATTAATTAATAAAAATAATAATAGTATAATTTGAAATAATCATAAACACAGTAAGAAAGCAGAATGCTTAATTTATTATGTGAAAGAAATATATCTTCAAATATCTATAACGTTAAAAATATTTTAATTACATTTATGTATATTTCGTATAACTATAATATTCTTATACGAAATATACATGAAATGTAATAGTATATTAACGAATACGTTTAACAATTACGGATTATTTACAGAAAAAAAATCTATATTAGTAATTGGAAGTAATGCCTTACCTATATTCTCAGCGATATTGTTTGCTTTGGCCCCATAAGCAGCCACAGTGTTGGCCTTGGGTAGAGTGCTATTTGTGATTTGTTTCTTTTGTTTGTCTTTAATTTTCTTCTTAGCCTTTTTCTTGGTATTAGATTCTTCAACCAGTTTCCTCATTTTTTCTTGGAGAGCAAGGAGTTCTTTCTCAAGGAGCTTTACTTTATTGTTTCTCTCCTCTTCTGAGTCATCGGACTCGGAATCTGATTCGGAACCAGATTCTGAACTAGATGCAGAGCTGCCTTTATCCATATGCGGTATACCAACATGAACGGGTTCGTCTGGAATCTTGGCATACCTACAAATATTACGTGTTGTAGATAAAAAACGAAACTTAATATGTCCCATTCACGATACTCAGAGATTACAAGTTGTCAGGCAATAGATTTACAATTTGTGTATACACTTAACAGGAAATTCCAGAACATACAAAAATTTTACCAACAAAATATCAATAAGTAGCTTTTTTTGTATAAATTATAAATTGTAATCACTGAGCTGTGTAAATATTGTGTTTTTTTTTTTATATTTTAGAAGTAGTTCCTGATTTTTTAACTTTTAACAGACTGACTTACGAATTTGATGTCACAGACACATCAAATTTGTTGTCCGGAATTATTACAGTAACATTTCAAAAAACTTTGCACCAAAATGTAATGGCAACCCAAAATAATATACCATCTAGGCGCACCTGAACTCAATAATATAACAACGAATAAAAATTGGTATTGCAAACCTCCTGCCAGGTAATGTTAAATTACTCACATATATCACATAATAGACATACCTCATTTCGAATACATCCTGCAGTTTCCGTGCCATTGCAACAACATCATGGTCTGGGGGATTATATTTATAGCAATTCGTGAATATTAAACGTACATCGGCTGCAAACTCTGCAGCTGTTTTGTATGCCCTATTATCCATTTTCTGTTTAACAGTTCCAAGATCCATGGGTTTTTTAATAATGTCAAAATAATCATGTAATCCTAGTAACTCCGCATCTACAGGTTTATAAAATGGCCACGCATATCCCTGTTTAAAAATATTTTAGTTAATAAAAATGATATGGATACATGTAACATAACAATTTGTGGATAGAAAATCTTACCGAATGTTTCTTTGAAAATAATTCTTTTAATATTTCATTGCAACTCTTCAAAGCATCCGATAGCTTTTCTTTGCCCTTAGCTAGTTGTGGGGTTATTGCAGAATGATGGGAGGCACCAGCTCCGCCAACACCAGGAGACAGCCCACCCATTTTAAAGTTATCTTCCGTTGCTCGACTGGCCTGTACAATTTTAATCTCATTAACAAAAACTATTTCAGTTAACAAAATAATATAAATGATGTTTGATTTTATATGTGTTAGGCATAATTATAATATTTGACATAATTAGAAATTCTTGTAATTATTTAGTGTAAAATTTCTAAAATTAATAAGTCACCTTTTTCTGCCGACCACTTTCTCGCCTTGTAGAAATTTTCGCTGGTTTAGGTCCACTTTGCTGATCAATAGTAGGTGTTGTGTAACCACCTTCAAAAGAACTTCCCATTGGTGTAGTCGTATCGGCTTTTCTCTTCACACCTTTCTTCACCTAGGAACAATAATGAATCTTTATGGTAATTTTAATTTACAAGTATTATAAAATTACCAGGATTCAAAGTGGCTATAATTAGAAAATGTTTAAAATAACCCATGTTGGATTATGTCATATACCTTAGCTGGTTGCGTCTGAGATAAGGGGACTGTCGGTATAGCCGTAACGGGTGTCGTAGGTTGAGCAACATGGAAACTCGATGGTTGCGTAGTGACCTAAAATGAGCAAAATTTAAAGTGTAAATTAATTTATCTGATATACTACAAAGAATTCAAATCACAAATAAAGTACATATAGACAATTTACAGAACAGGTATGAAATTAACACCACTGGCTACATCATATATTAACTAGCTGCACCGCGCTACTTCGTCTTCATCACACTTTCTTGACATTTACCATTATATTTCACCCAATTTACATAAAATCTATTCAAATTATAGGCTATGTTATTCTGATGTATAAGCTATATTACTGTAAACTTCCATAAAAATCCGTTCAGTAGTCACTGCGTAAAAGAGTAACATACATCCGTCCAAACTCACAAACTTTCACATTTACAATATTAATAAGATGTCCTTCGTGGCATACTCAGTATTCCACGTGAGAAAATTTAAAAAATGTGACCAGTATAGAAGAGTAAACATACCTGCTGAGGAAGACCGGTGTGAGTGGCCGGCGGGGTGGGTGCGGGGGAGGGGATGGCCGGCGCGGCGGCTGCGTTGTTGGAGCCGAAGAGCGCGGAGTGGGGCGACGCCGCCAGCGTCTTGACGGCGGCCCGAGCGCCGCCCCCCGCGCCCGCCGCCGCCCCCGCGCCCGCTCCACCGCCCGCGCCTCCGCCCGGGGTCACCCCCGGAGCGCCACTGCCGCCCGTTCGTTTTTTAACTCCACCTTTGCCAGCCTTCGACGGGGCCTCGATTTCTTTCTCCTCTTTTTCCATCTGAGCTATCTACAATATTTAATATTTTAGTAACGATCGCTGTTCACGAACGAGGTGCGTAAATCTGTAGAGAAATGTATTACATACCCTATTCAAAAATAACTTTTCCAAAGTTTGTGCCATGATGACGACGTCCTCTCCCGGTTTATTATATACATAACAGTTGGTGAACATGGTGTTAAAGTCTTGGATGCATTCCTGTGCCGAGTAGTAGTAGTTGGACTCGAGCCGCTTCTTAATTGTACCCAGATCCATAGGTTTCTTTATGATTTTATGGTAATCCTATAAATAAAAACAAAATAAATAAACTAGGATAATGTCCAAACTGAAACATTGAGGCGCAAAACTAAATATTAAAAATATATATGACGTAAATAATTAAAGTACAGTAAAATTAATTAATCTCTATTTTCTTCAATATATATATACATATTGTGCATATTAATTTGTTTGCCAAATCTAAACATCTACATAAATAATTTTAAAAATACTTACTGGAAGGTTTAGCTTTTTCGCGTCAACAGGTTGATGAAAAGGCCACGCTAGTTTATGTTTCCATACAGCCTTCATGACGTTCTTTTGAAGGAACTGTAATTGATTCGTCACCCGCCCTTGCCGCCTTGGCGTCTCATCCGCCGAGGCGCCATTGACAGTTTCCGCCGTCGGCTTTATAAAAAATAAATTAATACTTTAGTCATATAACAAAAAACAATAAGTATTAGAATTCCAATTAAATATATTTTTTATACATTACACATACCGTACTAGTTGTAGCGAGAGGGTCAACAGCCTGCTGCATTGTGCTGGAGTCAGCAATCTACCTGCCAAAGTGACACAACTACTGTAGTAAGTTTTATAAAGCAATTTGAAAGTGTGCAAATTTATTAGGGTATACATCCAAAACTCTCACCTCAATAGTAACAAGAGGTTCATCCAATTTCTGGCTAAGAGGCATCAGCTATAACCTCTGATAACATTAAACCAATCTATCATAATAAATTTTTATTAGTGCCTTTGCACTTAGTAGTGGTCCATTCTAGTCATTAGCCAATAAACATTACTCCTGAAAGTAATAATGAAGAAAAATAAAGTAAAGTAATAAAGTTATACAGATTTGTACAATATTTGGAAAGATACTATATGACTTACCTTACATATAATTGCAGGGCTAGACTGTGTGAAACCTAACTTCCCATACAATTTGGTAGTTAACAATCTGAAAATTAAAATATTCTACCTGTATATCATGGAAATATACTTTCTTAAATTAAATGTAATCTGGTTTAGCACAACTAAATTAATTAACATTGTAAAAAAATATGAAATTTAAACAACTTTTACATTTTGATCTTATAACCGAATATAAAACAGTAAAACGAAAAAGCTTTTTCTTATGAATTGCAAAATAGAAAGAAAACAAATAAAAAACCATTTGAGACTCCAGGAAATTAACATAAATAAATACAGTAGTCTCTGATACTGGTATATACATAAATTTTTATTTATTTTTAAATTGAAGATAACATTTATTTGAGATATTCCCTTACTACACTGATTTATATGAATAGTATGAGAGTCAGGCATAATTCAACTACTTCCTTAATGATGAAACAGGTACAGCAGGAGTACAAGTGGTAAATCGAGGCCCTAATATGAACCTATGTATTGCTACTCTGTTGATATTGTCATTGTCATATCATGGAGGAGCAACCTCATCAAGGAGCCATTTTAAATTTTTTGATCGGGCCGCACATAGTAGTTAAGATTTCCTATGCAAATTTAATATTGGATGTTTTAATAATTCGCCTACTAGTGAGTAACTTGTCACAAAAAATGTTTTGGTTTATTATGTACTACCATTTTATTATAATAAATTTTATAGCAATATATCCCTGAGAGAAAGTCGAAAACATAAATTCAATTATAGAAATTCTTGGTGGGCCACATAAACATGTTTAACGAGCCGCAAGCGGAGCGCTGAACGCGTGTTACTCATCCCTGTCTATATGATATATAATTGTTACATTTATGGCAGGAATTAAAAAAATACCACACATCCTCACAATTAGTAAACATGACATTAGACTGATGTGAAGTTTTTATAAAGATTCAATGTTTTGCTAGATTATTAAGGTAATGTGTATATTGTTCTTTTATAGTAATGAAAAGAATATGTAATTCTGATTTTTTTTAATAAATAAAATAAATCTATGACGAGTTGAAAGATTTTTTGATGTTGATGAAGTTAATTTTCATGTAATTTTCTTTTATTACAGCAGATAAAGTTCTAATTAAATCGTAAGAAAATATATGCAATATATTAATAACCCATATCATTTTGATTATTTTGGTCTTTTAGTGCGTGTTTTTATTTCATTTTCACTTTTGCTTTAGCTAATATTTAAAATTGAGAGCGAGTGGATCCGTGATTGATTTGCCTAACAGATTACAATGATCACATCATTGAAATCTGACCATTTTATTTCCTGCTTAACAATGTATGTTCAATGCATTCATCGTATAAAAAATTCTAGTGATTAAGTCACAATATTTTTTATATATATGTATAAAAATAATGTGACATAATCACTAGAAATTTTAATACTAAAAATACCTTTAAAAAACTGTTTCAGATTTAATCAAGTAAATAAAGTAAATGTATTGTAGCTATTTCATATAATTTTGAATAACCCATAAAATAATGCTATTTAATATTTATTCAATATACTAGGGTTCACATAGTAATTTGCATACTAGGCGTGCCCTACTACTCATACTCGTACTCTCGCAGTTTTTACTTCCTAATGAAACCATTCAGTATACCATTTAATAATTGTAAACATAACTTCTATATCTGATTTATGTTAAAACAACAGAGGTTGAATAAACTATATGTTAACTAACTAGATTATGTTAATTAATATATTTTCTAGCTTTGGATAAAAATTACAATTAAAAACACTAATTTTTAACATAATATCAGGACTTACTTGTTTCAAATATAGAAGTTTACATATAGTTTTATAAACTCAATTTAACTTTCAACATAGAACTTTTTTCTTCCTCTAAATTTATTATAGAGATATTTCAGTAAAAGTTCTAGCAATTCTACACCTTCAAAATTGTCTGGTATAAGACGTGAACACATTGAGATTATAATTGACTATATTTTCTAAAACTTGGGAGTCTTTTAGATTTTGATATAAGTTTTTAAGGCATTGACATCACATGAATGTTAAATATACTACACTAAATAAAAAACTGAATTGAGATACTTCTCCTTTGAACTATTTAACTTTATAAAATAAATTGTATTTGGGTGTTTTATTGTCATCACTAAATATGAATATGATGGAAGGCAGTAAAACCCAGTGGAGCAACCCATTTTCCTTTTTTGTAAGACATTTACAATTGGACATTTAATGGTTAGAATCAAAAGTAGTCCTCCAGATGCAACCAGAGGGTTCTCTGTAGTGACTAGTAGAAGTAGTAGTCAGATGAATTTCAATAACTTAAATTTTTGTCTAATTTCAGTAGTATTCTTGTGACCTTTTTAAGGACTTGATGAAAAATAATGGAATAGGATTTTCATATGATAGTAATTGATCACATAGATCACCACCCAAAAAACAAAAACTTATATACATCAAATACCATGGGGATGCCCATTGTGGTTTCTGCAGGATTATCAGCCGTTGAAAAAAATGGTGTGTAAATAATCCAATAATGTACTACTTAAGAGAACTCATTTATAGAAAGTTTTCCTTCTTTTAGATTTCAGGCTTCTTTCCTGATTTCTTTATTATAGATCTATAACTCAATTAAAAACTAAACTTCTCATTAATTATATTCTTTTGTACTTAAATATGTTTTATACTAAAATTGCCTAAATTAATTCTTGAGGTTGCTTACCCCATGAGATTTTAGGGTACCTCTACAATTTTAAATTTTAAGCAATTGATAACTATGAATTAAGTCACAGAAAACTAACATAATTCACTCATTTCAATCATTTATTATTTATTTTTAATGAATAAATATTTCAAATAAATGTCCTTAGCATTGATTTGCTACCCACACTACCTACAATGTAGGCACCTTGCAAATTGTCAAAGAAAGTTAAATAAATGGCATCAGTATAAAGATTGCCCACCACAAAAATAGTAATCTTTAAATATTACTTTGATTTCTGAATTAAATTGCAATAATATGTATTTCTAAACAAACAATTCAATTGTTTTATTATATATTATAACTTATTCACATGTCATTTTTATCAATTACCATAAACAGACTTTGACTATATATGATATGGTATAAGCCACAGAGATTTACCCATAGTTTTTTAATAATTTATATCCATGATACTAAGTTAATTTCAGGTTTATAATATAAAAAAACATGTTTTTTTTTATCAAGTAGCATAAGTAATTCTTAGTCTTAGGATGAGTCTTGTCTTTAGAATAAGGTATGCCCTATATATTGTCCAATATCAATGTTTTTATTTATAGTTAATATTCCTTTAACATGCCTGACTGTTATAGCCCCATACACCAAAATAAGTTAGGTCATAAAATAATAATATGTATATGGAAAACTATAAGCATCCATAATTTCTCATGTTATGAATATAGCTCCTTAGTACTTTTTAGATATTACGCAAAATAATATACTCAACAAAAAAACCTTTAATTTAAAGTTATTTTGAAATAATATACACAAGAATAACTTCTTCCAGAGTAAAGTACCTACATTAACCTATAGTTCGTAAATGTATAAATGTTTTGCATCAGCTAAGTTCAGCTATCATAACTAACAATGTCCCCCGAGTTGTAATACTTTACAGAGTAGAACTTAAGAGGATAGGACTTCATATAAGTTACATATTATACATTTGCCTGAGATAACTTTAAAATATGACTATGGTATAAATATTCACATGGCAATAATATGTACTCTCAAGTAATGATTGTTTACTGGCATTCTTCTATTAATGACTAACTTTTAGTATTTTTTAATACTCGGTATATTTATATTAATATTATTATACGAAAATCTAGAATTCAGTTCAGAGAGAAAGTGATTGAAATCTAGAACATTCCCTGGAGTAACAAATGAGTAGCTACTTGGTACTATTTTGGAAAAGGTTGGGTAAACAATAATAAAAAGTAAGTAGATTTAAACAGTTACTATATTTTGAGAAGATAATTAACAAAACCCATTGAACTTTGATATAACTATAATAAGTATATACTAAAAGAATATGTACGACCCTGCTCTCATAACACAATATAAAAACTAAAGTGGCTGTCACATATCAACAAATAATACATATATTAAATACACTTTTAACACAACAATAACGTATTGTTTTACGAAGCCCGACAATACTCTTTTATAAGCTGGTGAAAAGAAATGGGTGAATATTACCTCTAAGGAGGCCATGAACAAATATGTTGTAATTTGGCTAAATTTCCGTAACATGCATACTCCACTAATATAAAAAATAAAGCCCTAACAAACGGGCAACAAAAATAACATAAAAATTTGAGAATATACTAATGATAAAGCTAAAAATTATGAAAAAAGACTTACGAAAAGATTATTAACGCCAATATGGCGGACGAACTAAAAATACGATGTTGAGATGTAGGAATACCTTCTTCAAAAGTGGATTTTATCGATTTGTTCTGATTTATTAAACACTCCACAAAGAACCACAATTCATAGTTAATTCATGTTTTTACAAATTCATCGTCTATAATATTGAAAATCACTGTCTTTTAGAAACAAGTATTAGCACAACACGAAGTTACAAAGACGCAGCCAAACTTCAGAAATGGCGGCCAAGCTTGATGAATGAAACAGTGACGAGCGTCTCTAGACATTTTGCACAAATTTTACTCTGGAAAGAAAAATATTACAAAATTTGCATAGCTACATGGACAAAACACATATATTTTGATTTTTAATTAATAGATGACATAGTTTTCCATCCATTAAATTGGATTTAAGTATTTGTGATTAAGTTTTTAAATAAAAAGTAAAATCGAGTTTTGCAAACTATCGTTTCAAGTGAATCCGAATAGAGATCCGATTATAAGTCGATAATATTCGGTTTATTGATTATTCTTTGGTATTTGAAACTAAATAATATAGAAAGCTAATAATCATCAGTACGTATCAAAATCAAATGAAAAAATTAGTTATTCATGTAAAGACCTTTTAGTTGCTTATGCAATCGTTTAATATTCCTTTCAGTTATGAAATAGGTAGAATAATTCGTGTCTGTCAAATAATGTTGAGGAGTATAAAAATCAATACTTGATTTCTCAATTATTTTAGTGCATATATTTTATACATGTGTACATATACTATAAATTCGCCCTATTTTTGTTCGAGTAATCACATGTTTGCGATTTTCTTGTATGAAACTATAATATATATTAACAGAATTACCAGCCTATATCTTATATTCAGCGATTAAATGTAACAAAATCCTCTTTATTTTATTCTCCTTATGATATCAATATAGATGTATCTTTAAAGATCTCCCTAATCGGCACGTACATGGATCCGGAAGTGCATTGTCGCTATGTAATAGTTAAATTCATTATATAAAAGTGCCCTATGTCAATCTAGAATATAGTAAATTTAACTGTAAGTAAAATGCAATAGACTTTTTAGTTGTATAAGGTTAATCTACTCTCATCAAACAATGAAAAGATTATAAAGTCCATCGATATTTCATTCGATTATCCTAAACAATGAGCTGGCAACACAAACCATTCCCTAATGTCACGGGTAATAGTACTACGCATAGAGTTCGTATTCTGACTCTATGATACTATACCAATTTTATATGTCAACTTAAAAAGAAAATCAATTTGGAAACTGGGACCATAGTAGGGTTACACTAATAGATAGGGATAAGTCTGATGGAAGATTGAAGAAAAGAGGGACTAAACTTAAAATTGTAATCTAACATACAAATAAAATTGTAGTGTCTATTTGTAATATGGAAATAACAGTTTTTTACTACATGCATATGAATATAAATACGTCACATACACTAAAATAACATTTTTTACAATTTTTATCTGACTTTCTGTTTGTTCCTGCTAATCTCTGAAATGGCTGGACCTATTTTGACGGAACTTTTATTGGCAGGTACCTGATGTTATTTCATTAGCCACCTGCCAACAAGTGTTCTTATTAGGAATAACTTAGGTTACTTTTTTTTTAGAAAATAAAGTTAAATTCCACGCGGACGAAGTCGCGGGTACAGCTAGCATTGAATATAGTATGCAAGTGATAAAAATAGCATAGTATATGGAGGCGATACCGATGACATAAAAATTTTTTTTTGTTTCATTAATTATTTGGCGGAAATTTTTTTAATAATGTATGTAGTTTGAATGTTTGTTTCTGTTAAAAAATGATAGATTAGAAAATTATCCAATAGTGTATCTATAGAACTCAAAGACGTACATAAATTCATCGTATATTATGTAAGCGGATAAATATCCTACATGAATAAATGATTATTGATTCGATTGAATATCGATACCAGAATAGGTGACGATAATTTAGAAAAATACTTGCGAATGTAGTATAAATTTAAAATTATTTCTTTATACAAAATGTTCACCAATTCTTTATATATTGGCAATCAATCAATCAATAGTGTTCACTTGCGACAAATTTTCTTTGAAATTAATAAGGTTTTTTCTTAAATTAGCATTGTGACACATACATATTTTTTAAACAGTGTTGTTGATATTAATTTCAGAAGCTTTACTCCTTGCTAGTTACTTACTTTATGAAATTAATCATGATAGATAGGACACATAGACAATGTCGCATCTTTTGATTTAAAATAGTCTGTGACTATTTAAGTTATCTGTGTTTCTGATCATCTGTGATTTGACACGAAATATAAAAATATTCTGTGTTATACAAGTGTTTTTTATTTGTTGAAATATTATTTTATTATGGTTATCTAAATAGTTTCTAAATTTATTTTAATGTTTTCTAATATACTATTTTTAATTATTCGATTACGCTATACTTGATACCACCATCATATACGGTAAGCGATACTCAAATTAAATTTTATATTATATAAACGCTATTATTAAACATACTTCGCTGCATGTAATATAATCAGACTTACCAATTTTGCTTTAAACATTTAATTACACCCATTTGCATACCTCAATATTAAAATGCATAAAAAATGCCAAACTCCATATTCAACATCTACATTAGGAAGTATAAAGGACCCATATTTTTTGGGTATTTCATGGAAATTTATAAGATGAGAATTTATCGATGTTCTCTCTCATCTATCATTCTGTAACAAACAATATTATTCTGACATTACATTGTCTTGTAAATTAACCAAATTTTAAACACATCCATGTGCATATGATACATTTATATGTATCATATGCACATTTTTCATACATTACCATATACTAATTATTTAGTATATGGTATTTATGCCGAAAAACAAGATTTTACTGTTATGTGTAAAATTCAGTCATTATTTTCTTTAATTTATTGCAATACAAAACTCATCAGTGATCTAAATTTTTTATTAGAAAAGTTGCATGAATCAACATATTTTGTCCTATTGAAATTGTAGGTATATAACAATTATTGTATCCAAATGTGTTAACTATAGGACTGAAATAAATTGAGATCCCTCAAAGGATACTATAACAACATTAATTAAGTGATTTGTGATTTGTGTAAGAATTTCATTATATTTTGTCAATGGACTGACAAAATATAATTAAATTCTTATGGCTTTGTCAGTATACCTATTTATTTGTTATTGCACTACATTTCCGAAACCTCTAATGTTATGAAATATTCTATTGGACATTTATTTTTCTTCACTCATAGGCTTCTTCCAATAAACATAAAAGATTACTGTCCAATGTTACCCTTCTCAACAAATCATATCATGATCTGTCCCTCTTTTCTTCTTCTTTCTCAGCAACTAAAATGTATTACAAAATTTTAGCATTGATAGATGATGATACTGTTTCCAACATTAGTCATCTTAATTGTAGTTAATTTTTTTTTTCGGGTGTTACAAACCTATCCTTTTTTTTATACTATGATGGTGGCAATCAAGATGATGAGTGAGACTGTTGGGGCATTTGATATGGCACTATAAACTAATGAATATTGTATATTTATAATTGTAATGCCAATATTATTGGAGGAAATTAGAAGGGAAAATCCAAGACACAGATAACATTATTGATCTAGCTGATCAAGGAAAATTATTATATTTTTGCCTTATTGACATTTAAAGTGAATGATAAAACATTGTGGGATACAGCAAGAGCTTAAAGGCTCTTAAATTGTGAATAAAAGTTCCAAAACATTATATTATCTTAGAAAGGGCTTTAACAACTTGTACTTCGATAATATATTGCTTTTAAGAATACCCATATATTTATCTATACATATAAATAAAATTGGAGTGTCTGTTTGTAATATTGAAATAACAGTTTTTTACTACATGCATATGAATATAAATATGGTACATACACCAAAAAACAACTTTTTACAATTTTTGTCAGTCTGTCTGTTGGTCTGTTTGTAGAACAAACAGACAGCTAATCTCTGAAATGGCTGGACTGATTTTAACAGGACTTTTTTTGGCAGGTAACTGATGTAATAAGGAGTAACTCAGGCTACTTTTATTTTAGAAAAATAAAGTTAAATTCCATGCGGATGAAGTCGCGGGAACAGCTAGTAAAAAATAAAATACTGAGCAACTTGGCTTCTAGTGCCTGTCTGTTACTAGACTTAACTGACAATTTTCAAATAATATAACTTTCAGTTTCAATTTAAACAAATTCAAATATTGTTTTTCATGTATGCCTCTTAATGACAAGCATAGTTTTAAAATATTTTACGGATATTTAGAATTGTACAATAATAATAATACATTAGATTAATTACTTAATCGAGATATTTACCATGATAACGAAAGCTACACAATCTGATAAAAGCTATTTGGATGATATAGATAAGGAAAAAATATTGCCATGATAAATCGATCGGAATGTTTATTTATATAATAATAATAATGTATTAGTAGACCCCGTTTTGCTGTGGCTAAGGTTCTTAAATAAAATAATATTGCGACTATAAATTGAGATGTAAGCTATACTATCTTTCAAGTTGCATCAAATTGCATACATTGTGCAAATCAAATTAGCAATTGGTCCAGTATTTTAGCAGCCCATCCCAGATAAACAACGAGATACGTAATTTTTATGTATAAAGATACTATAATAGGTACAGTGATAAGTAAGTCTAAGTCGTCAATTCGGAATTTAAATTGTGCCCAGAAGTAACAAGAAACTGTGGTCCCAAGAGAAATACACCTACATCTGTTAGTCGATAATAAAAACGATTATGTGGTATATATTATGTAGTTTCAAAAATAGCACATGGGTTGCCGGGCCAATTTCTAGGTCTACGCTCATAACAAATAAATATATATAGTGTCATAAGAAATTACTTTAGACATCATTATCGCGTGTAGGCGATAATGATGTCTAAAGTAATTTCTTACATTTAATTTCTAACACATAATTCGCTGTGTAAAGAGCCATTAAATTTGAAAAAAATACGTTTTCGACTAAAGGTTATTGACATTTAAATGTCATATATTACAAATGCAATAAAGCGAAATATTTCGTCTCAAAACTATGACTTCGACGTTTTTATTGATTTATAACTAGTTCGTGTTACGTTACACTAGTAAATGCTACTGATACTTAGGGGTGTTAATGTATATTCACAAAGATTATCAAGCAATAAGTCAAACAATGGATATATTTTTTTAATTTCTTTATATTTATGCGTACATTTTTATATGCAGATATACAAATAACAACAGTCCCTGCTTTGAAACCCATATTTATTACGTTTTTTTTATAACTCATATATAATCTTATTAGTTCTATGTTTTTTCAATTCTTCGTATTATGATCTTTCGACTTATACTTGATTTTGATAAATCACAATTTACAATTTACATTAAATTATGATAATAAATTAATAACAACAACAAAAGATGTAGTTAATATTTTTGAAGATTTTTTTGCTAATATTCCGATTGATATTACATCTTCTCTGGACTCATCTCAATCTCGAGCAAAAAAATTACTAGAGACTAATATCGGTTGTTGTTCTTTAAGATTTAAATTTTCACATCTTAGCTCCTTTCATATCATAAAAATATTCAAACAGCTAAATTTAAAAAATACGGAAGACCTTTGGGGCATGTCTGTAAAAGTAGTTAGTTCTTTCATAGATATTGTTGCTCCATATCTAGCCACTATTTTTAATAAATGTATTGATAATGGCGTTTTTCCACATTTAATGAAATTTAGCAAATTAATCCCACTATTTAAATCAGGAGATAAATTTGAGCCAGGGAACTATAGACCTATATTTAGTTTGTCAGTTCTAAGTAAGGTGTTTGAAAAGATAATGTTAAATCAAATGTTACAACACTTCAGGGTTAACGGACTGCTTCACAGTCAGCAATATGGTTTCACCGCCGGCAAGTCTACCACTGACGCAGGTGTTGCGCTAATGACACATATTTTCGAATCTTGGGAGAAGTCACAGGATGCTCTCTCAGTTTTTCTGTGACCTATCAAAGGCATTTGATTGTGTGGATCATAAAACGCTTTTGTACAATATGCTCGAACATTATGGTATAAGAGATAATGATCTAAAATTAATGAGAACTTATTTAGAGGATAGGGTCTAAACTGTAGATATTGACGGTGTAAAATCTAAGAGAGCTAATATTAAGATGGGCGTTCCACAAGGGTCAATCTTAGGCCCCTTTCTCTTTTTAATCTACATAAATGACCTTCCCTTTATGGTAGAGAAAATTGCAGATATAGTGCTGTTTGCGGATGATACTTCGTTAGTGTTTAAAATTGGACGTCAAAGTAATCAATTAGACGATGTAAATTGTGCTATGTCTGCAATATTAAATTGGTTTACATGTAACAACCTATTATTAAATTCCAGCAAAACAAAGTGTATAAAATTTACACTTCCTAATGTAAGACTAATAAATACACAGTTATTGCTTAATGACGAAATAGTAAATTTTGTTAATGATACAGTTTTTTTAGGTATAACAGTGGACTCGAAATTACAATGGGGGCCCCATATTTCAAAATTGGCCAGTAGACTCAGTTCTGCTGCATATGCAATTAGAAGAATTAGGCAATTAACAGACGTGGCGACGGCTAAACTTGTATATTTTAGTTATTTCCATAGCATAATGTCTTATGGCATACTGCTGTGGGGTAAAGCAAGAATACCGATATAAATACTATATTTGTTTTACAAAAGAGAGCCATACGTTCTATTTATGGTATGGGTTCAAGAGAGTCATTACGTCAGTGCTTTAAAGACTCAAATATCCTCACAGTTACTTCACAATACATTTATGAAAATATTATGTATACACGGAAGAACTTAGAGAGTTTTAAAAAAATAAGACTGTACAAGTAGAAACTTACGCAATATAAATAAGCTTATTTTACCTAAATGCCGTCTGCACAAAATCAGTAATTCATTCTATGGTAATTGCATAAGATTTTATAATAAACTGCCAGAATCTGCATTAAATCTGACAGAGAGGCAATTCAAATCTTATATTAAACAATTTTTATGTAAGAAAGCCTATTACAGGATAGACGAATTCATAGATGACAACATATCAAGTAAATAATTAGTTTATTAGCATACAACGTTATAATTTTATTTTCTCATTGCTTTCTTGATTTTAGAAATATGAAACCGTAGTGGTTTTTGTATTGATTGCCGCATGCATTCTTATGTAAAATGTGAATACTATAACTATCAGATGGCAATTGTAAGTAGCTTTGACGTAGTCTAGTGTTTTGAGTAGTCATGCTCACTAAAATGTCCAGACTTGTGGTGGCGTGGTGGGCCGGGTCATTGGGCTCCCTAAAATATGGTCGAGCGCAGTGATGGCTGGCTCATCCGTCATACTCGTGAACGGGTGCTGCTTGTAGGGACTGGTCTGCTCTAATCACTATGACTGATATCCTCTTATTAATTGTTTAACCAGTTGGTTATATATTCAATATTTTTTCTTTTTGAGTATTTAATTGAATTAGTGCTAATTGGTGGTTTGTATTCACACACTTAAACTTAAAAATGTAAAGTAATAATAAAATTATTTAAAAGAGCAACACGCAAGTTTCTTGCTCGTTCTTCTTGTGATGAGACAGCTTTCCGAACGAGTCAAACAATGGATAGATTAAAAATTTAAATTTAATGACTATTCAAAAGTGCTTCAATGTAAGTTTATTTGAATAAATGATTTTCTATTCTATTCTATTCTATTCTATTCACAAATGAGGGACGATTAAAAAAAGTTGTTAAAGTGTATAATCTGTTAACCGGACTTGACCCGGCAACCCAAATGAGAATTTTTAAATCTACATAGATATTAGCTTACATATGAACGTACGTTATCATTATCGAATAACAGATCTCTCGTAGGACGTATCCCTTACTACTTACACGTTTTCTTTCCAAATAAGATTGTATATAATTATAATACCTAATTCAAATTCTACATATAGATAATGAAGACACTTAATGCGAGATTCACATGATATGAAATAGTGGTTTCCGATTCTTCGTGCACGTGTACATTTGAGATGCTACCATCCTTTACCATCCTTTATCCATCCACGTTCAGTAAGTAAAACATGACTTAGAAGAATCCTAACTGGGAGACTGACTCCACACTATACTTATTACAAAGTAGATAATAAAGATAAAACTAGATTCTAGTTATAGGATACAATTATTTTTTGTCGTAGAAGAAAGAAATAGAATATGAAGAAGATGATATTCCTATGACAATCTATATGAATATCCAGTACCAATGAAGTCAGATTTTGTCTAAATCAAGAGAATCCTACTCCTATTAATGTGTAGGGCTATTTATTATACGTATTTGAATAACTTATGTCATACTTATAGTACTAATTTACATATAAAGGTATCAAAAACCTGTTCACATTGTTTACACGCGTCCGAGTTGCACTTTACTGGTTTATTCTTTTTTTAAATCAATTTATATTAAAATAAACGGATTATAATCATTACTAAAATAAACCTTATTAGACAATTGCAGTATCCGCGTTTTTAAACGCTTTTACATTATATAATGCATTTGATAAATGTGAACTCTCTTTACTTTTTCGACACGGAGCCGGAGCTTTGCTACCTTTCTAAAGTTATATGTACTAGGTAGTTAAAGTTTTGCATTGACATTGCTACGACAGAGTGATAGTAGTTGCAAAATAACCATCGGAGATTGGAATTCAGTTCAGTACAAAATAGTGCAAGTAATTCTACTCAGTTCGTAAGTTTGGATGGTGCGGTGTCGTTGTGTTGTACGCAAGCTCGCACGTACTATAAACATATAATAATATTACTGCTGTTACAATTGCAACCATTATTATCACGAATAGGTACGTAATGATTATTTCTACATATAAAGAGTATAAAGTGTAATGGTAAGCTTTGATCCGTTCCATTTAATGTTTCATATTTCATATCACAACAATATATCTACAGTAACTTTATGTGTATGTGGCATTTCATTTCACAAACCATGCTCAAACGGCCGATTAATTAACGTATAACTAATTGACTTGTAACTTTTGTATTGTGATTATATTTAAGTTAAGCACGATTTATACTAAAATAGTTTAAATGACATAAATTTTTGTGACAAGTAGTTTGTTATTAGCTTTATTTTTTTTTTAATAAAAGGTGTCTTTTATTATGATTGAGGTAAAAAATATCAATATAATAAATATGGACTACCATATAGTAATTCTATTTAATAATTTCTATTCCCCCTCTGGCGTCCGTCAGGGATGTATTATAGCGCCATTTTTAGTCAACGTTAAACAGTGTTAGGCGTATAAATATGTCAACCCGAATGCCAGGTGGTATACTTACATACATATATGAAATGCATACATTGTTAAACCGGAATCGTTTATCTCTGTATTTCCCAAAGGTTGACTGGGAAAGAGCATTAAATCCACCTTTTGTACCATATTTTATTAATAAATAAAGTAAATAAATAAATATACATAGAACTGAACCACTTCTATCAAGAAATAATGAAATGAGCAAAACAAATATTTTTTTTTAAATTTCAGTTATCCACATCGATTCTTTAGGAAAATTGCTGAATTTTGAATACATAAATTAAGCTATTTTATATAGTTAGGTCCTATACCTCCTAAGCTGATGACTTTTTTTTATTTGAAATTTCAGTCTCTCAGACCCTTATAAAGAAAGTTAAATTTGCAGTATGTTTGAATGTAAGCATCTACTATTATTCCAAATTCATAATTTGCAAGATTGGGTCGTTTTGGGAATGGGAAGCAGTAGCTCAGTGTAGGTACTTGTGTTTGGTCGTGCAAGTCAATGTTTATTAAACAATTCTTCAGTATACGTATGAGAGTATAATTAGAGTTTAAATTTTCTATCATTCGGACAACTGCAATCATAAGTATTTTAAAATATATTTCCCTGGGTAGGTGTTTTTCGATAGAAATTCGTCGAGACTTCACTGTATCGATTTTGCTAGCTGTAGGTAGGTATATACCTAGGAATTTGGTGTTGAAATCTATTATATTCGTTTATGTATTGTTTATACTTTTTTTGTATGGATGACAACGCAGGCTTCTGACGATTATGAAGTCAGGTCTGTTAGCCCATCGTGGCGAATTAAACAGGAATTTTATAGGCCGAGCTAACCTCTCGTTCTTCAACAAAGAAACGAAAGGTAAAGAAGACCTTCCGTATTCCCGGGGCGATATCCCTACAGTTACCGCGTCTGGGTCTTGTATGGTATTATTTTTGTTCTCAAAAAAAATATTAATTGTTATAGGAATATACAATATGGATCGCACACATATGGACCACTCGAATATGCATATGGACCACAAAATGAACCACGGTGACGACCATATGGGGCATCACCTTATGAATCTTACACATTCGAATACTGTGAGTTAATGTTTTATTATATTTAAATATTTTTTACGCCATACTAATGCCAATTTTTTTATTAGTAAAAATATAACCATCTTCAAGATATAGTTTAGGACAATAAAAAGAATCATCAATATTGACAAGCATGGTAGAAAGAAAGGAGAATGGAGTAACGAGAACATGTTATAATATTTTTCAGAATTTATATAATGACAGTGCAGATATAAGTCCTATGTCCCACCACCAGTCTGATGTCGTCAGTCAAAGTAGCCACGAAAACCATGGAAGTGTCTCACATTCTATGATGTCTATGACAGTAAGTTTATATTTTTATCTATTCAGGAACGGCGACACGTAAGGATTTCAATTAGAATATAATTTGTACTGTTTGTGACCATAGGCGACATACCTAAGAAAGTAGATTTACCTGATAGAAACATCAAGGTGAGCACTTAGCTTGCTTATCGTTCCAGACAAGACAATATTAACATTGTGTCCTAGTGTACACTAGAACACAATGTACACATGACAATCTTAAGGTATACTAGTTTATTAAAGTAGCGCCATTCTTGCAAATATTTTTTTATACGTTAATTTTTAAGGATATTGGGATGACTGCGTTATATGTTACTGAATATTTAACGTGATTTTGTCCTTCTGATAATTTGAAGCTGTTCAAGCGCGTCCAAATCATGATATCCTTTTTATAAAAATATGAAATTATGTAAATCTAAATACCAAATCCTTAATAATGGTTTGGTATTTAGATTTACATACTACAGACATGCAGATAACGGTAATTATTATGTATTATATTATTTAAAATGTATGAAAAATTTTAGTTCCATGGCGGTTATATCGAAACTATTCTATTCTCGTGGTGGAATGTTGAGGAGGTAGGAGAATTTGTTGGATCCTTTTTTGCAATATTTATCATGGCGTTGCTATACGAAGGGTAAGTTTTCAATTATTTCCAATGTCGTTATTATTGAAACTTTCTTTTATACGTACATAATACTTGCTTACCTAGAAAACACGTTTTTTTTTCAAATAGTCATCCGAATAGAAATATCTTGGCGAAATGGAACCTGCTACCATCAGTAAGTGGTTCGTGTCCAGTCGTCTCTGAAAGACATTTACCTAATGTATTTTGAAGCCTGTTAAAAGTATCGGCCGTATACAAGTCAAGCCACAATGAACCATGTCGATAGTTGATACAACATATGCTATTTTTAACTAGGTGCTACTAGTTCCTTCCAATCAAAGGCTAATTGACAGACGTTACATCATTATGACGAATTACTATATGATGTTCACGTTGACTAGTTTTTTAAATTCTTATAGTAGAAGCGTTCTTCCAAGCGCCCTAAAAATCTTTATATATTATAGTTTTACCGGAATGCTCAACCGCCTCATTTTATCTCGCAAAGGCGATGCAAACCTATTTTATAAAAGTAAATATTGATCATTTACAGAAATCGACTGATTAACCTAAAAATTACTGTTTAATTTCTTTCACATGATACATCACTAATGTTTAAGTTCAGTTTAGTTTAGATACTTATATGTCATTAGACGATAAGTCTTGCAGAGTTTAGACTATTATCCCCTATTGTTTTATAATAATAACAAATATATAAAAATGGCATTGTTTCGCTACGCCAATAGTAAGTCTAACCTGCCGTATTTTATGTTTCACATGAATAATATTAATAATCTACTTATGTTTTCAGACTCAAGTATTATAGAAAACATTTGCTATGGAAAAGTTATACAGGATTACAGTATTGTGCAGTATCACCCCCAGATAAGGGAGTAGCAAATATATGTGCTGCTGACGAACCACAAGTAATACAGTTGAGTAAACAGTATATTTATTTATTTATCTACTGACTATTTATTATGTTAAGGGTACCTTGAAGAGAGAATAAATAGTACAATTTTGCATTATAATAACTTATTATGACTAGATAACAAACGTATTACTCAGACAAATACAATATTGTGATGTAGGTATTATGTTCCACTGTCAATATCATAGCCAAGGATGTGAAATTTAATGTTTAAGTTGTACTTTAAAGGACTAATATTTTCATTATAATAGCCAATAATGTACTAAATCATAGACATACTTCCTATAACACACATTTTTGTGAATAATAATAAAATAATGAGTGACCCTACTTCACTAGTAACGTACTTTGGCGGTGAACCAAAGAATGATAAACAGATTAGGATGAGATCAGAGGACTTAACCCATCCAATCATACAAAATAAATATATATATATATATATTGTATTTTTATTATATATTTGATTTGTGTTCTAGAAAATTCATCTCTTACTAACATTTATCATTGCGTTTTTATTACTTTCTGCCAAATACTAACAATATCTTATTTTATTTTAAGGCCTATGCCGCATGTACTGGAGAGAAATGTGTAAGTACCTATACATTCATAATTTCAAAATTCACACTAATAATTAATAAAATATGAACAGAAAATCAGACCACTCTGTTTCTGGAGGGAGTTTTAAGGATTTCTTACAGAGAGTTCATACACACTTACACTAGACTATTCTTAGTGTATATTTTATTCCTCAAATTAACAGTAATAACCGTTTATATAATATTCTTTATTGCACTTAATACATTTTTTAAATATACTAATTAGAACTAATGCATTGCTTAGATGTCTGTGAATGGGATGTTTATTTATTTATTTATTTAAAACTTTATTTTAATTTATTTAAAACTGATTTTGCACAATAGGCGAGCTTAATGCTAATAGCATTCTCTACCAGCAAAACTTAGGGAGTGCAGAGATACTCGAAGGCGGTTTAGTTTTAATAAATTAAATGTGATGTTGTCCTAATCTTTAACTTAAGGGAAAATATATATTTTAATACTGTAACAACTTATAAAATGATCTAATTTGCTTTTGATTAAAATTACAGACCTACTATGCTGAGTAAGGCACACGCGTGGCAGACTGTACTCCATGGCATACAAGTTTTAGTCAGCTACATGCTGATGTTAGTGTTCATGACATACAACACTTGGTTATGTGCAGCTGTAGTGCTTGGTTCGGCGACTGGATATTTCTTTTTTGGTTGGCGTGAGTCAGTAGTAGTAGATTTTACAGAACACTGTCACTGATATAGGCCTATCATTAGAAATCGAACTAATAATCAAAAGATAAACCTTGCTCAAAATGGGTTACAAATGTTACGGTGTTAATATTATCATGTTATAAGTGAACAGCGGTTATTTAAGTACTTCCAGGCAGATATGTTTATACCAGTTATATACTTGTTAGGATAATATACATATTTAAGTTAACAATAAAGCTTTAAAGCATAAACATGTATTTATTTCTCAAACTCGACTAATAATAATAACTGTAGTCTCCTTTATTTTTTTATAAGAATGTGCCTATTAAATAATATATTTTTACATTTAGTCATACACAACAGTTATAACTAAAAGAAACAATCCTTAAAAAAAAAAGATGTCATTTTGGTCATGGGGAAATGGTGCACTACACAACCTAATCAAATTATTTAATGTAAACCCAATAAAGAGTAATCAGGATGAATCAATTACAATATTGGCTAATGCATTTATTCAAACCATTATAATGCTGTTGGCCTTTATAAAGTCATTAAACAAAAAATAGGATGAGAGTGCAGAAAGCACCAGCTGATTAGTACTAATTAATCAGGTATTAAATCCCAATGTCTATGGCGACAATGTTTCTTTAAATTGGAACTGCTATTACATTTATAGTTGCAATAGGTGCAGCTATAAGGTCTCTCTGATGTATGAATTCTTTTATGAACTTTTAATGAATTAACAAAGTTAGATCTAAACGAACACTGGTCACACAAGTAAGGTTTTTCTGATGTATGTATCCGTTTATGTTTTATAAGATTTGAAGACAGCTTGCAAATGTATGAACACTCAGGATAATCACAGGCAAATTGTTTGTCACAATATGTCTTTATGATTTTCTTATGTTCTTTTTCATTACTGCTGAAAATAAAAGAATACAATTTTGTAAACATTTGTCATCCTTATATAATCATAGGATAGGCAAGAAAAAGATCCAATGTCCTATATCCCCATTAAACAAAATAGATATAAAAGAGTATAGATATTACCATGCTATAAGTGTTCCAAACCTTAAAGTTACTAATACATGCCTTAGCCAGTATGATGACAGATTTTATTACAACTTCTATTATTTATTGAAAGTTAAAAATGATTTAGATAAACATGGTATTTATTATATAAATTCTTTAAATCATAATCTAAATTATGGATACATAAGTTTATAGTAACATACCTGTAAGGGCATATTTCATCAATTCCATTGTTTGCATGTATATTATCTGTTGTTATAGGCAATTTACTTTCAGGATCTTTCTGATCTAATTCTAAACAACTATGCTTCCTTTTTTTAATGTTTGAACTCTGTTTGGGAATTATTTGTTTACCACCATAGGCCTCTGAGAATTCACTTTTACATCCAATATTAACAAAATCAATAGTATTGCTTTCATCTTGCTTCATTTTTTTCAGTAATTGCGATACTATAGATTTAGGTTGTGGACCAAACTTTATTATCTTTTGATTTGTTGGTCTTCCACTTGAATTAAAATATTCAGCTTTTGATGCGGTAATAGTTTTGATATTTAAGTGCATTAAATGTTTCTCATCCATGATTTGTATTGTAATTTACTAGAAGTATTATAATTATCTTATACTTAATACTATTTTATCACAGCATTTAATGCTAATATATATCACATCTAAGAAAACAGGTCTGAAGTTACCTAGAATATATTGAAGTTTACATTATTTTTATTTTTTTTTGTTTTATTAAAATTATAACTAAAGGCAATAACAAGACTACTCATCAACCTGTAACAAATACAGAAAAATAAATATTATGTGATAGTTAAACTATCTAAACTGAATAAATATCATATCACTTTGCCTTAGGAACCATTGGGAGTATACATTTCATCACTTATTCAATCTTACTTTAAGCCTAATAAGGCTTTGCAAAACTTATTTTTATATACCTGATTAGTAAATTGATACAAATGCCTTATAGAATCAATGGACTTTTATCAATGTAGTTTTAAAATTTAATTTAATAGAAAATGTTTAGTATACAGAAAATAAATAATAATTTAACTATTTGTCTAATCAGACGAGCGTTTTGAGTCGTTTGTAAACATTTATTACTTCAAAGTTTAGAGAATTTCTAATCACCATATACTTATTTCTTTTTCAAGATATGTCTTCCTAGAGAATAGACTCACTATATACGATATACTCCTCGTTAATGTATACTGCAAGTCAACTGTAGATTAAAGAGGATATTCCAAAAATCCACATACAATGCTTCCCATTAAGGAAATACTTAACTTAATGCTGAATATATTACAAACCTAAATGATTATGACTACACTATTTAATAACTTTTTCAAGTTATTTATGGAATATTAGACTCAAATAACCTATAGTCATGTAATTAAAAAAACAATTTTAGAATTCAAAACAATACAAATAGCCGCAGCTAGCTAGAATCACATCACAGATGAAAAGGTTTTATTTTATTTAACTTGCTTTTGGTATATTTACTTTAGTCTCTGGTTTTAACCTAGCCGACTACCACATACGCCTACTGCACAGTGTAGCCTTATTACTGTTAAGTATTCTCCCAAACCTTAAAAGTTACCTATATTTCATTTTTAACTCGACGGGTTGAACGTCTTATGAACATCTAACAATCTCTCAACCCAATTTAATTTTTTTCTCTCATGCATGGAAAAAACCCCACAATATGGTACTATTGTTTCCCTCATGGGCCCAGAAAAACTTGTATCGAAAGTCTTAAAACTATAAAAAAAGTATTCGTCAGTGAGTGAAAAACACAAACACCAATATCGTGAAAATTCAATAAAAAAGATTTTTTTAACGTTTGTCAGCTTGTCGCTGCCTTTTCGTCATACTGCCAATCTTTGTATCATTCAAACTGTCAAATGTGTAATTCTTAGAGATTGCTAACTCGTAATAAACATGACTCGATAACTCGAATGAAATTCAAGTAACTCGAGTTACATGGAATTAACAGAACTTTTTTTAAATTTTGTAAATTTCGAACAATTCTAATGCTTTTGGCCGCAGTTAGCCTGAGTAGAAATGGCACTTTAAACCCGAGGAAGGACTTATTGAACGCATAATCATTTTAATGATAACATAACCGAATGAATATGCAAAAAAAAATTGTAACAACTTAAAATAAATATTGAAACATTTGTGACGAGTGTAAATTCTACGATATGAAATGAAAATTTCGTGTTATTGTCTGTTCGATGAGAGAATCATCAGCTCTCGCTCTTTCATTTACCAATTGAATTCTTCCAATTCTAGTTAACTCCGATTCAGCGCATCTCGAGTTAGTAACTCGAGTTGACACATCTCTAGTAATTGTGTGTTTGCATTGAAATAGTTTTGAATTGTCCATTTCATTTATAAAATAAATTTTGTTTTACTTGTTATGAAATGTCACAAACCGAAATATCATGTGGTTTAGATTACATTACTACCCCAGACTTGCAATCATGTCTCACAGAAGCGCTTCATTGCAATTATTCATTCATTGTTTCACCTATAGTTCATCCACGTTTTCGTAGACAACATGTTATGAATGTCGGCAAAACCGGCGGATTTACACGATCGGATATGGTTTTGTCACCTCAAGACTGGACTACTAGACTGGTTGGGAAGCTTTCATCCTATCTAAATGTTGATTCAGCTTCGCCTATTGTTCGTCAACGGCATGAAGATTGTTTAAATGAAGAGCTATCGTATTGCCGGGGTCTGGGTGTACCGGCTATAATGCTAACTTTACATGGACGGGAGACTAATAACTTAGCAAGAATACTACAAACCTATTATGAAACAAGGTTTAGTATACATGTATTAAATATTTAATGTTTCAATTATTGTAATACAACCTGGTCTATTTCTAGTAGTAATAGTTATTGCTTTCACATAAAATAATCATCACCAAAATTGATTTGGTCTGTTAAATGATAACTGTAGTTAATTATCTAGAATTCTGGATAATTTAAATTTGGATGCACCATTACAGCCTAGCTTAAATCTTAAGTCAGTAGAAGTTTCGGTTCAAATTTTTCAAAACTAAAATATTGTAATATGTATATACATAATTCAGGTACATATTTAATGTATCATGTACAATTGTATATTAAACACTTACTTATATTACTTGTATGTATATACTTATGTATGTTACATATGTTTTAGCCATCACATTTCACTTATCTGGGCACGGGTGCCAATGGTATGTAATAAACTTTTACGAAACCATGTTGATGAAAATGAGGAAAATGAAGAGTCATGGAATGAAACTTGGTTTTGGTGGTCTAAGTTTCATGAAAGATTGGAATGGGACAAACGTGTTGGTGTTGTACTAGAGCTGTCTGCTGATCTGCCATCAGAAGATTTGTTGAAGAGATGGCTTGGGGAACCAGTAAAAGCCATTATTGTACCTACTTCTATATTCCACAATAACAAAAAAGGGTATGATGGTCAGTTAATACACAAACAACAAGCATATAACAGTAATCATCTTAGAGGTTTACAGTTCTAAAACTCAATATTGTAATATTTAAGTATATTTTTTTTTTGTTTTTTTACAAATGTGGTGTATATTTTAAGATTTGTATTGATATTGTTTGTAAGACATAAATATGCAGTATTTTTCTTGATTATACATATTTGGCATGATTTAATATTATAATTGTTTATATTTAAAAATCATAATTCCATGGGTCTCTTAGACTGTCAATGGTGATATGTTTTTTCTTATTACTCAAAAAATGGTTATAAAATGTATAGCATGGCACAATAATTATTTATTATTATTAATTACATTTAGTGATATGCATGCAGTACTGAGAAATGCACTTAAAAGAATTTTACTATTATTTTGCACTATAAATATTCTGTGATTGTAAAGTACCAAATATAAGTTCCTTTATAATAATAGTTTAATCAGATATATATAATAATTATTTTTAAAAATTAAAATAAATTGAAATAGAAATTAATGTTTTGTTCAGCTATCCTGTATTATCACGGGCACACCAGCAGTTGGTGGTAAATATGGTGGAACATGAAGCACAAGTTATAGTAAGTGGTGCTAGAAGATCTAACATAGAATTCTACTTGCAGTATTTATATAGATTATGGAAGAGACGCCCCAACCCTGCTGATGATCCTATGTTGAGTTATGCTAGAGGGTAAGATTTTTAGTGCTTGTACTTTTTTTAAATACTTATTAATAATGGGTTATAACCCAGGACAATTCACACAGTGCCATCTAGACCCAACCTAAGCAGAGCTTGTGTTATCAGTACATATATAAATTTGTTTTAGAAATAATTTAATGTTATTCATTAAATAATTTCATAATTGAGAGTATTGTTTGCAGTAAAAAATTCATCAGCTGTAATATAATAGACTTCTATGGCCAATCTTATTTGCCCAACCTGTTATTTAAATTTATATGTTTTTGCTTTTTATATTTATTATATATTTACTTAATATCATAAGCTTGTATTTGTAAAATAATTGTTCTTTTTAAAGGTGGGAAGATTACCTCCAAACTCCATTACAGCCACTTGCGGATAATCTAGATACACATACATACAATGTATTTGAGAAGGATCCTGTTAAGTATGACCAGTACCAAAAAGCTATAGCACTAGCTTTAATTGATCTCCAAAAAAATAATATAAAGGTAATTAACTTAAATAAGTAATTGATATTACCATATTTACAAATCATACCAAAAAAAGAAAATAATATATCTATTTTCCAGACAACTAATAAAGATACATCCATATTAGAGGTTATGACAGAAAAAAAGGAAATAGCTCAAGGAGATAGTAGCAGTGACACAAATAAGGTTTTCACTGTTATGGTATTGGGTGCGGGCAGAGGACCATTAGTACGTGCTACATTAAATGCAGCTGATATTACAAATAGTAAAGTGAAGGTACGAAACTGTAGTTAAAATATTTAGATAATTTATTTATTTCAATTACAATTGTTAATAAAGTATACATTTTATGTATAGGTGATAGCAGTGGAAAAGAATCCTTGCGCCGTAGTGGTGTTGGCAGCTCAAGTACGCGAGGTGTGGCGGGATCGTGATGTTGTTGTTGTACCAGGCGACATGAGACAATTAAACCTGACGCCGAAGGCAGATATTATTGTTTCTGAATTACTAGGTGAGAATTTAAACAAAATATTAACTTCGTGGTTCTGTTCTATAGTATATCCTGTGAATTACATGCTACTACTACACAGTGATAGTCAAATATATATAATAGACTAAAAAATAAAATTAAACAATACATTCTTAATATATATGTAAAATACATTTGAAATAATTGATTCATTGAAAAATTTCGAAACATAATTAATGCCACACTAGTACTTATTTTATAATTAAAAATTATCATTATTTTATAGGATCTTGGGGTGATAATGAGCTCTCGCCAGAATGTTTAGATGGCGCTGCTGGTCTACTTAAACCTGGTGGCATATCAATACCGTGTCAATACAAGTCCCATCTTGCACCAATTTCATCTCCACGATTATGGGCAGCGGCAAAGGCAGCTACAACTGGTACTGTCACATCAAAAGACAAGAATCTCGAAACACTGTGGGTAGTTTATATGCAGAATAAGCATGATATAGCCGAGACAAAGGTAAGTTAAAAAAATAGTATTTTTCTATAAGTGCTATTATCGTCGTCGATCTCTTATTGTATTAATGTACTAATAAAGGCTATAAAGAACAGTACAGAGGGTGGCCTCACTCCACCCTCTGAGTTATAGAATGTTTGGTCTCCTTCATTACTTTTAAATTTTATTATAAGCAGCAAGTATATTAGTTTTTATTTGAGACAAATAAAGATGATTCTTATTATATGTATTATACAACTATTTCTATTTCCTTTATATCTAAATAATTTATATGCATAATCCATATCAAATAATTCTTAAATTTTTATTAAATTACAGGAAGTTTTTAATTTTGAACATCCAGTGAAGGGTGTAAGGGACCATAATGGACAAGAAATGTCTGATTATAGGGGATTGCCACTAACAGATAACAGAAGATCAGCTACTATATCTTGGGATGTTAGGCAAGACAATGTCATGCATGGGTTTGGTGGTTATTTCGATTGTTTATTGTATGGCAATGAAAGTATAAGCATAGTACCATCTACACATAGTCCAGGGATGATTTCTTGGTTTCCAATTTTTATACCAATCAAGGTAATTATTTTAATTGAACCATTACTTTAATTTCCAACTACCTGCAGTGGTACATAAAGAACATAACATAGTTATGTTCTTTATGTAACCACTATATTCTATAAAGTGTATATAGTAACCGTGACATTACCATGAGATGATCAAAACTAAAATTAACCACCATTTGCTACCATTTTATATATATATATATATATATATATACATATACATATATACATATACATATACGATGACCTCGGTGGTCTAGCGGTCTAGCACACCGCTTTACGTCCGATGGTGGCGGGTTCGATTCTTCGCACGGCAGAAACATTTGTATTCATGAGTATGATTGTTTGTATCGGTCTGGGTGTTTTCTATGTACAATATGTATGTATTTACGAAAAAAAATTATCTATGTACTTGTATCAGTTATCTAGTACCCATAACGCAAGCTTCAGCTAGCTTAACTTGGGACTAGATGGCGCTGTGTGAATCGAATGTGTTATCCTTATGTGTCCACGATGTGAACTATCCTTATTTATTATTGTTACAGACACCATTACGGGTGGAAAAAGGACAGGTGATAACAGCAACTTTTTGGCGTTGCGTAGATTCCCGAAGAGTGTGGTACGAATGGATAGTAGAAGTTGGCAATCGGACAACGGTACTGCATAATTCCAATGGACGAAGTTCAGAAATGTTGTTATGATTCAAATTAAATATAAACTTGGAAATGTCGTAATTCATTATACACCCCAATTAAGATAATTAATTAAATAAATATTAAGGTTAATACTATAGTAATAATTTTTAGAAATAGTTAAAAGTAAGTAATATTTTGTTATGTACAACACAATCGTTTAAGTTTTGAAAAGTTTATTATATAGTTAATACTGAATAAACATGTTCTACGCGTTGTCCGATTGTTGTCTGATCACTATGTAATATAATTTTCAAATTAAACATATTGTTTCATTTATACATCTTTATTTAACAGTCAACAGTAATTGGTCTTACATACCTTAAAGACTAGATACATTGACATTTATTTAGGATGACATTGTTCACTGTATGGAAAACTATGGCATAATAAGCACATGAAGGCGTCTCGTTTGACAGTTGTCTTAAAAAAATGTTTACTTCATTGAACTTAATGGTATTTATTTATTTATAAAATCAGCTTTTGTTAAAAAAACATAACCATAATTTAATTATAAGATATGACACCTGTGACATAATATCGCCCTACAACTCGACAAAAACACTATACATTACTATGTTATAGTGCAACATATGTAGGCGTACATAGGCGCCTATGTATCTATATTGCTTTTACATAGAACTCTATCTAGACACGCGGTAGCGTGTCAAAGCCGAGTTTCAAGTAAACTGGCAAGCAGCACCGTGTGTATATTTACACGAACCATTTGGAGCCACTTTTGACCCCATCATAACTCAAAAACTCTTTCACACAAACCTGTCAAATTTGGTTCATATATTGAGACTTGCGAGATAAATATGTGTTCCAAATTTCATAAACATATCTCAAACGGTTATTTAGATATTAATGTCCAAAAATCGTCATTTTTATCACTGATCAACTATAGATTAAAATTATAACCCACTTCCAGATGACCTAGGAAGTTCAAATTTGGCATGCAGATAGGTAATTAGGTGAATATAAAGGAAAAAATCTGAAACTGGTAAATTGTTATCATTTTACTACAATTTTTCACTTTAATTCATTCTATTTCAACTTATACTGGACGAATACTAAAATTCTATGAAAACGTCGATAGCCACCAATTGACATTGATCCCTGGCGAAATATCTCATCTTGTACTGGACGGAAACTAATATTGTATGAAAACGTCGATCATTACCAATTTACGTTTACCCCTTCACATCAGTGTCGATAACTAGCAAACTTCAAATATTGCATTGAATAAAATAAATTGCTATAATTTAGATTCTGTCTAAAATATACTCGTACTTATAACTAGGAGTATAGTCGAATTTCGTATTTATTATGTTATTAACTGAGATTTGGTATTAATTATTGTTTCAATATTTAGCGCACATCGATAGTGTAAAATCATTATTTTTATAAATAATTATTAAATAATAGGCATTTCGGTATAGGGCGCCGCGGCGTTTTGTGGGAGCGGTGCGATAAAACTCAATGTTTTGTTTCTCGATATCTAACCTATAAGGTTGCGATTTATGCTACGAAATTCATAGCTTTCTTAAATTATATATTTGTGGTTATATTATTATTACATTACTTTAGTAAATACGTATGGTATAGACAATAGTTTAAACCAAAAATTAATAACAATTTTAGTATAGTTATAAGTAGTTATTATAGTTAACTCGAGAATGAGAACTCATTGGTAACAAATTGTTTTCTTGAGAATTCAATAGATAACAGTCAATTTGTTACATAATCGTCTTTACGAACTATAACGTGTCAATACGAAGTTTCAGATATGAAATAATGTATATGTTGAAAGAGAACAATTCGGTATTTGCTTAATATATGCTATTACTATCCACAAATCACAAGGCCTTAGTTTTGGCAGTTAGTTTCTCAACATAGGCTCTTCTATATTTAATAAAGGGCAGGTTTACGTTGGACTCTCCAGAGTTAAAACCTTAGATGGAGTACGTCTTAACAATTTAGATCCAAGTCGCGAGAGCTCTATTGTAGAGTACAACCATCTGTGGACGTTATACCGCCCGATTTGCCCAAAAATTCCTGATACTGAATTGGCATTGCACTTGAACATTTAAAAGTTACAAGAAAATATAGAAAATAACACAAAAAAAAGACAATTATACCACGTAAATATACGAAAATACAGTAATTTATCAAAAATAATTTGGTATTAAATTAGTTATAAATAAGTACCTCGTATAATTTATGTACAAAAAGTAATGATATCCCATCAAAAACATAAATGTGAAATGATAGCCGAGTTTAATATTATGATATATACCTTGATTGTTGACTTCTACGACAAAAGAGATGAGATGGGGTGCCAAGTTCAATGGTCTGTCCTGAAATGTATTTATAACAATATAAAATATCATTTCTTCTTATAACTTAGGATAATATACTGTAGCCTAAGGTCTAACTTGGCTAGTTTTCATATACGAAATATACTGTAACCTTTGCAAGTTCTAAACATGTTACTTGTCGGTTCCTATTTTAATATTAGTAGTAACTAGCAATCGAAAGTAATAATTGGTATATGAGAACTGGCCAAGTTAGAACTTAGGCTATAGTATATTATCCTAAGTTATAAGAAGAAATGATATTTTATATTGTTATAAATACATTTCAGGACAGACCATTGAACTTGGCACCCATTTAGATCTCATCTCTTTTGTCGTAGAAGTCAACAATCAAGGTATATATCATAATATTAAACTCGGCTATCATTTCACATTTATGTTTTTGATGGGATTCTAATATCCTTACTAATATTATAAATGCGAAAGTAACTCTGTCTGTCTGTCTGTCTCGCTTTCAAGCCAAAACGACTGAACAGATTTAAATGAAATTTGGTACATATATAGTCTAGATCCTGAGACAGGACATAGGCTACTTTTTAATGCGAAAAAGGGTTGTAAGGGGCTGAAATTGGGGATGAAAGATTGTATGGAAGAATCGTCATTTTTGAAGCTAGAAGCTTGAAACTTATTTGTGAGGCTACTAATTAAATATAAATAGATATGACATACAAAGTTTTTAAAAATTTTACCCTTAGGGGAGTTAAATAAAATAGGGGATAATTTTTTTTTATGTAAATTCATCGTTGTTGAAGATAGCAGCTTAAAACTTATTTTTGGGGCTGTTGATTAAATATAAATAAATATGGAATTCTAAGTTTGTAATAATTTTACCCTTAGGCGGGTAAAATAAATTAGGGGATGAAAGATTTAATGTAAATTCGTCTTTTTTGAAGCTAGAAACTGATTTTTGAGGCCTTTGATTAAATATAAATAAATAGGCCATCAAAGTTTGTAAAAATGTTACCCTTAAGGGTGTAAAATAAAATAGGGGATGAAAGTTTTTATGTAAATTCGTCATTTTTGAAGCTATAAGCTTGAAACTTATTTTTGAGGCTGTTGTTTAAATATAAATAAATAGGCCATCAAAGTTTGTAAAAATGTTACCCTTAAATGGGTAAAATAAGATAGTGGATTAAAGTTTTTATGTAAATTCGTTATTTTTGAAGCTAGAAGCATGAAACTTATTTTTGAGGCTGTTGATTAAATATAAATGAATATGACAGCCAAATTTTTGTAAAAAGTTATCCTTAAGGGGAAAAATGAAATAGGGGATGAAAGTTTTTATGTAAATTCGTCATTATTGAAGTTAGAATGATGAAACTTTTTTCATTGGCTATTTGAGTTAGTTTATTAAATACCTTACTAATATTCTAACTGTGAAAGTAACTCTGTCTATCTATCTGTCTCACTTACAGGCCACAACTACTGAACAGATTTGAGTGAAATTTGGTACACAATTAGTCTAGATTCTGAGGAAGCACATAGGATACTTTTGAATGCGGAAAAAGGGTTGTAAGTTGAAATGGTAGATGCAAGGTTGTATAAAGGCACCCGCAACCGTCAACTTCGGCATCGAACATGGAGGGTTGGTCGACGGTCGTGAGACGCGGGAAGAGGAAAGGCGCTGGCGCAGGCCAGGCAGCTCCCGCCAAGACGCAGCCAGCGAAGGGGCCACGCGGCGGCCAAACAGAGGAACCCCAGAGGTCCAATCGGAGGAGAAAGGTAAAAGTACGCCCCCCTCGGTCATCGACAGTGGTCTTGACCATGACGCCGGGAGCCGAGGAGATGGGCGTCACCTACAGGTCGGTGCTCACCGAGGCGAAGGCCAAAATATCTTTGGCGACGGTCGGTATCACCGACCTGAGGTTCAGAGTCGGATGGACCGGGGCCCGTATCCTTGAGATTCCTGGCACCAATACAGGCGAGGCAGCGGACGCGATGGATGGATCGATGGATCAGGTGGGCATCGACTCCATTGACTGATCATTGCGGGTAAAAATCACCAAACTATGACAGTATAAATTATGAATGATGAGGATGGATAATTTTTAAGTGGAAGACAAAAATTTGCGGACTATTCTACAAGTGTTTAATATTACAGCTTTTTGGAGAAGGATGAAAGTAAGTGGGTGAAGTTGTAATATCTTGAGGCTATTCTTATTATTATTATTATTTCCACCGTTTCACAATATAAATATCGGTTGTTATATCACATGTTCACACAATTGAATTTTTACACATTGTTTACTGGGCTGTTTAAAAATTTTCTAACTATTGAACACGTATCCAATATAGTGGATTTCTGTAGTTCAATGTAGCTAAATTTCCTTATTATATATTATATATATATATATATATGTTTTTGGGATCACTCCAGTGGATGATAAAATAATAGGGATAATTACAACGGAAGTTTGGTGCCACATGTCTTTAATTTCTTCTGACAGAGGTAAGTATTTTTGTATTTTCTCGTTGTGTTTTTGTTTCAGGTTTTCAGTATTTGGGATGGATATATCTAAGAGGTAAGTTGTTTTTAGATTCTTATATCAGGTCTATTAGAAATTATTGATTTGTCGGTGATAATATCACGGTTCCAGTACAGCTTAGTGTCTTCATTTTCAAGAACTGCGGTAGGTGTATATTTATAATATGGTGTTTTGGTTGTTATAAGTTTGTTTTTGAGTGCAAGTTCCTGATGAATTAATTTTGCAACGTTGTCATGCCTCTGTACGTACACTTTATTAGCCAATACGGGACAACCTCCTGTTATATGATTTATTGTTTCTGACCAATTATTACATAATCTACATTTATCACTCTGAGCAGTATTATCTTTAATTATATATTTTGCATCTTACGTGTGTTTATTATCTATATTGTATAGCGATCATGAAACCTTCTGTCTCTGGGTATATATTTCCTCGTGTGAGCATGTATTCGATGCATCCTTATCAATATGGGGTTGATCTAGCTGACAGGGATATTTTCCATGGAGTTGTTTCCTTTTCCAGTTTTCTATTTTCTGTTCTGGTGTTATGATTTTATCTAAGGGTTTAAACTGATCGTTATTAAGTTGTAGAGCAGTTCCAGATGTCGACATAGATATGATTGCCTTATGCAACTTACTGGTGTTGGAATGTTGTTGGAAGTATGTACGTAGATTTTCAACTTGGGAGTAATGTAAATTTTTGATGTCTATAATCCCTCGGCCACCCATTTTTCGGTTTAATGTAAAACGTTCGACCGAAGAGTGTATATGATGTTGGTTATGTTTACGTGATACAGATCTTGTAACTGTGTTAATAGCATCAAGATCCGTATCTGTTCAATTAATTATACCAAATGAATAGGTAAGTACTGGTATTGCATAAGTATTTATGGCCTTTGTTTTATTTCTGGCTGAGAGAAGAGTTCTAAATATTTCGCAGAGACGTTGCTTATATTTCAATATTAAATCAGATTTTACTTGTGTGTGATCTATAGTAGTATGTTGTACATAGCCCAGATATTTATACGTCTTTTTATAATTCATACTGTCTATTATTTCCTGTAGTGACTGTACATACATGTGGTTGTGTCTGTTTATAGTGTCCTTTAACAATTGAATTTATTTTGCATTTTTCAGTACCAAACCTCATTTTAATATCCGTACTAAATAATTCTGTTAATTTGAGAAGATAATCTAATTGTTGTCTATTGGTTGCATATAGTTTTATGTCATCCATATATAATAAATGCGTCATTTTAGTTTTTATTTCCCGGCTTATAGTATATCCATATCCTGTGTTATTTAATATCCTAGATAAGGGATTTATTGCGAGGAAACAAAACCAGAGTGGGCTCAACGAGTCACCCTTAAAAATACCTCGAGCTATTTTAATTGGAGTAGATTTAACACACACAGCAATTTTTTGTAGCTATTTGCAAAATGGTGTTCCATGTGGTCATTGTATATTTCAAAAATTTATTATTTGGTCATCAATTTTGTATAATTTTAATATGTATATAAGCCAGGAATGTGGGACACTATCATAGGCCTTCTGGTAATCAATATAAGCGTAGTGTAGATTTCTATGTTTTTGTTATACTTGAAAATGGATGTCGGTGTCAATTATCAGTTGTTCTTTACAGCCTCTTGAACCTTTACAGGAACCCTTCTGTTCCTCGTGTATAATATTGTTGTGTGTTATATGCCGTCCTATTTTATGTGCGATAATAGATGTTAACAATTTATAGATCGTAGCTAAACATGTAATTGGTCTGTATTTCGACGGATTTAAATGATCTGTATCTTTCGGTTTAAGATATGTTATTTATTAATGAGAAACAATGGTGTATTTTCCGGTTCTTTAATTAATCTATCGAATATATTAGCAAGAGTTTGGTGTGTAGATGGTAAGTATTTATATACCAATAATTATGTACTTTATCTGGGCCTGGTGCTTTCCAGTTTAAGGTTCTGTCAATAGCAAGTTTAACATCTTCCAGATTAATCGTAACATTAGGCATTGGTTCCAAGCCTCCTACTTCATTTTCCTCTATAGACATCCAGGGTGTATGCATTATGTTGTACAGGGTTTGACCAGATATTTTCCCAGAAACCTTGTATTTTGGCAATTTCAGGTCCTTGTGTAACAAATTGGTCTTTATTTAAATGTCTGTAAAATAGTTTTTGATTAGTTTCAAATAAATTGTTTTGTTGTTTTCGTAAATTACTCTTTTGATGATGAATGATCAGTCTATTACCCCATCAATGGGAGATATATAATACATATATAAAAAATAATAATAATAATAATAATAACGAATCTACATTCCACTACAAAAGGCTGTTATCATAGATACATGTGCAATAGTCCATCGCTTCCTAAATGCCACAGAGTGAACCATCCAGCAAAATAGAGTAACGAGAGACTTGGCATGTCCCATCCTCGCTACTAGTCACCAGCTTAAGCTGTGAAAAAGTGTTATAATAATAATAATAATCAATCTCAGGACAATTCACACAGCGCCATCTAGACCCAAGATAAGCTAGCTAAAGCTAGTGTTATGGGTACTAGACAACTGACACAAATACATAGATTTTTTTTCGTAAATACATACATATTGTACATAGAAAACACCCAGACCGATACAAACAATCATACTCATGAATACAAATGTTTGTACCGTGCGAGGAATCGAACCTGCGACCAATGGACGTAAAGCGGTGTGCTAGACCGCTAGACCACCGAGGTCATCCATTATTGGTGCTTGTAATTTCATCTGCATGGACTGATTTATAGATAGAAATAAATTCCTGAATAGTTAGAATAGGTTTTTTATGTCCCTTTGACAGTTATAAATCCTATAAATTACAACTGTCAATCTATGTAACAAAATCTAATTGCATCAAGTCTAAATAATTTAACTATATTTTTTAATAAACTATTTATAGTTTAATCTAACAATGTTCATCTCTTTGTGGAAATCTTCAATGTTCTGCTCCCATCTTTTTTCAAAATATATTCCTGTAAATTAACCATTACTTATAAAGATAGCCATACAACAATAATGATACACTGTAACATAATTTTTTACTTTCATTTGAATTATATTAGTTAGATTATTATTTGTATGTATATACATACAAACAATATAATTTATATAATTAATAATGACACAAGTAGAAGCATTTACACATTGTATATAATAATATCTATCACATTTGTATGCAAATATATGCTCTCTTAATGTCTTGCTTATATTATTAATATATATATATTAAAATTATATTAAGTAATAGAAAAGTTAATATCATACCTTGCAAAAATTTTGCATTACTTCCAGTCCTTATTGCCCATGGTAAATAAAATTTTAGATAAAGTTGTCTATGCTTAGGCTTTAGTCGTCCAGCACCCCAAATTCCTCCATTAATACACATTGGTAGTTTAGTTTGGATACCCTCCACCCATTTTACTGCTACCTTTAATATAAATACAAATAACACATTGAAACTTGTGAAATAATTTATACTGTAAATATTACAATTCATGTATTATCTGTTATTGACAGGTTTATGTGAAAGAGTTTTTGAGTTATGAGGGGGTCAAAATTTCAAGTTCAAGTAAGAGAACTGGCGAGCGGCACCATGTGTAGTTTTACATGAACCATTTGGAGCCAATGGTTCATGTAAAAAAATACACAATGTTCTGCTTTTTTAATTCTCTTACAACTTAACACTCTCTCACATGTCTAGATACTACTATATATGTAACTATGAATAATTTGTGTAATAACTAGGAATACAGTTACAGTACATGGCTCAGTTATTGTTTGTATGAAAACACAATGTTGCCATAGGAGACCAATTATGCATAATTATGAATAATCATGTTCCTCTTAGCTACTTATAGTGTAAGTATATTTTCATATAATATTATACAGTAATACCTCTCCCAGCATCGTTGTTTTCATAAATAATGTTGCATGAACCAGATCATGGACCTCTCTATAGCGCTGCATAACAAAGGCCAACTCGGGGTCGGATATGAATTGCACCGGTAGTCGCGAATCCGCAGTAATATTATTATCTCTCATGAAATCAGCATAAACACGACCTATGGTATTCTCTGGCATCTGGGACAATTTATCAAATGAGACAGTCTTAGAATTAATTCGAGGCTTTTCTTTTAATATATTCTCACCTTCTGAAGTTTCGAGCATTTTTTGTCGCATGTGTTTCAAAGCAGTATCTCCAGTAACCTCACCAAGGCAAGCAATCATGTCGCCACGATGAGGGTTCAAAAGAGAAACGAGTGCGGCTCCACATGATAACAAAGTGCGTTGAAGTGTGTTTGTTGGAATAAAATTTTTTTGTAGTTCTTCGGCAAAACTGTTATATGATGTAGTAGAACTCCATCTTCGTACTATCGTAATTATACGCATGATAATATTTATAGCTCTTTATAATCACGAATAGCCGATAATTTGTATGTTATAACTATAGTATTCTAATATTCTATAAATAAACTGATAAAAATCAAAATAGAAAATATTTGATTGACATATTTTTGTCAGATCCAGGTGATTGACATTTCAATATTTTTTTTTTTACGGTATTGGATAATTCTTAATAGGCAAACTATTACATGACATTTAATTCAAGTTGCCTTACTATGCCTGAAAAAGAAACAATAGTAACGCAGCTGGCCTTAAACAAACAGTCCTGCGTAAACAAATTAGGTGAACTGTTTAAGAATTGTTCTACTTACCTGTTACCGTTCTTTACTTTATGTCGAAATATCAGAATGAATCGATTAATTTGAAATTTATGTACAGACAAGCTGTTCCCGCGACTTCGTCCGCGTGGAATTTAACTTTATATTTCTAAAATAAAAGAATGTTTAGCGTCTGTATTATTACCGCTATTATTTATGTTTGTGTTCGGCTGTACGGGCAGCGACAGATGGAGAAAAATGAAATAACGAGTCCAGTGGTGGTTATGTACAAATCTATATTCTTGCGTCATATACAATAACTGCATGGTTTAATTATAATATATAAAACATATAATTATTAAACGTATCAGAACAGAAGCGATTAGGTCCCAATCTGACAAGCTTGTTATTTTTCGTCTCCTAACGTCGCTAGGCAACGGTGTTGCCGCGCGCTATCCGTAGAATCGCCACAAATGTTTTTAAAATAAAAGTAGCCTAAGTTACTCCTAATTATATCAGCTACCTGCCAATAAAAGTCCTGTCAAAATGATGCTAATCTCTGAAATGGCTGGACCGACCATTTCAGAGATTAGCCGGAATAAACAGATAGACAAAAATGATAAAAAATGTTATTTTGGTGTATGTACCGTATTTATATTCATATGCATGTAGTAAAACACGGTTATTTCAATATTACAAACAGACACTCCAATTTTATTTATATGTATAGATATACAATAATATCGACATCAATATTTGTTATAACTTTTACAAGCTATTTTCTGCAACTGATTTTAGTACTTAAATGTAAATTTTAAGGAAATAGCAAGATTTACAGCTGACGACATTGTGCCTGTCAATAAAGATTAAATAATTAAGAAAATGTCTGTATGGGCGCAGTTCCCTTTGCCTTTCGGTTAAAGGATAAACAGAAACAAAAAAAAAAATAAAGAAGTAAGGAAACTAAAGGAAACCGAATGAGGTTATTTTTTCTGTTAATTTGTGTTGCGCATGTAAATTGTGTTATTTGTGATTGCCAATAACAAAAAGCATTACTGTTACATAAAAATATTGGTTAATCCCATTATCGCTTATTTTAATATTGTTAAGTTTACATTAATCTCGGGCATATGAATAGCTCTTTTTAAGCAAAATAACTCGTGCGTATTTTAGATTTCTTAGTTAATGACTTATTATAATTATTTTAATCAGTGTACTTGTAGGGAATCCTAAACGTATTAATAATATCCTTTCGTTTTACAGATTTGTTCAACAATTTTACACAACTAAATCAAGTACAGTTTTCAAATCTTGTTATCATGTTTCAACATAACAAAGTAAAAACGAAAAAATTAAGAAATCAATTAGCAAAAGAATTGAGTTTTGTGAAAAATGTTTTTTCAATGTTGTCCATACCACTGCAAATGAGAAGTAAGGAATATTTTTATTAACTGTGCACTACCATTGCTTGCTATTATTAACTAAGTCACAGGGTTAAATAGCCTAATAGATAGATCTTTTTAAAGTGAAATGCAATAAAGATAAGAATAAATTATGTTATACAACTTATTATATTCATATACTAACTTGTATAAAATAATTTATTTATATCTTATATCTTGCACATTCTTCTTGTGATGAGTCTGCATTCTGAATGAGTGGTAGAATAAAAAATATCACTATTTAAAGGTTCTTATGTTAAGTTCATTTGAATACAGATTATTTCTGTCCTTTCAATATTTTTTAATACAATTAAATTTTAGTTACCAAGAATAGCATTTCATAGAAGATAATATAAGAATAACAAATAACAACTATGTACTCATGGTAAACTTACTTAAAGTTCACAGCACTAATTATGATCTCTGTTTTGGTCCTGTAGATGACGATGAAGACCTGGATCTTGAACTAGGCCAAAAGTCTACAGACAATGAATGTACTAAAGATTTACCTAAAAGAGCTTTTACCATAGCTGAACTGGAAGAAAAATTGGAAAAGATGAAGTCAGCAAACAAATTTACACTTAAAAACAAATTAGCAAAGAAAAGTTTGAACAGCAAACTTAACAAAAAGATGAAAAAGAAAGAACGCCTGAAGATAAAAAGTGTTAAAACTTCTAATGGCCTGGCTATGGTTGAAAACAGTGTATTAGAAAAAACTGAATCTAAAAAAGTTAATATAGCAAAACCAGTTTTTAACAATGATGGTAAATTAGTATTTTCCAAGTTTGATTTTGCTAATATTGGCCAAAGAGGTAAGTTTAAGCCTCTCCTATATTATTGTAGTTCAGATTACATTTTGGCAATGTTACACTCAATAAATATTATCATGCCATGAGATCAAATTAGTTACTATATGACTATTCAAAAGTGCTTATATTAAGTTTATTTGAATAAAGATTATTTCTATTTCTAACAAACTATACATACTATTTCAAATTGAAAAATTAAACATATACTGATTGATTGCTGAAAATTTTTGGTGACATGTTTTTATTATGAATGTGTGAATGTAATCTTAGCTATCATTGCTATACTGTATGTTGGTTTCCTGTCACAGTACACTGCTAGCTAGGCTCAATATTTCATCCCATCCTTGACCTTACAATAAAAACATTCATACTAAATTAAGTATAATATATTATTAGTTTCATTATTAATATTTTCTGCATTACTTTAGAACTAGTTACAACCATTTTTGAGAGTGCACAATGGCCAGAAACTTATTGAAATTAAATATTTGTATAAATTTATTAATATAAAGATATTTATTTTAGATAAAATCACAAAAGTTGGAAAAGATCCTCAAAAGATTTTGAATAACTTAAAGCAACAGGAGGAGAAAATAAGAAGATTAGAAGAGACTGAAAATGACAAAGCTAAGGAGTTTAAGGAAAAGGTGGCATGGAAAAATGTGTTAGAAAAGGCTGATGGACAAAAAGTAAAAGATGACCCATCTCTATTAAAGAAGTCTATTAAAAAAATGGTAAGTGTTTTACCTGAATGGACTTAGTTATAATAATAATTATAACTGATAAAATAAGCATCTCAAGTTGGGACTATTAGGCACATGGGGCTCTGAATCAAAAAGCATTTTGACAAATTATAGTAAACCTATCGAGGTTGGTAGCTACTTTGGCTAAAAATAAGCATGATGATTCAGAGAGAGAATGCTGCAAGTAAGTTGGGAAGATTGCTTCAATGTGCCATATTAGTTATGTTATTTTTTTGAGTAAATACTATTAAGGAATAAAATCATAGTTTGGCTATACTAGTCAGTATAAATTTTAATATAATAAAATGTGTTTCTAGGAGCAAAAGAAAAAACTCAGCAAAAAACAGTGGGACAGCCGAATTAAGAATGTAGAACAAAAGAAGGACGAACGGCAAAAGAAGAGGAAAGAAAACATTGGTAAAAAGAAGAAAGATAAAAAAGCGAAGGTTGTAAAAGCCGCCATTAAAAGAGGTCGTGTCGTTATTTGAAATATTTTTAATATAAGTCAAACTGTAAAAGAATAAAAAATATATTAAAATGCATTTTCGTTATAGTGGTCTATGAAATTATAATATAGAGTAATTTATCTATTTTAAGTACATATCTATATGTGTTATATATATTATTCTTTATTAATTTAGGAACTTATGTCCGTTTTTGGTATGACAGTTCCATCATACCTTAATCTCTAAATAAAAAAATCCATATTTAGTCAACAAAAAAGATATCTAGACAAAATAAGAAAGTGCCATTAAATCCTAACCTAATCAATTCATACACCAACCTCGCGGTCACAGACTAGGCTTCCACTAGGATAGTGTAACAAATTTAGAAATTACGACTTTGTATAAATAATGTACCCACATTATTTATACAAAGTCGTAATTTCTAAATTATCCCTTTCCGTTTATTCTCTTCCTTCACATATTCCATCAGGACATAATAAGCATCGTCAATACGTCCGTATTATCAATACTCTTTTCATAAGATGTACCAACATTCCCGATGGTACAATAAATATAAGATTATTTATTTATACTTTATTAGTATTCTGTAAATTGAATTATAGACTACAATAACAATGATATAGTACTTTTTTACGCCGCTGCTTACTTTACTACTCTTTACTTGAAGTTGGTTAAGGAATATAATATCTATTTTAAAGTTGAGTGAAATTAAAAATTAAACTATGGCTATACACTTGTTTTGGGAGCTTAAGCTTTATGTTGTGATTTTCGAACAGATCTGCTTTTCCAAAATACCCCATGTCCAATTACCATAAATTCATCTGTAGGTCAGACATTACGTCTGCTACCCTATTTTTATATTGACCAATTGATTTTGACTTTAGTTACTCGATACAAATTCAATGGTCTCTCAGTTTCTATCACAATACAATTATTTGTATGGCTGTTTTTATTTGTTCATTTATAGTTTTCTGTGTTTTATATAAAACACAAAAAAACTATAAAATATGTTAGTAGTTATTGTACAACATGCGTTAGGTTTGCTACTAGATGGCGTTGTGATGTATACTATGCTTGACTGTTCTATACGGGAAAAACGTCTGCGCCGTAAAGATAATCTACAATATAATGTAATATTATGTGATATTATTAACTGGTATCCGCGACATTATATTTTAGGTAATTGCCTATGTTTACCTTCTAATACAATGTATCGTGAAAGGTAACAAACAGACAGACACACTTTCGTATTTATAACTAATATATAATACGAATGTGTCATACTAATGTATGGTTAAATATGTACGTTCCAACAAAAATATTTAATGTTAAATATCCACGACCCAATCCAAATATGTAATAACGTTTGTGTGAAAATGGCGTCATGTTTGGATGAAAATAATGATATTTAGTCTGTCGAAGATAATCAACGCCCGTATACAGTCCGTACAGAAAAAAATCGTAATATTAATTTGGGATAAAATAGATGGTAAATAATACACCATGTTAACAGAAATGAAAAGAAACTTCGTTTATTTCGGATCTTTTATACATTTGTATTTTTTGTATATTACGTTAATAAAATATTTTGGCTCCATAGTCAAGTTCTATAATGACATTCAAATTGGATTCGATTATAAAAAGGCGGGATTGACCTATGGCTCATACTTAGATAAAAATGCTTAGTAGGTACCGATCTAAAGAAATTCGGAAACTTCCTGTTTCAGTGGGTATTTGAAACATGAGCAAAGTGGGTATATTAATAGGCGTTTAACAATGTAGTCCCTTTCTTTTAATTAGCTGGCCGTATAGAAATGTCTTTGTAATAAAATAATTTCCTATTTAATTATATAATTAATTGTCAATCAATTATAATTAAATTAATATAATAGCGACAATGTACATACAGGCTATATAGAAAGTCAAAAGTCAGATAAATTACTTATGTAACTAGACCAGTTTCAATAAGAAATGGAAGTGGAAACCTGAATATAAATTTCCCATTTTCTTATTACATTTATAACGTGGCGCACAGTTTGTAGTGTTTCAAAAATACTTATTTTCCTTCCACTTTGCTTCTTTGGGAAAATTATTTAGTACTGACATTCATTATCACTGACTTTCGACTTGGTATACCTTTTGTGATGAATGGTCAATTAAAGATTATTATAGTTCGAGTGGGTTGTGGGTTAGGCCGAGCAAAGAACTAAGTGTAGGTAAACAGTTGATAATTCTCACAAATTTCACCGAGTAGGCACCAAAACTGGCATTTATTAGACGCAATAAAATAAATTGGAAGGATTGTATATTTCGTTTCTGTAGAAAATTTTGTATATAAATAGAGCAGAAAATAATAAACTTACTGTTTTACAGTCTATAGCACTAATAGATAAACTATATTCTATTAACTAAATTCATATGAACACATTTTTTCTTAATCCTAGACTTTAAAAATTACACACCATGCTAAATTACTACACAGAGGATTTGCAGGTATAGTCCGTTAAGTTCGTGCATGGCGTTCCTTAGTGGGACCCCGTACTGATGATCATAGTTTGGGTACCAGGAAGAAAATATACAAAATACAACCCGGTGCGTCTCGTTATCCTTTCTTATACACAAGATCTTTATGTCTGACACGACACACGAAAATTACGGACTATAACTAGATCAATTTTTGTGTTGATCTGACAGGCAGATGCGTTGATGGAATATGTATTTAAGAAAATATGTTTGTTTGTACTAATTGCCTACAAAGTTTTCTTGCAAAATGGAATCTGATCTTAAGCTATTTAATTAGGTAGGTGTCAGTAAATAAGTAATACAGTAAAATTATACTTATACACAGTAAATTCAACAAAGGGTCAGTTTCATTCAATTGGGTAAATTTCATGGAACTATAACATATGTACGTATAGAACTGTGATAGCTATATTCACAGAATTGTTATACATTGAACTTATAAAATATAAATAGGAGTGAAGTTAGCAGTTTTTGTTTTCTAAACCCAATGGAATGACTATGAAATTTTTTAGACGGTCAATTTAAATTACACAATTATGGGCAATTTTCTAAATGATCTTATTATAACATAAAGTAGTTTGATACAATTCCAAGAATATACTTCAACATTGCTGGTGAGACAATTTCACCAATAATGAAGTTCAACTATTTCTGGAAACTGCTTCAGGGAACTGTTGCTCAAAAAATACCCGTGTAAATGTATCGTTACAAAATAATATGAAAAAACATATTTTTTCTTACAAGTTCACATTATTTATTAATTCAATGATAATATCATAGTTCGGACGAGAAGAAAATGTTAGGCCCAATGTACCAGATAAATGAAGCGCGGTTAGATCACTCAAACTTAACGATGTCTTATATTTGTACATACTAAAACGCTGAATTTAAATATGGGCAAATTAATCAAAATGGGTACTACAATGATGTTAAGTGGTATAAAGCATAGCAACAACTAACCGACTTCTTATATTTTTTCTCCTGAAAATTTTTTGGGGCTATTTGGAGATCCTAGTCCTTTTTTCTCGTCAGGCATGATAAACTGCTACTCTAAATATCAAGAATATATTGGTAGTTTGTTTAACTAGGTGGACGCTGATGTTTTGATCCATCTCTACAGTAGCAGAATCCTAGTTTACCAATATATTCATTTACAAGTAATGTTTAGGCAGCTGATAGGCATAGTAACAATACAATTTAAGATTTCATAAGTTCATAATAAATTTAACTTGCATTTACTTTTTCTCATCTATCAGTTGGTATAAATATAACTAATATTAATACAATAAACGTATGCATGTAAAATATATTCTCATAAATAAAATTTACCCTTTTCGCCCCCGACCTGCATATGGAAAATATGCGTACTTATTTGCAATGACTTTCTTAAAATAACGTTAATGAATTCCTAATAAATAGCGGCTTCAATAGTGTATATTCAATAAGGGCACATACTTCCTCCTCATTTTAAAATAATGACAAGACTGGAAGGTTATTGTCATGCACTGATAGACATGTATAATATATATGTTTGGATGCACAGCTACGCACACAATCAATTAATTTTGCTTCATAATTCTTTATAATGTATTTCGGGGTTCAGTCTTGTCATTAAAAATATATAAAGAACTTTGCTAGTAAGGGCAATATAAAATTTAATAAAAAGTAAATTTCGAGGTTTATCTAAATGCTAATATAATCGAATTAACAAAATGTTTCATATTATGTGCACAAAATATAAATACATCATGTAATATAGTTTTGTTTAAAATTAATCAAGTATAAAAAATACGAATAATGATAGATACTATCTCTCATTTTAAAAATAATAATAAATTATGTTATTCCTAACAATCTATTATGTATATTGTCTAATTTTTATGATAAATATAAGTAATAACAATATGGTGGATCATGCCTTGCAACACATTAACTTGCCATTATACTTGATTCTATTTACTCATCATTAGATAAAAATTATTCTTGATCAAAAAGGTGGGATATTTAAATTATGAATCTATTAAAATAAACAGAAATATCATCTGAATAAGATCATACTTTTTGGTTGCAATGAAAGCACAAGTCCAAGAAATTTCTAAAAATATACTACAAACTATTATACTTAAATCTATTTATATAAAAATAAATCAGGTTATAGGAGTCGAAAACAATTGTAAATAGCAACAATGATCAATAAAAAGCCTCCAAATAAAAGTACTCTTTCTTTTAAATAACATGTATAAAATAAATAAAATTAGAAATAAGATTATAATGTATACCTACATACTCAGAAAAAAATCTGAGCATATATAACTGTTAGGTAATAGAATAAAAAGGCGTAATAACTTTGAATATAGCCTCATTCCTTATACTTAAGATGAATATACTACGATACTTAATATTCAATAAACATTACACTTATATAATTCTATAAATTGCAGCAAAAAATTTTCAGTGTATAACACTTGAATAAATATTATGGGTAAAGAGAACACAACAATTATTTCCCATAACCACAACATGCTCAAGGCTTTGCCAATGGTTGATTGCACTTTAATAACTTCACTTACTTCTTTACCTAAAAATGTTATGAAATACAATATATAACAAAACTTGTCTTTAGTTAGTATTCGAAATACTTAGTATGCAAATGAAATTATATTAATTAAAATAGTCTTTGGAGTAGAAAGTACTTAAGAGCACTGGAAAATAGAATCTGCTCTTGGTACAGTCTCCACTGACTGCTTACCATTAGACTATTACAAACTTAAGTAACCTAACATATTACCTAGAAATTATAAAAATAATGTAGCTTTAACATTTCTTCAAAAATAGAAAAATAAAAAAAAAGTTGTAATACTGCACATAAATATTACTCTAAATCAGTCAAGGCATTCAAATAAAATATATGTATCTGTGTCATGTCACAAATCAAGAAATGTAAGTCAGGTTTGGTTTTTAACAATTAATAAAACTGTTCCTGGAACAGATTGTTTTAAGTTATAGAATTAAAGGCAAATAACAACTTCAGCATATTCAACTACATGGGCAAGGCCTACAAAAGTAACAGTTTTTAGTTCTTCCAATGTAAGATAATAAGACTTATATTGGAAAAATTAATCCATGAAATTGCATATGCTGTAAATAGTTATAATGCTTATTCTACTGTATTAATCTACTAACTAAACTCTAAATTTAAATGGTAATAATAAAGCAAGTCGTGAGGCGGGATATTTGCATCAGTCTTGTGAAATTCTCAATTGTGAAAATTATTACGGTCATTATCTATTTGGTAATATTGTAAACAAATGAAAGTTACAATTTAACTTTGTCTGTAAAAGCTCTCTAACACATGTCATCAATTTAACTCTGATTTTAAAGATGATAGTGTAGCATCAAGTACTCTATTTGTAGCATAGCCGGGTATGTTAAGGTAGGCCGGTTTATCATGTTCACAAAGGCCTGGTTGAGTACAACATCTATTCATAGATGAACCGGCAGCAGCCACTGTACTAGCATGACTTCCGCTTGCTTCCGGTATTGTTCCCTGACAAATCATTTTATGATTTGAAAATTGTTCCAATGAACGGAGTTGCTCACCGCAGTTTTCACATTTCAATTCCCTAGCATGAACCTTTTTGTGACTATTTAGTGATCTTGAATTGTCAAATACTTTAGTGCACATGTCACAATATTTTAATATCTTCTCTCCTGTGCAAACAACTTTGTGGTTATTGAGTCTATCTAGGGACATATAACGCTTGTTGTTACATAAATCACATTTGAATTGTTTCTGTGGTACACGCCCAGTGTGTACCTGCATGTGTTTACGAAGATTACTCTTGTCTTTTATGTATTTTGAACACACAGAACATTTGTTTACATCTTTACGTGTGTGATTAGCATCGAGATGTCTGCGTAGATGTGACTTCTTGTGAAAAGGCTCTAAGCAAATTTGACATCTGAATGGTTTTTGTGTTGGATGCACACCTGTCAAATGTGTATTAAATTCAAGGATAGTGGGATAGCTCTTTCTACAATGAGGACAATGGAAAAGTTTTCTGCATATAGCAGCACTGGAGTCACAGAATGGATCTGAGCAATCATCGCAGAATGAATCTAGTCCTACTGGAGGTGTGGCTGTTTCTGTGGGAAAATGTTCTAATTCAGTATGCAAAGGGTCCCTGTCTGGTGTACCAGCACCTGATGGTTCCTGTTTCACTTTTGTTTGCTCACTGTTATCGGGATACTCCTCTTGAGATGGAATATTCCGTGAAGTGCTTGCAAGCATCCACCAGGGGTTATAATGCCACGCTCCTAGGCCTCCTTGTGTTTGTCCTTTAATATCACTAGGTTTTGTTTGTGTTTCAGCATTTGTGAATCCTGGAAAACTGGGCAATTCCTGATGTTTAGACCTTGTTGATTCAAATATGCTATGCTGTGATATTAAGTTTTCATAGTCGCTCGACTCCAATTTCCTTTCATTTCTATCACTTTGATCTCTTTTGGACATGTTTCTATATATTATAATCTGAAAAAGTATAAGTATATATTTTTAAAGTTGTATTGAAACATAAAATGAATAGATATATCATTACGTATTTGACTACATAAAGAGAACGTAATAACAAGAAAAGTAAACAAACAACGCAGTTACGCGCCCAAGTTGTAGTAAAACTTGAATATAAGATTAGTTCAAATTGCATTGTGGACTAAAAATAAAATATTGTCATCAAAAGAGATTAGAATACAATATTCTTACGATTTAGAATTTTTTGAATAGCTAATCGTATAAAGTTTATTTATCAACAAGGCTGAACCAACAAGAATAGGCGCGTTGTTATTGAACTAATGTAAAACAAACTAACGATACAAAATATCATAAAGCATTGTCTTCGTACTATATAATCTAAGAAAGTAAGGTAAATTATATATTACAATACGTACTCTAGAAGAACATTAACTATAAAAAATTAGAAAATTATTTTAAAGATGATCGGCCATTTTGTATAGTTGATGTTGATTTTTTAAATATTTTTTTTATAAATTCTTTGTGACTGGAGTCCAGTCATTGACTACACGTTACTTATTACATGACTGGAGCTTAGATTTATTATACTTTAAAAGATACATTATAAATATACGTTAATGTTAATATTAACAATATAATTATGTAAATCGCATTCCGACTTATGCAGTTACTAATGAGTTTGAAATTTTATTTTTTTTATTACGTTTAGTTGCTATATAAGTGTATATAATGTCCTTAGTTATTTTTATATTTCCAAGTTCTTACTACAGCACGTAGTTCTCTAAATACTCTGTGGACTTAGCAGAGAATTAGTTACAATTAGCTATGTGTAGAAGGGAATGGACGAATATTAAAAAAAAAATAGCTATGTGTAGTCTACGCTGTATACTTCAGAAACATTTAAAAAAAAACCAAATAAGAGCCTTGCATTGACTACTTAAGTAGAATTCTTATTTTAATTTGTTAATTATAGATAAGAACTAGTTTATAGGTTTCCTGAGGGTGCCCATTGATTGGTACCTTCGTTTTTTAATTGTAAATTATATTATTTATAATGACGAGTTTCGCTACAAATATTTTGAAAACCTTTTGGAGACCAACTGTAACCGCAGTTAGGTTAGTTATAATCAAAATATATATTTAACTTTATAGGCGATTATATATTGTTTCAAACTGATGATAATTGATTGGTGTCCACGCCTGTGATAAATGTAGATATATCGGCGGAGTATCAGTAGAGCATGATAGGCAAGCTTAGCTTATGATAGGTCCATTCGGTTAGCTCATTCTAACATACAATTCAGCACCAATTAACAATGCTTTCCAGTGGGAACCGCTGGGAGGTTGACTTGTTATGGTACATTGTTAACTACTACTATACTATACGTTACTAAACATTTCTTTTTCTCATATTGTACAATTTTATTTGTAGGACGAGATATCATGCTGACAAAACACGTTTGGTAAGAAGGCACGGCTATGAAGAAAAGTTATGGTCTGGAGGATTGTTGCCTAGATCTGAAGGAAAAGCTTTACCAATGCCAGAGTACAGGTATGAATCCTCATTTTCTTTTCAGTATTCCAGTTGCTATTTTGTAGAGTAAGCATTGCCTATGTTTGTTCTTATATTGGCTGATGTTTACAAAAATAGATTAATGTACTTAAACAGGTAAACAATAAAAATGCCTTAGGTAACAATATATCTGATAAACTAAGTGGTGGTAGTAACTAGTGGTAAACTAGGTGTTTCACATTGCTTTATTTTGTAGCATATAGTGGAAATAAATAAATTATTTCCACTTTTGTTTTATAGTGAGTTGACTCTGCATAAGCATTATATATATTTTATTTTTCTTTTCAAACTAAGGAGGTAAAATAGTGCATGAATAATGATATTAAAGTATTGTTTTGTATTTAGTTTTTATTTATATGTTCAAAGATGGACATGTGGCATATCCACAAACATCTGTCTATACTTATTGATATGATTTGTTTTAGACCTGCAAATGCTTGGACAGAACGTAAGGCCTTATTTGGTCAAAATGATTACATCGACATACTTGGGCCTGGTAATATTCACCCTGTAAAAACCCTTTATAATATTCCCTCTTGGATTAGGGGTGTGACTGGTAATGAATATCAGGTAAGTATCCTTTCACAGCATAAAATAAAATCACCACCTTTATCTCTACACTTAGATCATTTAAATTACATAATGGATTTTAATGAAGTTTTCAGCAATATAGTAATATAGTATTTAAAGAGGCATATTTATATGTATAAATATTGCATAATACAGTGTAGAAAAGCAGAGAAATGAAAAGTTTTGTAATGCAGCCATGCAAAGCCAGTGCGAGTTGCTAGTATTGAAAAAAATGTATCACATACAGTAAATCCCGATCAGTTCGAGATTATATTAATATACTTTAGTGAGCACTTGCACCAATCTTATGTGCCTAAGCTTTGCAACTTATATATTATCTTAGTTTGTTCTTAGAGCTTATTTCTACGAGATAGAGATTTAAATTGATGAGATTTTTGCAATAATTTAGTGTGTTATGTACCATGTATTTTTTTTAAAGATCCTACTAAGAAAAAAGAAATTGTGGGCAAAGACTGCTTCTCCTGTTGTTCGGCCAACAAAATGGAAACAAATAGAGAAAAGAATTGGTTATCTTTATAGAAAACTAAATAGAAAAACGAAGACAGGACCATCACCAATTTAAATAAGTTATGAATGTTACTGTTTAATTTAGGTAGAACATGTAAAATAGTATTAGGTATTTATGTAAATATATAAATCTTACTTTATAGATATTCTTTTATTACAAAGATGCAACATTCAATCACAAATGTGAATAAACTTATTTTAACTTTTTGTGCAAAAGTGGAAAAATGCAATTTTGTTATATACTTCTTGATCAGTATTATTTCTCCCATTCACAGTCAGATGGACTAACTAAGGTGTAAGAATAACTTCGAAGTGGGTCAGAGTTAACATTAACCAGTAAATAAAAATTTCATTTTATTAATCCGTGGGTATAGTAATAAATAACAAATCAAACTTTGAACATTGTTTAATTCATCTTAAATATTTTTCAAAAAATGTCTGCATACTTTATTTTATTATCAAATATTGTGATTTTAATTATTACATTGTTTACTGTCTTATGAGGCTTTCTATAGAGAGTGACGTCTTAGTGGTGTATTCACTGAGTATTTAGCATATTGGTTCCCATAGGAAATAGCAATTGAGATCTATCATAAACGGTGTATTGTTAGCAATGGGGCCAATAGTTCAAATTAGTTTCGTGGCTTGCCTTCAATGTAGATATATTATGTGCTATATTTGTAGATATTCTTAAGATTGTTTTCAAAGAAATTTGTAACTACAAACTAAGTTATTATAATTAGGTTGGTATATTCATTGTATTTCATATTATGAAATATTAATTATATTGCTGCACGCACATCTTTGCCGCAGAAGCAGGTATGAATATTGTGGCAGCCGCTTCACCAATTTGTATTTTACAATATTCTGTATATATATTTAGAGTTATTTATTAATACTGGCTCTGTATCGATAGATATAACATATTTACACACAACAAAAATTATCTTCGAATTGAGAATCTCCGTTTTTTTTTATAGTCTTATGGAAGGGAAGTCAGGTATTAAATTAGAATACTAAGTAGGTAGGTAGGTAATATTACGGGTTAGCGGTTGTAACATGGTTTTGTCAGCGAAAAAATATGAAAGAATGATGAACAGATTTACGAATATGTGTATTGAATAATAATATTAAATACTACATATATAAAAGAGATTAAATTTATATCTTACACAGAAATCATCATATTTCAAGATATTTCTAATACTTATAATTCTTTGGTAAGATACTTTTTGGTTAGCGACATTACTAATTATTACAGAAAGAAGGCCATCATTATTATTTGCCATTAATCTTTACAGGGATACGAATATAAATCAACATTTCGGTATCCTATAACTTTCCCCAATCTTCTTTAATGAGGTCAGAAGCTTTCTCAGCGATCATCACTATGGCAGCATGAGTGTGTGCACCCGGAATACGAGGCATTATGGAGCCATCGGCTATTCTCAGACCTTTTACGCCGTTAACAAGTAGCCTTGGTGACACCACAGCTGATGGGTCACCAGCTGGACCCATTTTGCACGTACCAACCTGAAAAAATATATCTTATACATAAAATTCTCGTGTCACAATGTTAGTTACCATACTCCTTCCAAACGGCTTGATCGATTTTTATGAAATTTTATATGCATATTCAGTAGGTCTGAGAATCTGCTACTATCTATGTTTTATACCCCTAAGTGGTAATGGATATCCACCCCTAAATTTTTTCTTTTACTTTTTCGACATAAAATTTTATTTTCATTTTGTTATTATTTAGGATTGAAAAATACATACAACCATAAATTTTCATCCTTCTAGCATGAACCGCAATTTTTTAATAGCGATTTAAATTTATATGGCAAAACAACGTTTGCGGGGTCAGCTAGTATAATATATGTGCCTATATAGGTATTACACGACGTACACGTACTAGTACACTTGTAAAATTTGACGGCACCCCTTAAATAAAAACTAGAATAATAATTGAAATGTAATCTCTGTTACCTGGTGGTCTAATGTAATTGATGTTTGAGCAATAGCACATTCCCAGTATTTATTAGAATCAAATCTCAAGTCTTCGCAGCCTGGAAAAGGAACATCATGCAATCGTGTCTGGTAACGCTGGAATGCCTTGGTGCCGATCACTTTTTGTGTCTGGTGAAAGATATTAAATCTTTATGAATTAGTTTTGACATGGGTATGAGAATAAACTACCTAAATGAAATTTTAGGCCTTGGAATTTAATATAGGTAACTTTAACATATAGGTATGTCACCACGCTAGGCCTTTTATAAGAGTCTTGGTTAAAGAATATTTCGTATTGTCGTCTTTTGTATAATCATTATCTCTTGGTCAATATAATACTACAAATGATAATAATCACCTCAGGACAATTCATACAACGGCATCTAGATCCAAGTTAATCTACCTAAAGCTTGTGTTATACTACTGTGGGGTACTAAATAACTGATACAAATATATAGATATTTTTTTCGTAAATATATACATACTATACACCCAGCCCGATACAAACAACCATACCTACTCATGAATACAAATATTTGTGCCGTACGAGGAATCGAACTCGCGACCATCGGAAGTAAGCGTTGTGCTAAACCGCTAGACCACCGAGACCGACATAAATATTATTAACTAAGAATACGTATTTTGATAGTACTTATTACTTGATTGATATGACGACATCGTCATCTTCACAAGTAAAAATCACCACGTCAGTATTTTCGATTTTAGAGATATTACAACAATATATGTATAGTGTAGGTATAATTTGTATCATGAACTGGGAATTCGAAGTGATTCAATTAGTAACTTACCAATCGAACACCTTCTATCATGCGTCGCATATCACTGGGATGTTCTAGATAATTCGGATAGATTCTCGGATGCACTGAATGGTTTGCACTTCTTAGCATCAGTCTACCGACGCTTTGTGGCCTAATTAGTACTGGATTTATAGAAAACGACCTCTGCCTCATGAAGAATGGTATCTTCCCATAAACTTGTGAATACCACTTGTCGGTTATTCCTGAAATGTATTTTGTATGTCGGTATTTGTGTAATACTATACGTTATTACAGATGACGATTGTTTTAAATAGACGATTCAAATATATATCTTAATGTATACGTAGAGTAATAGAGTAAATCTATATATATATGTTAATAAAATATATTATTTTCTAATAAAATCTATATACTTTCGCTTTGTAAATATACATATATATATATATATTTGTAACATATAATCAATGAATACAGAATATTGATACATTACAGAACCACATGAAAATATAACAAACTTTTAAAATATTGTTTGTTTATATGCCCAATTAGAATGCAAACAAGATAGAGTTGACATCTTAAGTTGACAACCCACTAGATGGTAAGTGGTAAGATCGCCTAGGGTGTCACGTCGTCACATATGATAAATAAGTACCTATGTTGAAATGATAGTATGTAATGATCACGGTGAGAGAACACGAAGGTACATGACGAATATATAATAACTTTTTAAGGAAGATTGTTCAAGTAAACATGTAGAAAGAACCTGAAATTATGATTATTAACAAAAATAAATAAGGAAAGAGGTATATACTATTTATATAACCATAATAGAACGTAACAGTAGTTCCGTATTGTAGGGCTAGTAGTTTATTTTTAAATTTGCAAAGTTGAAAAAATGAGTATCTAGTAGGCGCTTCAAATTGCTTCAACAACTACAAATAATACTACGTTCATCAGCACTTAATTTATGTAATCAATGTCTAAGCTTTTTATACTTTTAATTGGGAAACAGATTGAGGATGTAAATGTAATTAAAATTGATTTACCTAATAGAGATCTTAATATTCCTAATAAGTCACCAGCCAGTGACCCTGCGCCCATTACTAACTCTATATCAGGCCGGGTTTCCGCAGGATCATCGTAGGCGTATTTGGTGCGTGCGAATGCAAGACCTGCTGCTCCTCCTGGTAAGGTTAGTGGCCCACGACCTGCCATATACGCAGCGGCAGACAATGGCGATGCCGCTGTCATCTAATAAATAATTATCATACTGAATATTGTTATTAAGGCATATATGTATGTATAGTAAAAGAGAAGATGACTGCACAGATAACACACACAATATGTATAGTGTTGTCCGTAGCTGGCCTATACAGCTTCACTGGACGATCGATTTTTACCCTTAAGCATGGTTATGTACCTACATTATAATTACTATAGTCACCTGACTGTAGTAATTATAATGGGTACCATTGGAGGAAGGGGATTGTTAATAATATGGACTACTAAACCCATTGCTAGCAATGTACCATGTCATGTTGTCCTCCACGCGGTTTTCCCTGGAAACCATCGTGATAAATTGCCATAGTTGTCTAGATAAGCTAAATGGCCTGACTTTATGCTTATTTTATCATCTTGCACTGGTGCTCCGTCAGTGTAAATCGTTAGCATAGACGGGTGCATAATTCATTCTCGAAACCATATAGGAGTTAAATTTCAGTGGTAGTAGGTAAATTAAAGCTTTAATTAAGACATACCATTCTTGTTCTTTGAAATAACATGAGTGGTATATATATGATGATGGTTATTAGCTTATTTGCAATTTCAATTATATAAATAAAAAGATTGACGGTCTCTAATCAAACATAGGTTATATGTAAATATTCGTTGTAGATTTATTTATGACTATAGTTAGTCACTTCACCTATTTGTTTCTGTCGCGGCTTAAAACTTTTCTTAAGTTTCCAGTGTGGCAAACCGTTACTATTGCCACGGTATAATATATTCTGTTAAGTTCACAGGGCTTTACAAATAACGGAAATATTAAATTAGTTATTAATTGGCTTGGTAGGTTGTTAAATTAAGAGAAAAAATTATAGGCAAGTGGTACTTACGTCGTTCACGCATAGTCTAGTTTCATTGACCATAAAAGCATTACCGGAGAACGTAACGTGATCTTGTAAATTGTATCCCACAGGAAGATTTGCTATGGAATTAATTTTAAACTCCTTCAGATGCTCTTCAGGGCCCACACCAGACAACATCAATAAGTGGGCGGAGCCTATGGTGCCCGCTGCCAAAATTACCTCCCGGCGAGCTCGTACCTGCCGCCTGTATAATAAAATATGCATATCTCACGAACACATATTTAAGTAGGTACATACTCAATGAATTAATCGAAATCTATTGGTTCTAAATAAAACAATTAATTGCCTATTAGTTGTTTGAAAAGTATACAAAAAGCAAACATGTAAACACGTACATACATATACATACACACATTTGTATAATTTATAGAAAGTTATAAAGATGTATATATAATTTACCTTTTGTTTCTTTTAGTAAATTCCACTCCGTATGCTGTTTTAGTTACTGGATCAATTAATATTCTTTCCACTGTAGAATATTTAGAAACTTTTAAATTTTTCCTGAAACGAATGGGTTCTAGAAATGCTTTGGAAGTACTGCATCTTCTGCCTTTTCTCATAGTTGCTTGTGGTTTAGAAAAACCGATTACCTGTTCTCCATTTGGATCCCGCCACTCGAAACCTAGCTCTTCACCGGCCTTCTTAAAAGGCTGCTCTAGCGGAGATCTATATGGAGCGTAGTCAATATCTAAGTATCCTCCTTTGCCGTGGTAAGAGGAATTCATTAGTTCACCTATTCTAATATTTTCTGATTTCTTAAAATATGGAAGCACGTCTAAGTAACTCCATCCTTTGTTACCTAATCGCTCCCAATCATTGTAGTCTTCAGGATGGCCTCTTTGGTAAATTAAAAAGTTTAAAACACTACTTCCTCCTAATACTTTACCTCTGGGTAGGAAACAAACGTTACTTCTAAGATCTCTGCATGCATTCTGTAGGGGTTCCGATGAGTAACCCCAATTCATAGAAGTTATAGACAGAAACGAGGCAAAAATTGGAACATCGGAGAAGAAATTTTCATTGCCCCCAGCTTCCAGTAGAAGCACATTCCATTCGTTTATTTCAGTTAATCGGTTTGCTAAAACGCAACCGGCCGACCCTGCTCCGATAACAATAAAATCAAATTCCTCCTGATCATAGGGCGTATAGTCAGGAATGAATCCCTCTCTTGGATTGTGAGGTAATGGTCGGAATAAATCTGTCCAAAAATCAAATAATTGGGATGTTTCTAAACCATATGTCCAAGATATGCAGACGCATATCCAACCTAGCGATAACCATTTCATGTTGTTTTCGGTTGTCTCTCATTCCTGAAATAAAAAAAAAATATAATTGATCAAGCTAGCTAGATACTCGCAAATCCGTGTTGCAGAGATATTTTTATTTTTAGATATTGTTCTAAATACAAATATAATATTGATATCTGTTATTGCGTCATTAAACTACCTCACTCACTATTTATCTAATGGTGACAAAATATGTAGGTAATTTGGGTATCTATAAATAAATATGTGTTAAATGGTTATTCCAAACACATATTAAAATCTATCATTTACATTTTTATGGTCCAATAACTAGAAGTAGGTATATACCATATATGAAAAAAGCTAAATGAATTATTAATAGTTACGTTATTGTTGCGGATTTAGACGTGAACTTTAGTTAAAATAGTATCTTTATTTAATTATAAGTATCTGTGATATTAAATGTTAAAATATGCAATAAAAATATTTTTCTTGTTATTTTCCTTTGAGTGTTAGATATTTGTTATTGTTAATAGTGTATATGATAAAGAAACAAACTCTCTTAGAATGATTACGGGATATATGATAGAGATAAATGGAGGTCGTTAGAACAGACCTAAACCAGAGTAGTTACAAAATATTTTTTGAATTATGTATGGGACCTAAAATATATAATAAGTTACCTAAATACTTGAAATGCCAATAATGTATTTAAAAATAAATTAAAATATGTTGATTGACAAATGATTATACAAACTTTTTAGATGATAAATTTGTAAAATGTATTAATTTTATATTACATATATATGATAGTTTTTGATTATTATGACATCATTCTTTTTTATTATTGTTTAACATTTAAATTTAATATTTTATTGTAGCATTTAAATATAGCATTGTATGCCACCTAGGTAAAACATGTCGGACAAATTCATTCTATATGTATATTATCTCCTTATGTAATCACGCATGTTTTACAAATAAAGTTTTCGTGTTTGAAAATATAGGTATAGGTTTTATGCCAGCCAGCAATTTTTAAACAAAATAAATGCAAAATACGTGTCCTGCATTTATTTTGTTTAAAAATTGCTTATTATATATTACAGGAATATATTATCAGTTTTTAATTCAGTATCTGTCGGCGTGTTAAGTGTCATCAATATTGTTCAAACATCCGAACATCTTCATAAACCTTCACATTCGTAATAACGGAGATATTAGAATTCAGTAGTAATTGACTAGTGTAGCAATATTACCTTCACAGTGGTTTAACGTTATAAGTACGGGAGTCATTAACACCTAATCGTGAATAGGAACCTAAAGCGGACGGTAGATAGGATCACTGGGTGACCGCATAATATTGCAGTACACATATACATGTACAGACCTGTAACATATATATGTTTATGTCATGCTTGTTTTTTATGGAAACAATAGAATGCTAAATATTCTGATACATAGAGAACCCTTTTGTTTCCTCCGCTGGTATTACAATGTTGAACTTTTTTCTTCGATCAAATTTAATTTAGGTTAACTTATTCTATATTCTTTCTAAAACCAGGTACATGCGAGATATTTATTTTCAATTATTCATAATATACCTAATACGCTAGTCCCGAGTGAATAAACGTGTTCTATATAGTTTATTAGTAGTACTAGTCTTTTTCAATACCCTACCACGGATATATATATACTTTAGACATATTCATATTAGCAATATATTGCTTTGCTGATTAGATTCGTTTAATGGATATTATTTTAATGAAATAATTTGCAGCGCTCGCAGACAAATATAGGTGGTAACTAACAAAATGATGGACATTTACGTTTATTTTAAACTAAAGGGAGTATATAGATATCAAATAATGTTATTGTGGTTTAATATCCACACACCGAAAAACAGTGACTGTAGTTCCGTGTTTTATTTAAATTGACAGGATTATACATGTACATAAATGAATACCTAATTTATCTATAAAATACATTATTGTCAAGAAATGCAAATTAACAAAATATAAAGATAAGAATAAGCTTATATTTGTAAATATATTAATATAGTGATATATATATATATATAGTCTTAATGCCCACTACCATTAGTAATAGTATCATTATATATGTATTTTACTTTATAAAAGTACTATTAAATTATCTGACAATCGGAATTATATAGAACTTTAAAAAATATTGTACATTTCAAAAAATTCAATCAAAATAAGTTCAATTTAGTATAAATATTATATACAATTAATAATACCTGAGTATAGTTAGGTATATAGAAATAGGCTACAAGTATGCCTATACAAATATATTTACATATTCCGCAAAAAATGTTATGTCTTAAAATAATAAGTTTTATTAGACTGGTTGCACTGCCAGAAACGAGTTAGGAATTTTGCAACAGATATCACAGCGGTTCGAAAGTGAGACAATCGGACTGGTAACATGTCCATGATGTACCAGCACCAAGCAAGCATTACGTAAACACTTATCCTGCCTGACTACCTGTCCTACTGGCTGCGTTGGATAGGCGCAGGCATTTCTAATAACATTAGCACTACGACATCTTATATGCCGTTTCTAAAATAACGTGTATGATTTCAAATAACTTAGCTTTTTGAATGGGAATCGATTGAAATGAAACAGTTTCCAATTAACATTAGGGTAATAAATGTTACGTTAACTTTGTTACAATACATTAACGAAACTGTATTCAAATCACTTTTTATTTTTAACATCAATAACAAAAATCTGTAGGTAATTGTTTTCTTTAAAATGTACTGCACAAATTTTATATATACGAATTTATTATTTTACAATGTAAGCTCTTGTACTTTATTGCATTAACTATTTATTAACAAGTTTTGGATAAAATTTTACTGATTGTATTTACAAAGTTAAATAGTTCAAATATAATTGCAGATTACATGCAGATAGTTGGTCTGTACTGCGTATGTTTTGTAATATTACCATCCATGTTTGGAATTGCACTGGTTTCATAAAAATGCCGTTGGAATTGTGAAATTCAGAATTTCTCTTTATAAGCATGTTTTGCGATAATTCAAGAGTCATAACGTCAGCACTTAGCTATGAAATAAGTTGAGGGTATAGTTGCAACACCATGGAAGCACGATGAATGCAGTAGAATTTTGTGTGTAGGTAGATACCATATAGCTTAAGTGATTATGACAAAAATAAAAAAAAAATACATTTATTAGACAATTTATAGTTTTATATTAAGAGAATTTATAAATACTTTATGTAAATACATACGATAATACCCCATAGAAGAAGACCAAATACTGTGCCAATAAAGGAACAACAACTTAGATATAGTCATGAATACAAATGTATCTATTATAGGCACAGGGTTCGAACCTGCGAATGTAAAAAAATATGGCATTGTGTTTAACAACTGCACGAACGTGGTTATTAGAGAGAGAGAGAGAGAGTAAAAATAATCAGTTAAATATCCCATTTTCAAAGGTGTCGGAACAATGATAGAAGTGATGCGTTAGTTATCACAGATTAAATAACGCCTTGCTATTTTAAGTAAGTATAGAAACGTAATTTTTGCTCACCTTCACTGCCAACACTTCTCTTCCTTACAAATTAAGCAAGAATCGTGTTGCTTATATTGTTATTGTAGTGTTGTATATTCCTGCAAATAAAATAATATACTTATTGTCTCTTTTAATAGTACTTGGATATTATTTTTTTTTTACTTCTGAATAAGTGTGTCAAGTTGGTGAAGGTCAATGTATGAAAACTTAAAAGAATATTAGTGTTTAAAAGTAAAAACTCTATTTATGTACATAATAGGTATCTACGTAGATTCTTACGAAGATTCATAGGAGTGACACTTATAATAAAGAAAACCTTTCTTATAAGTATCACCCCTATGCTTAATAATTATGTGATACCTACCCTATACTATTAACTATACGATAGATAATCACAGCATCATGCACATGAGTACCTCCCGCTTGAACATTCTCTCAACTACATGAGTGTACCTACTAAGTTACTACTTATTACTAGCTAGTCTATAGGCATTGAAAACTTTTGTTCCGCAAGTTAAGTAAAATCATATTTATGAAATAATATTAATTACGATATATGTCATAAAATTTTACATTTATAGAAAGAAGTAATAAAAATATAACAGTTCCTGAAGATGGTTTCTCTCATGTATAGCACATCTATCGCAGAACGCTGTTTGAAATTAGTTCATGAATATTTCAGGGTAACCTGACCTGAGCTAAAACTTAGTAGACCAAAGTTAGTGACGTCAACCGGCCAAGAGCTATATGATTATTTTTAAATTTATAGCTAACAATATACAGATATAGATTTGAAAGTATAAATAAATATAATAAAATGGCAGGTTTGGTGTTAATGGACAACACAACAGACATTTACTGTTCTGTGTAATGAACATTGTTCATCCCATTTACACCAATACATGTGTATGGTCGACCTCCACGCGATCTGTCTTGAAAATCAAGTAGTACTAACGGTGCACTTTACTATTTAGCTGTTCTTATAAGGAAAACTATTTTGCATTGAAGTACTCAAAGCTTTATTCTAATATAATGCCGGGGTGGAAAGGTGTTTTTTGGGTTACTTTGTATATATAGTTACTTAGACTTCGTGAGAGTTAAAACTCTACATATTCCAGGAATGATTCGAGATAGACATATATAATGAAACTTTTAGAATTACAATTTTAAACTGTGCAGATTGTTTTATTATAAGTCCCATGGTGACGATATTGTAGATAGATTGAAATAGTAACCTTGATCTCTCGAACTTGAGAGTGATGTAAGTTTATTGCTTAAGTAACCGCGCGCTCTCTAGTAAAAAAAAACATAATATATCCCTGTGAAGTCTAATCTTTGATTCATTTTATGTTCAGGGGATTAATTATTAATGTATAATTATAATACTTTCATGTAGGTTTTAATGTATGGTTTAAAAATTAATAATGACGTCCTTATAAACAAAACATTTTGCTTTGCGGATTTCTGCTTCATTTCATTACGAGACTGCAACGGCGTGCAATAGCGCGATAAAGATAATATGAGACCCACAATACCTATATAAGGATAGGGTCTATTTTTATAAGGACATATGTTTATCTTTCATTACCAAGTACGAGGGAATGTCGTAGTATCTTTTGGTTAATCTTTTATTTCTATGCGTGTAAAATTTTATATATCAAAGGTACATAGTTATTATATATAAACTTACATTTCCGATAAGAACAGAGGGATGAGGCCGATCGAATAACGCATAAGTTTCTACATCCTATCATCGCGCTAATCGAACTCGTCCTCGGTACGGGCCGTCTGGACTGAACCCGATAATGTTAGTTCAAGTTTAGTTTTCATCACATTTAGTTACCCATTATACACTACTTCCCTGTTGAGAATAGGGGAAGAATAAAAAGCAGAACAGAAATGACAATATACTTACATATTTATACAAAAAACGGAAAATAAATGTAAATAATAAATATCTCTATAGGTAAGTATTCTGTTAGACAAGTAAATACCAAACCGAAGTTTGATATTTGCATTCTTTATCTTTATAAAGGAATATGTACTGTTCTAGGGATGATCAAAGATCGACGCAGGTTCATATGTACGGTAAAATATTTGATATTTCCCATAAGTATAATACACAATATTGTAATATCGAGCAATAAAACAAAAATGTGGAAACTGCCACAGGGCGTACCGTAACAATGCCAGTCGAGTTAAACAATAAACTTATTGATTTTTGAGAATGGTAGTTCAAGGGTAGTACAGGATTTCATTAAATATATTATATTGCATAATTGGAATTTATTAAATATAATATATAAAAAAAATATGAAGGTGATATTTTATATGTAAGATACAATTTCTTCACGAATATATATTCATCACGAATTAATTTATTAATTACAGAGCGAGGTAATCAGAGCCCAGAAAATATTTCATTCAAATAAAAAATGGCATGCTTAAGATAACTACTGTGTAATCGAAAAGACTTTATTTCATAAGTTCTACGAAGCGCTGTTATATTCTGTGGTTCTACTATTAATTAATTAGTATTTCTAATAATTACTTTAATAAGGCTCTAACGAAGCGGTATTGCTTAAAGTTTTAAACGGAATCAAATGAAACAGTGCAAACAAATTAATATAATAAGATTTGAATTTTAACCAATCAACCGATACCCGAAAGGAAACCCCATTTGACAGTAAGTTTTGTTAATTCCTCATAGCACTGCTATAAAAAATTCTGTTTACATTTTTAATTTTTAGGAGACGTCTAACAGTTAAGGCTGTTATGTCATGGGTAGTCGTGGGTGGTTATTTTGAATAAAATGTATAGTGTATATATTCTAAGGTATGTTACTAGCGGTTTCGTTTTTTTTTATATAATTATCAATGTCGATAGTGAAAAGGTAACACACAGACAGACAAAGGTATGCGTATAAGCATATATAGCATTAAATTATAATAATTTGAGTACAATACATATAAAATAATTAATACATTGTGATAAATAGTTATATAATTTGCGCTTCATGTATTTTAAGGATATTCTGTATTTAAAGCTTAAAATGTTGATCAGGATGTTCATTGGGTAACGATGAGAGGTGACCAAGCATTAGATTAAATTAATATATACTTATCTTTACGAGAACGCAATTTGTTTATAATTATATTACATTAGTATACTACCTACCTTCAGAAAAATGTAGAGCATACACTTTAACACTGATATTTTTTAAAATCACTAATATCTTGAATCACTGTACACACATCATTTTTAGGTAAATTATAATTGAATCTTATGCACTCAATTATATCGAATGAGCCGTTTCCAGTTGCAGTCATGAGGCACGCACTAAAGTGTATATCAAATTGGACTCGAGCGCGGGCCACCGCACGCAATATAAAGGCAGTACGAGACATCGATTGACCTTGTCATTTTTATAGTAACTATTAAATTTTAGGGCATTATTAGTTATTTATTTCCTAATGGTGTTTTATGGAAAAATTTATATTATTATTGAATTTATTATCACTGTATAGACTGTTTTAGTGTATGATTGCGGCGGCGGTTTGAGTGAGGCGATGCGAAAGATTTGTAGCATGCAAGCAGTTTATATAGTTAATTCGATGTTACGTATGACTAGCTGTAATGTTAGAAAACTTTATGTGAATGATTTCAGTAATAATAAATAAATTGACAAAAAACACTAAATTAAAAATAAAATACACGTTCATGATTTGAGTTTACTATAATACAGTTTAAACACATTAAAAATTTACATATAAATATAGGACTAAAAATTATCAACTGAAAAAGGAATCATCAAGGAGTCAAGTGTAATTAACACAATATTTCACTCATACGTACCTCTATAAAACCCGACAATATTTTTTTCATCAGAAAGTTCGGAACTTCTTTTGATTCAATGGCAAACAAATGTCCGGCAGTTAATGGTGTGATTCTGATATTTTGTCACTAATTAGAAACAGTCTTGGCACTGGTATTTCACTAACAATTTGTATATAAACTTCGAGCATCAAACCTTCCTCAGAAATCTTTATTTTATGAATGAAAACCGCATGAATATCTATTTAGTAGTTTTTGAGATTATCGCGTACAAATGTGGCGGGATCTTTATTTTATAATATGTATATATATAAATAAAATGTATCCTTCAAAATATTGTATTAAATTTTTTTTATACTACGATGGTGGCAAATAAGCATACGGCCCATCTGATGGTAAATGGTTAATGTATATGGGGTTATTATAAATATTAATGTTCAAAATTGAATTTTCATTCTAAATTACCATTTTCATTCTAGATAACTCATATTCTATTAAAATTATATTGGAATGATTAAAGTCATTTACTGCAACTTAATTTTACGTTGGTTTCGATTTTATGGTTAACAATAAAATTGTCAATGCCAGAATAAAATTAAAACAGACTTTGTTAATGTTTATTTTTGCGTAGCTTCAATATAAAAAGTCTAAAACTTGTAATTAGGATTAGAGAAAACTGTTAGATCTGTATTTTGTGATTTTAGTTTTAATTAATTTTTAATAATAAACATTAAGATGTATTCTATTGAAGAAATCATTCAATGTTAAACCGCAATGTTTTGTTATGTAAGACGTGCTAGTTACTTTGTGCGAGCAAGGTTATTTTGCAAAGGTGGGAATATCGGGTGGGAACGGACACATCTTTTCTCGTTATTGCTACGGCATTGTCGACGTTATCACCTCGGTGTTACGTAATTATTTATAGTAAATAGGTGGCCTGCAGAAAATTGTACATAATGTAGGTTGAAAACCTTCAGTACTGTAAATTAAATCTGCACCTACTGTGTAAGGTCATGGCAAGCGATGAACTTTGTATCGTGCGCATTGGGATTTGGACTTAAAATAATATGGTGACCTATTTCGGTCTAGGTTATTGCCGAAACGAGGTGTTCACTGCTAATAATGATTGTAGCGAATGCAGAAGCGAGGTTTTGTATACAATATACGTTAATATGTATAAAAGACCTTGCTAACTTAATGATATAATTAGTTTATTGGACAAAGTCACGTCAGATTATCTAATCTTACCTATTGAAATTTTGATGGTAGCGAAAATGTTTACTTCGACACGAGTGTGGAGAGATCGAATGAGAACAGACTCCTCTCTCCTCATTCGGGACTATTAGTACCGGATTATTAATATGTAGCGAAAATTATTGGGGCGTCATTGCTAACTATGTTTGTACCCTCAGTCAGGTCACGAAACAATCGTTGTTAATTTCTAATGAATTTGCCATGATGCGAGCTGACATTAAACATTAATTATATGGTGATGTTATTTAAAAGTCAACAAGTCCCGTGAACGTATAATCTCAATTGATGTTGCAATGTTGTTAAGGTTATTAATGTTTCAGTTTATACCATGAGTCAATATAGCTATTTTAGCTAGATAATACTTTATCGACGTGATAACTCTATATAATTTTATAAATAGGAACATTTAATTTTTTGTAACTGATGACTCAAAAAATAATTACCTGATTTTAAATATTCTTTCAATATCATTACATAGTATAAAACAAAGTCTCTGTCGCTGTCTGCCCCTATGTATCTTTACAACTACGCAAAGGATTTTGAAGCGGTGTTTTTTAATAGATAGAGTGATTCAAAAGGAAGGTTTATATATATAATAATAATAAATGTACAGTGTACGCTCGTGCGAAGCAGGGGCAAGTAGCTAGTCTTATAATAAACGACAGTTATAAGCGAATAAATAGGCTGTTAGTGAAAAAAGTAGAGATTGCTAAAATAATTGCATTCATGCGAATCCGGGACTGGTCGGTAGTAATAAATAGGTATAGTTAATATAGCACAGGTACTTTTACCACGTTGTAGATACCGGTTGCTCTGTTACAATGGTATGGATATAGAGTTTTTCCTCGTTTAAGTGTAGAGCGTGATCTTTATTTCACGTCTTACACATTATTAAACACTCACTCTCAAACCAGAATATCGGGACAATCCCGCTCCACCGATGCAGCAACCAGAAAATTTATTATAACAGATAATAAACCTATTTTTATTAGTAGTAGTAGAGTTAAATTCATCAGTTCATTATATACATACATATTTAACAACAGAATGACCAAGTCTTGTTCGGCCTGTGTATATTGCAGGATTAATAAACACATAGATTAACACATATAGATTAATATCTATATAATATAACAAATGTGGAAGTGTGTTTTTTTTACTTCTTACCTTTAAATGAGTAAACGGCTGAACGGTTATTAATTAAATTTGTCACAAAGACAGATTGTAACACGAGAACTAACAAAGACAAAAAGCGGGTAATTGCTGTAATATAAAAGAATTCCTAGTTCTATATTATTAAAACCTCTTAATTTTATGCGATTTGCTCAAATCGGAAATAATTGGAAGGTGTAATAATACGAGTAAACTAAACAGTAGGTAGGTATCGACCAATCGATGTTTCGTAACTTATTTAATAGCTGACCGGAGAATGATCTTTTCGGATCACGTGGCGTTTGTGTCGATTATGTTGATATGGAGATACTATTTCAAAACTATACCTTGACTCACGAATTGTTAAGGGAGTCAAGGTGAGCGTATGTGTTTGGCCATTTTTAGCACAAAATAATATATAAACAATGAAATTTTGCGAAGAATAGTAATGCTTCAATAGCAATACCTATTAATAGACTATTATAAAATAATAACAGTATCTATGGCAATTACGAAACTATAGATAAATAAATCAAATATTATCTGACCTGAAGTATCTGATGAATGGTGAGATATTCCATAATGAAGTAATTATAATAGAAAGTAAAATGTAGAGAAATAACTAAGCATTACATTACAATAGAAGTTTAGATAAACATCTCTAGTTTACGAATACATATGTCGCATTAATGCAGACAATTTTATTTAAACAATTTATTATATATATAAAAATGCCGATTGATTATTCATCTTTTAATTTTTTTAGTTTAAAATAATATAACTGTATAAAATGAATAGGTGGTTATTAAATTAAATCATATTAAATAATTAAATAAAATAAAATAATAAAATTAATAATTAACAATTTCACTTCATTTGATTTTTGTACGAAAACTTTTGTTAACTGGGTCAGATATTGCACAATGAGTTTTATTACTGTAAATTAGATTGATGTATTATTTAGTGTTTAACGTACCCACAATCACATTGCACGCTATCGTCAGGGAATTGGTACCTATGTATTCTTGGTCAGAGCGGTTTCTGAAGAGCTTCCTCCTGCGTACACTTAGATCGTGGATTTAACTACCCTGCCAAGGTTTTCCTTAGAGACTACATGGGGTTTCTCAAGAAGGATATTAAGGTTACTTAAGGGTCGACAATTCGAAAGTGACGTGACCCTGTTGCTTCAGGCGTCGATAGACTTTACCGTCTGGTCGTACGCATTTTTGTCACCGTTGTGATAGAAAAATGTAAGTTAGGTGCTGCCCATATGTGATGATTGATAAACCCCAAGTAAACATTAAATATAAGATTTGTTAGTTAGCCGTCGATTGCATTCCAATATATAATACAATATGGACTCTATTTTCCGCATTTAGCCTCTCATTTAGTCCGTTGTGCATATAATTGTGTATCTCAATATGAGTACAGACATTAAACATTCTTAACTTATTTTTCTTTACATATGAGTTTTGGAATAAAAACACTTTTGTATTTACGATTTTATTTTTATCTTAATTGTTTTAAAGTTTATGTAGAAAAGCATTTATTGGGATTTATTAAATAGGTATTCTCAATTACACATCTAGGTCTCTATTAATAAGGACGTAAGGACCGAGGCGTGGAGATACATTTGACAGGTATATTCGCTATGACTACGTTAATTGACTAGAAATAATATATTAAAATACCAGACTTAAATTTGAGTACAACTCTACTTAAAGAAATGTTTTATATTATATCATATCTACAAGAACTCAGTATAGATATATACTCAATTACAATTATATTAAGTTAACAAAAATACAATTTCTACAAGTTTGTATAAGGTTACATCTTAAGTATAGGTACACTGTAAGAATAGATATTTTCTTAATAATATGAATCGTACATTGGCAGCATTATTTTAATTATGTATCTAATTTACCTTAATGATGTAACATGTCCTAATGAATTGTTGGTCATTTCATAACGGGTATATTTACCCTTCTATTAGGTGACAACTAGATACTAATACAATTGAATACGATTTCAATTCGGTAAAATTCCTTTTATCTATCTAAATAAATTATTTTAATATGTGCTAAATTTTCAATATCGTCGTCTACGTACTCGTATGTCTACATGTTCCATTGTTCTGCATCCCGGAACCCTCCTACATACATCAAAGTAATAAGTTAAAGCTTCAATAACTATGTAGATATGTACATTATCTATATATATAATATCAACTAAATTTCCTCCCCAATGGTTTTGTACTGCGGAGTTCATCTAATTTGCTTCTGCACGAGAGTTAAATTCTAAGTAAGCCAGTACATAACTGAGTTCAACACGAGTTATTTGTTAAATTATTATAGAAATAAAATTAACATACCAAATTAGCGTCGAACAGTTGAAGTCTTGTGGAAGTTTAAGGTAAAAATAGTTAGTTTATCTCGATGTCAACAATGTCATATTTGAAGGATCAAACGCTTGTTATCATGATAAATACATCACTAATTCCAAAATGGTACCACTCAGAACCTCAAGGGTATATCTAAAAAGAGTTTCATGCGTTCGCCGATATCAGCAACGGAACGCTCGTCAAGTTCTTGTTAGCTGTCGTCGCCGACAGCTTCCTCGTCAGCCTCATCTTCGTCGAGGGGTTGGCTGGTGAGCGCGGCCCAGAGCGGCGAACGGGCCCCGAGCTGCGCGGACCCGCGTCGCTAGCTGTCCCGAGCATACCCCGCGGCTGCAGCGGCGGTACCGACAGCGCCCACCGCGCTGAACAAAATGGCTCCCACTTCTCGGTCAGGAGTAATTTCTACCTGTTCACAAACCATAATCCACCATCAGCTAAAATGTGGGTATATATACGCCTGATTTATAGTAAGGCATGATTAATTTAATTATAAAGAAATAACTTTGAACCACTATCCAGTCCTGGTCTAAGCAGAGCACAGGTAGTAAAGGTATTTATGGAATTATACATATATATATACTTACAAAGCAAACATTATGTTTGTTATGTCTCAAGAATACAACAGTTTGTTTCACATGTGGATCGAACCTGCGACCATGTCGAAGTCAAGAATCAGAGAGTCTGTGATTGATCAGGATGCTTAGTATATACAGAAAGAATGAAGGAATAAGTGTATGTAGAACTTATTTGAATCAATCAAAAATCATGTATATATACGAGTATAATATAACTACTTTGAATTAAATGTATAGAAGGCAATTTATAATTTTGTCAATTCCAACTGAATGCGATTGGGTTGGATTTTCAATTTTATTTTACGACGAGAACAATTGGAAACGGGTGAAATAACTATCGAAAGCAGAAAGAGGTAGATCGTTTGGCTGATTTGTAAGTTGCGGTCGTACTTGTACAACACGTTTCAATGGAAGTCTGTGACATTTATTAGTGGAAATGTCGGATTAAAACAGAAAATAGGAAAAAGAACAAAGAGAATTAGCAAAATTTGATGTGTATTACTGTTATTTGTTTGTTTACAAAACAGTACCAACACAGTATCCTATACGACCTCGGTGGTCTAGCGGTTTAACACAATGTTTTGCTTCCAATGGTAGTAGGTTCGATCCCATGGACGATTCACATTTGTATTCATGAGCATATTTATTTGAATCGGTTTGGGCGTTTTCTATGTATTTTATGTATGTGTTTACGAAAAAAAATGTGTACAAGAATACCTCATAATCAATCAGTTGTCTAGTACCCATAACACAAGCTTTGCTTACTTACTTATGGAAAAAAATCTATAACATATATAAGGTAAGTAATACATTATTGTGAGCATGTTGGTAACATGTATATCAATATAAAAGATTCACGCACGGGGTGAGTTATGTACGTTAAAAGGACTAAGACTTATAATTATATGAAAGTGTTAAACTTCATCCAATTAGTATATACTTGTGAGAGTGTGGTCTGCTCCGGGTCAGATCTCTCTTCGAGCACGGTGTCGAGTTCTAGGGTGGGCGGCGGTCGCGGCGAACGCACCAAGCTGACCGCCCGAGGCTTGGCTTTGACGGGGGACAGACGTACGACGGACAGCTCGCCGCGATCCAACTCGCAGTTGCGACGCCTGGCACGTTCCCTGAATACATATATTATATTAACTTACAAACCATTTTATATACCTACTAGCCCCACTGTTACCTCTACACTCAAATTTTCATGCGAAACTTCGACATAAAATCAAGACGGACCTGATATTAAATCAGGAATATTAAACAAAAAGTAAATATTTAGAGCTTCAATTTTTTATCATTTATTAACACATATTTGGATTAAATATAAAATTTCAGCTAAAAATATTCAGTCAAACTAGAGTTACAGCGCGAAATAAAAAAAGATATCACGATTCCGGCTGATCCACATGATAAAAAAAAAAAACGGATTTTAATTTGTCTTAAAAGCACGGAATCCTATAATCAAATGAATATAAAAAAAAAATTGGATTTTTGATAGACATTTGAAATAAAAGTTGCAAATTAGGCGTTTTTTTTTTTGTTTTTTGCTATAAAAAAATCGAAGTTTTGAAAATTTTCGATTGATAATAGTTCATTCCATGCGTTTACATATATTGAGTGTGCCCTGTAAATTCGGTCAAGTAATTCGGTAGCCGTTTCTGAGATACAATGGAGGAAAGTTTGAAAAACACAGTTTTGAGAAAAACGCGTTTAAAGTTTCAAGTCCGTTAAAAACTATTAAAATATCAACTTACTCTCAATCGGCGATGCCTGGTCCATAGAGTTTCCTTCCTCTTCCTCGTGAAACTTTTTAAAGTTGTTCAGCTCTTGAGTCATCCTGCGTTTAATCATCAGGACGTTCTGGTTTCGGGACCAGAATGAAGATGTTTAGGAGCGAAAGAAAAACTATTTTTACTATTTTTTGTTATATTAAAAAAATCTTAGAAAACCTTTAATATTAGATTCACAAAACGACGGAATTTATTCCAATCTGTATTGTATGAGAGATCCTTTGTGATCCTACTTCATATGCGCGCAATTTTGGACTGTACAAATATCTGCCATAGCTGTAGTTTGTTCTAAACTGTATAGTAGTCTTACAATATTTATGAAACCAAACCGAATATTTCGAAGGATTATAAATATGGTACATACGTACATTATTTTAAACGTAAGTTACTTTTGTTTGTTACCCAAAAAATATCTATGAAATGTGTTTGATAACCAATTATTTTCATAGGTGATCGTGTCCTTGTAAAAATATTTAGATGACTGATGATAAATACAAAACAATAGAAAATAAATTAAGTTTAAGCTACATGTCTTTATCAACAATATTTCGAAGGATGGGTACATACGTACATTATTTTAAATTAAAACACACTTGTAAAAATATTTAGATGACTGATGAGTTTCTTTATCAAAAGCTATGAAGGGTTTTGCGAAATGAAGGGGGACCCCCTTAAGAACATTTTATAATTGTGATGTCTGTACGTAAATTGAACCACTTAAGTACCTACTTATGAGTCATACATTAGTAAAAGGCCTGCTTTTTAAGAGGCTTTAAATAGTGGTATGTTGTCTGTATATAGTACATAATAGGTGTATATATTTTATACTAATTTCAAATAGTTCAAGTTTTACTATATGATTGCATGAAGCTATAAGAATTTATAAAGTGTTCCGTTCCGCTTCAAAAGTCAACCGCTTTTCTATCAATTGCTTAAACTGCAATCTGGAATAAATTATTTTAAACATGTACTATACATATACTATATTATACATACCATATATACATACTATACTATACATACCATGTATGTCTCATAGATTCAATCAGTAATATATAGGAAAGGTCTAAAAGTACTTAAGGAGACGTTACGATTTATGTCACATTATTACATGCTGTTAGAGTAAAGTATTGTATCTCACTCTAGCTCGAGGAGACACTACTTACCGACTTCTTCTGTCCTAAACGTATCAATCTCTGACGTAATAGACGCCTCAGCATTATTCAGTAGAGGTAAGGAACGAGAATAAGAGTATATATTATGGGCCCAGTTTAATTCGTAACGTGTATGGCTATTGCTAGCATCTTTACTTACAGGCGATTATTATCATATTCTATTAGGACTAGAGCCTTTGTCCTGTTTAATAGATACCTTGTATAAAAAGAACGTATTAAACCAACGTTACATTTATCTATTCTAAAATTATAAATGCAAAAGTTTGAGTGCATGTCTCTTAACCATATTTTTAAGATCAAATAGCTAAACAGATCTTAAAGAAGTTTAATGTTAATATTTATTTTATCGTATAATTAGACATAATTTAGCTGAAAAAAATAGACTCATATATATGGTATATTATATATGGGTACATAATTAAAATGCTTATAAGTAGGTAGTCCAATTAATGTTATTGCTGAAATATATATGACTGGATAAGAAGATGAAGAAATAACAGCATAAGCAGTCGATATCAATGCGCAAAAGTACAAGTCTGAACGATTACAGGGTGCTATTACAATTCAGTAGTACGACTAAGAACGCAGACTATTGACCTTATTATGTAGTAGTATGCGCAAGTTGCAATAGTGAGTGTTTATTTACACACTTATCCTACTTTAGAAACCAAACACAAACTTAATATACATAAAATATGTGCGTTCCCAGAGCTCCATTATTCACAGGTAACATGTATTTGTGTTAATTGTAGGTACCATTGCAATAATGGTTTCCTCTAATTAATAATTTCGGTTTAGTTAAGTGAAACATTCAATGCAATAAATATGTAGTTTTAATGGATAACCACTTAAGATATCTATAAGTAAATATATATAAAGTGATCATATAGTAGTGACGTGACATTAAATGTAGGTATATATTAAATATCAACTAATGAAGAAGTTACCAACTAAAAATTTACCAATTTTAACTGATGTATTGTTTGCTCTTATAATAGTATAGTAATATGCTCTTGTATTCTCTAGGACATAGAGGTACTTTGCAAAATATATTTTGTAATAACTTTATATGACCACATTAAAAATTACACATTTTTGTAAATATATATTTAAAATATCTATATCAAATACTTATTAATTTGCTTTACCCCGCGGCTTTACATCGAGTACATCACTGCTGCCACTCCTAAGGGGTTGATGGTATGTAGATATTTATTTGTTGTTAGAAGTGCTCGGAACTTAACTCGGAAAAACTATTACATAATATTGTCTCACTACACAAACTAGGAACTCTGTTTTACCCCAATAGGGTTATTCCTACGAAAAATTAATTCATACCTAATTTCCAGAATGTATTTCTAACATACAAATGCATCCTAGTCAAGAGTCAGTATGTTAGGTTTTTCGTTTTTAATATATAAGATTATTAGGTTTATGAATGTACCTATGATCAAAATGTGTGTGTAATGAAAATATATGTTTAATTACATCTCTATCTATGTGTATTTATCAAATATCAAATCGTCAATTACATGTCAGTGATTAATCGTTAGGCTGAACTAGATTAATACTATATTAATAGGTAGGTTGAGACACACACATACATCTAATGATCGACCACCATTTCTCGTTTCACAGTCGTGGTCATCTAAATGCCTTCCATTATTATAGCGAGCGACCGACGCGACGGTTTGATTTGTATGATGGAAGCTCAACAGCCGTGAATTGCAATACGATGGTAGAAATTAATTGGATTCTGTTCACGCACATCGGCTATGTACTGTACATATGTACGTGTCTTTGATGGATACCTATTTCGTACAAGGACGTACAAATCTATTGATATTACAGTCACAATTTTTTCTCGGTTACTAGGTAGTTGGGTTTAAATACGCCTATAAAAATAGAACATATTTCTTCTTAATTAAGTAATATGTATGCAAAAGAAGTATTACAAGAGTTTAACTATTGAAAATCGAATAAGGTTTTATTTATGCAAAGGAATTTTGCCACCACTAAAACCCAAAACAATAAACAATATTTTTATATATTTAATATTTGAATATAAACTTTCCTTATTATCTTATATATTTTTCCTTATATTCTTATTCTTTCGATAGGTTATCTAATGAAGAAAAAATGTGATTTATTAACATTAGTTTTCATTTCAAGGGCGTTGTAACAGTGAATTTGATGATACTATAAGTTAGCCAGCACGGTAATTGTAGATATAACATCATATTCTGAGAGACTGGTGCTCAACAGTGTTGGTTATCATCACGATAAATATGCATAAACATTAAGTAGGCAATGTATTTTATATGTAATAATTTAAACGATGATATTATACTAAGTATAAAAAATAAGACAATTCTGTTATAAAACATTTGCGAAATCCCGAAGGGAACGTTGGAAGTGTAACATTTAATTTGCGTGGAAAATGTGGACTCAAGTTGACAGAGCGGCCGGACCCGACGTGATTCTGATACCTACACATACCCTACAATAAACTGGGTACGATCTATTTTTGTATGTGGCCGATGTAAACGTGTAAATGGTTTCACGATAAGCGTTCCAAATGTCGCAGTGTGATCAAATTCACAAGATAGGGTATTTTTTGGACCGACATGTGACAATTCGATTTAACGAGGCTTACTTTAGCATTTTCTAACTCATTCTCTTGCAGTTCCATTATTATAGTAAAGCAAACTATTGTAATAGCCATTTGTAATTTTGTCAAAACGAAACAGTTAAAAACATCAAGTTTAGTGTAAATAACATTGCATTTAAAATGCGATGGATGAAAACTATACACGAATGAGTAATCATTTTGCGAAATATTTTGCTATAATAAATATTGTAGCCGATGGTTGTTACGAAAGATGTGTACCACGCGGTATTCAAGGGCAATGGAAATAGAAATGTGGAAACGATTGATTCTATTTCCATCTAACATAACTTAAACAAATTTAATTAAACAAGCTTATATTGGTTTACTAGTAAAAGTTTCAAATATCTAAAATATTTGACATTCGTGATTTTCCGAAATATTGCATGTTAAATGTTTTAAAGTGCAAGTTTCAAACAGTATGCAATTTTATACAGAACTTGTTAGGAATGTGACAGCCTACATATAATAAATTATATTATGTATAAGCATAAAAATCTATTAAATGGAAATTGATTTATAATATATTTATTCCACAATCGAAAAAAAGAGAGATTATTATTAAATAATTGATTTTATGGAATTTAACAAAACCGATTTTTATTAGAATCGATTAATATTTGAATTTAAGCATCACTAGAATTTGTAGCTTAATTAACAGTTAGGATGATTAACATAGTCTATACTCTAGGTTACCTGGCTAGTTTGGCACGCCGCCTGAGGCAGCATATTACGGTCAGTGCAAGCAGCGGGAACCCGAATATACAGGACACTATTGGTACCACTATCGATTCCGGGGTCACTGAAATAAATCATATTATTACTATACTGAGTCACCACTTTCTAACTACTTTATTACTACCGCCTTATTTCATATGGTCGTGGGTTCGATTTATCGTATGGTACAAACATTTGTAGTCATGTGTATGATTGTTAGTATTGGTTTGGGTCTTAGAAAACATATATATATATATATATATATATTGTGTATGTATATATGTCATATCTCTTATTACGTGGTTAAATAAATTGTAATATTTACCCATGATGTGGACTATATAGCGGTGTATGAAAACCATGTAAATAGCTGGTCTAAAAATTGGTTTTTTACAAAATTAACTTATATGTGTATAAGCCATAATATTTAAGAATACTTAAAACATATATCTAGAATAATATATAATACTTTAAATATATTACAGTATGTGCTGCATTATTATAGACCTAATTCAATACTACAATTCACACGAATATCTACGGATTTTAATTATCAGAATCTAGTCGCTGGTCATCATAAAGTTACTATCTATGGCTGGGAACACAAAGGGGAAGGCGATCGTCACTGTTATTATTAGATTAGCTCCATATCGCTTACGGTTACGCATAATTTTGTATTGTATTAGATTTGCATGTGTCATACATACTCATTCAATGTGGCATAACTGGAAATCTATTTAAATACAACTACATATATTATTTGGTTGCTATGTTAATTAAATACACACTTGTATTGGTAACTCCGGTATACACCATATCTCTTATTCTCTCTCTTGTATACACCATAAACAAACCCAGTTAACTTTAAGGATAGCTTTAGTTCATTTGGCTCTGCTACGTTGAATTCAAATTTGGTCGGACAAATTCAGTTTAACGGGAACATTCGCAATTACAATGCAATGTTTACGCTATCTGGAAATACAGTGGTATGCACGTTTTTTTACTACAAGTAATGGCTACCAAACTGCAAGCACAGCAAATTAAACATTTTATGTCCCTATACTACATGAGCTGGCAACGCTATAAAAGTCACCTATTGCAATGCACATGATATATTTTGCATATATTATTGCCACTTCTTTAAACTATGCTGTTACGCCTAGGTACTAGCATTTGTTAGCTTCAATACATAAAGAACACTCAGTTGACTAATTTCTTACTTACATTTCAAATTTAGAACCATAGTCACTCACGTGATGTTGGTGGTTGATGACCAATGGACATAAAAAGGTAGGGAACAAGGCTCAAGATTTCAAATCAAACGTTTGAGTTGAAACCTTCTTTCTGTCTGCGGCAACCAAGACGATCATAGGTGGAATATAGCGACGCAATTTATGTGGAGTGTAATTTGAAAAAGGAATAAAAATCAAGTACTGCTGCATCGGCTTATCATTTCTGAAACTTCCCAATACTTTTTACCCTTCAGGCTATAGGTATCAGGTATATAGAATACGGGTACAATCAAGGCCCGTATGGTTCCTACAAGTAGGTACATAAGTAATATCGTGATAGCCATCCAATGTAACCACTAAATATAAGCATGGTAAAAATACTGTTTCAGTTTTAACATTATTTATTGAGCTTGTAATATTATAATAGAGATGTTTGTTAGATTGAATCTTTACAATGGATGCTTTACTGTTATATGTCATAACTATGGGATAGTAGCTGTGCCTGTATTTTCATCCGCGTGAAATTTATAATCTAATTGTTATTCTGATGTATAAGCTATATTACAGTCAATTCCGTTTAGTAGTTTTATGTGAAAGAATAACAAACATCCATTCATCTATCCATTCATATTCACAAACTTTCCCGTTTATAATGTCAGTAAAAAAATATTAACAAGCAACATTGCTACTAATATTAACTTACAAAGCTATAGAAAGTTGTACAAAACTTCTGCATATTAGGTTTAATTTACTGAATAAATTTTCTACTCTTCCTTGTCTTTACGACTCCAAAATGTACGATACTTATGATCCTATATGTTTGACACTGTAATATGCAGTTGCAATTTTGTTTTATTTACGTGACATTAGTCACGTACCTACTGAGTGCGAAAACACAGATTACTTTGCAACAAACTTTACAAATGACTGAAACTCTGTGAAACTGTTACACGTGACCATTTCATCCGAGCTTTGTACAGTATTCGTAATAGGAATATGACGTCCTGTGTACAAAAATCGATTTATGAATTGAATAATAAATAAATATAATATAGATATTTATTGAATAAGAACTGATTTTTCCATAGACGTTTATTTTTTAACGACCCTAATTTTCATGGTCCGGCCTATGGATTTATTTATTCTTTTGGATCACTTCAATGGAAATTCTATTCTAAATTAATAGAAATATTGGATTATTATGATAGATTACAGTTTTTTTTTATTAAATTACTAAACTTTTTATATAATCGAATATTTTTTAACATCCCTAATTATCTGTATTTACTGACGTAAGATAATTTGTGTACCTACATATATTTACTTAATAAAGTATATATGTATAAAAAATATTTACTCGTAAGCATTCATCTAGTATACTGACAGGCAAATTATACATACTACTACCAAACAATATTATAAATGCGAAAGTCTGTTTGTTAACTTTTTAGCGCATTAATGGCTAAAATAATCATGACATTCTCGTAGCAATAAAACGTTATTATTAATATTAACGTTATTTTCTGTCCCAGTGAAGTGAACATAGTTAATGGTAGTTCATATATATATATATAGTTATATATTTAACGACGCGATATATCTTATAATATCTAGTCGATATTAATTTACTAAGGTAAACTTTATAAAAAGATATATGGGTTAACCTATTTCAGCAGTCACGCAACTTATCTTGGTTGAAAGTTGAGACAAGTTAGTAAAAGTACAGGATAAGAGGCATGACATCTTAGTTCTCCGTAATATCAACGCATGAGAGGAATTAAGGGCGGTATATGATAACGTGATATCAGTAATGTTTTTCATGTACGAGTCGACAGTTACAACTTATAATCACGTGGGCCATCAGCTCGATTGTAATTGCATTAACATATAAAGTATATAGATATAGTACATCTTTGGTCTTAGTTATGTTTTAAAATTTTATTATAGATATATGCCAAAGTTAGGGGCTTGAATATAGTTTAGCTTTAGTTTTAGCATAGATAATATAATATGGTTTTAGCTTTAGCTGCTGCCTGCAATTTCGTCGTACGGCCTGAATACTTCGGTTAACTGATATGCACAGGAGCTTATGTCTTTCTGTTAAAGTAGTGAAGGAATTATACAGTTATTTGCGTAATATTATATAATACTATACACGTTTACGGTAAGTTTAAATCGACACTTTCAAAGGTAAATAAAATCCTCTAAAGAAAGAAACCTTTTGAAACAATAATTTTGAAGTAATATCTTTTATGTTGATAACCGTAAGTGGTTTGTTCGCGATCATTGTGCTGATCCTATAAGCAAGACATCTACTAAGCTAGATAAAAATGTTTTATACCAAAATGTATTCATTCATTTGAATAATACTGTATTAATTATGTTTTATATTACATATCAATATTTAAAATAAAAAATTTTGAAATTATAAACAAATGAGTTTAATTAATATAAACTTCTAGCCTTATGTGGTGGGGTTAGTCAAAGACATCATGGTGAGCACAAAAGTTGCCAGTGACAGCAGGATATATTTGAATTCAAATTGGCAGGGGGCAAGCCTACTAGTAGGTAAGCCTACGTTAATAAACCTAATTAATCCTAGAGATCTAATCTATGTTATCTCTAGGATTAATTAGGTTTATCAATTATCATCACTGAAAAGTCAGTCAGAATTATGACTTGACACGCTAAGGCTTTGAGGACTTTCGTGTCCACCTAGAATTTGTTACTAAAAACTCTTTTAAAAAATATAAACAATAATCAAAGTTAATAATAATAATAACTGAAGTAGAAATAAAAACAAATTAAAGATCTTTCAAGGTACATTATACGTTTTTATAATAAATAAATTGCCAGATAACGTTTTGAATATAAATGAAGGGAAATTACATATGTAAAAATAACACTTTGCGTAAAAGCTTATTTAAAATAAACGATTACCAAAATGACAACAATACGTGGACTAAATTACAATTTTAACTTTTGTTGTGACCTATATAATTTACTTATTAACATATTTATTAACGTTTAATATTTGATTATAATAGAGTTACTGTTTACAAATTGATCAATGACATATTGTAATTTAAATGCTGTAAATTAAGTCTTGTACTGGGTAAATACTGTGATTGATACAGCCTATACTCCAAATGCAATGAAAGACGTAGTAGAGTAAATTGAAACAGTCATGCTTGCTATAAAGTAAAAAATTGTGGCAGCATAGTGGGCCGGATCAATAAGCTAATCTAATATGGTTGACCTCAATGATGACTGGCTCATCCGTCATACTCGCGAACGGATGTTGTGGGGACTGGTCTGTTCGGGTTACGGCCACTGATTAGACTATTTCCTTTTGATAAATGCTGCATGCTGCATTTGCTGATGATCACTCTACTCTCACTAATTGAATTTAAAAATGAATCTGTATTTTTGTAAATATGTACAAGCTCATTTGAAAAGAATAAAAGCTGAGTTTCTTGTCAGTTCTTCTCGAAAGCACTCTGAACTGACAGTAGAGTTGACATAGCGTAAGAGTCTGTAATAGAAGGAATAAAAGTCTGGCAACGGCTACATGAATATTAAATATATTTCGATTTTATTGGGTATGAAAAACTGAATATCACACGGATTTCATTAACCTGTTGTCCCCATTACTAACAGTCATCTTCTTTTAAAATTAAATATGTTGTAATCAGAATTACTTGCTAATGCTATAGCATATATGCTCACTATTAAACAACTGAAGGATTTTTCTTGAAGATCAAATACTAAAAATGTATATGAAGATAAATATTTTTTGATAAATCTCAGTTATCATTTATATAAATCCTAACCAGTTAATTATGCTATTTATTTACCTAACGTCAATAAGTAGTTAGGTTAACTAACTGTCTAACATACCTATGTCTGACGCAATGTGCTCTCTGATTAATATTGTTTACAAAACTTTTTGATTAACATAATATTATGTTTTACAACATGCGCCCAAAAATGTAATGCCCTTGTAATATATTTAGCTAGTTTATATATATCAATACATGGTTTGTAGTTTCAATGGATTGCATCAACGTCACTTTCATTAATTAACCAGATACCAGTTATTACTAACGAAATACATTCGATGTTGATTCTTTGTTATTCCGTTCAGATTTATGTATCGAATTAAAAAAAGAAGGACCTCTATTGTAAATATTGTCTGTATGTATTGTTTTGATGATTCCTCCTTTAACGATAATACTATTACTTTTAATTTGAATGTCAATTTTTGTTGGGATAGTTCAAAAAGCATGTAATACAGGTGAATAATTTTATAAATTGCCGAATAACCTTAGAAGTATGGCATAGATCCTGTTCCTGTGTTTTTTTAATAAGGGCTCTTAGAATTTTTTTGAGCATTAAATCAAGCATAATTTCAAAGAGCAGCTTAATAAAAACAGGAAAAAATGTAAATTTTGGACAATTTATTTTAGTACTGTAAAAAAGTAAATAAACTGAGTGAACGAAGCGATTGCAACTTGCTGGCTTTTATTTATTAGTTTACATATCCACACAAATGACGTCGGATATCCACACACATGCTAGCGGTAGAGGTAGCCAGGATTAGATAATAGATATAAATTGTACTAAATTTTAAAATCTCACCTGTGGGGTATATCATGATAGGCGTTGGCCGCTTGCTGCCATTGGCACTAGATTTGGTGACCCCGTTCGATGTGGTGCTGGTGGTTGTTGCTGGTGTGGTCGAACCACCGAACCTTTGCAATAACTGTAGCGGATCTGTCGTGGTAGTTCTTGTCATGTTGCTCAATCTTTAAGAAAATCATATTTACCTTAAAATATTGAATGCTCTTTTTTATAAACTAACCTTAATTATTCAAATATAACCTAAAATTTTATATTCTAAGTTAAAATATACGTCATTGTTTAATATAAGAGATCTTCCTTTTTATTATTCAAAGCTATTCAATCAATAAATCACAACCTTATTATACTGAAGTACTACTTAGAAATATGCCATTTTAGATTGGTGAATCAGTGTTTGCATAATTTTATCCATATTTTTATAGCCTTGAGTAAGAAACTTAATTTTAAATGACCATATGCCAGTAGTTTCTAATGGTATTTTGTTATATCTACTATCTGATATTTGTAGTGTTGTTCAATAGGCGATGTTTCTCTTTTTCCCTCATGTAAATAGCTTCTTTATCATTGTACTTACTAAAAACGATGTGTCCGACAAGGTTAAAAATCTTTACTGTAGAATAGCTATAAGCACTACGGGGAAAAATAGCTTAAAAGTTATGGGCTTTATGTATGCGAATATATACAAAAAACTATATTTTTAAGTGATTTATTTCCTAGGGGAAATTATTCAGAAGTGCTTAAAGACTAAATGCTATAAAGAATAATAGTAAATGGTAATATTTGATTTCTATTTCATGTCAAAGGTGTGCCATCCTTTAGGGTTGTTGTCGTAATATATGAGGGGTAACATGGGCGGCGCTACTTAGTCATATCTAGATTATTATTTCATAAAGGTGGCGGTGGACAGTTTCCTTTGATAAAACGGCCGTCAGCTTGTGTGCCAATTTTACCATTGCTTGTATCTAGCTCTTAATAAAAATTTTGTTTTCGGCTGTGAAATACTAAAATATAAAAGTAAGTAAGGCAATCTCGTAAATCAGAAAACATATATTGATACGTCAAAACATTCGAAGCTTAACCCGATTTTATTTTTACTAACTTTATGTTCTCGAATTGAAGTGAAACGTCTGATCGTAAACTTCATATGACACGTGGATAAGATCGTTTGGCGGTGTTGCCTATCAAAGAACACGTTCTGTGTTGCTTATACTGTAAATTTTCCTTTTGAAAACGATATTTGGCTAAGGTAAATATATTTTTAGTGAATCTAGGCGTCTATTTCGGTGTATACCTACTCTGTAATGTACTGTAGACATAAAACGATTGTGTCATTTATATATAAAATTGGAGTGTCTGTTTATAATATTGAAATAACCGTTTTTTACTACATGCATATGAATAAAAATACGGTATATACACCAAAATAACATTTTTACAATTTTTGTTTGTCTGTCTGTTTGTTCCGGCTAATCTCTGAAATGGTTGGATACACTTTTTTGGCAAATGTAATAAAGAGTAACATTTTATTTTTCTCTTTACAATTTTTGTTAATGTCTGTCTGTTTGTTTTCATTCATAAGTAGGCATTCTTACATCTCTGTGTGGTTAAATAATATGAGGTATGTACAGAAAGATATTGATATATTAATTTCAATTAATAGGCACTACTGTCGTTTTTCATTCAAATACAGTTTTGTAAAATAGTGGAAGTACTTTAGAGTATTAGCAGAAGTATAGATAAGATAATATTACATTAGTAGGAAAGCGTTGTTGCCAATTATTTTACTTGTTACGTTAATATATTATTACTCATTATGTGAAAATGCTAATATTCAATATTAAGTACGACTCTGACCAACTTAAAAAGTAATAATATCTGTAATTTATAAATTATATCTAACATTTCTCTTTGGAGGTTAAAAATTCTTGTTATTGATGAGCTCATGCATTATAATGTTAATTATTAGGAAAGAGTTAATGTCAATATTCATAATTCAGAAATTCCGTATTATTTTTTAAATTAATTTTTTAAGCGATATAATTAAGAAGTATTTCTTTACTTATAAATTTATTCTACTACGACAACTAGACTAAAAGATATAACACTAGTAATAGATGTATAATATTTTTGTGCTAAGAAAGGATAAGGAGGATAGAAAGATACGGCGTAAATAAGAAATTTACGCTGCTTTATATTATATCCTCCTTTTCAAAGTAAGATGCAATATGATCACTTTAGCGATGTAAAACAGAATATTATGCAATTTCATAAATAGCATCATAAACGTTGCCTAGTTTTCAATATTCTAGTTAGGAAAGTTATTCATAGAAAACTTCTGCATTTGAATAATGAAAAAGGGACTTAAACACAACTCGTGCTCAGTAAATTCGTTCGAGTAGTGTTGTAAATATATTTGTATAGTTATTTATGGAGAAAACTTTTGCGACCTCGAGTGCGTTCTGTTGTTCTCTCCAGGCCAACGATCAAGTGGGATTTGTATGCGAAGGAAGTTTATATACTGATTTATACGTTTCCTATTGTGACCGTTTGTTAACCGGTCATAATTCCTAATGTTCGTTAAATGTAAGTAACGCGGAGTATATAATTCCAGCATTCACGTTCCGATGTGACGTTGGAATATGAATAATAAGGACGCCCCATGTGTCTAACACGGCGGCGGCGCCGTGATTATCGTAGAAATTATATATTCTCGAGTATGAATAGAAATGCAAATGGTTGGATTAATATAATTTTATTTTTGCAAAAGAAAAGATCATAATAGCCGAGTTTGTTTCCCGTTGTCTTGACTGAAGCTGTTAGCTGAAATAGGGGGTAATAAATAAATGGTTAAAAATAATATAAAAATATATTGTAGGTAATAAATACTAAACGAGTAAATTAACTTTGACTTTAGGAATAACTTCACAGACAGTAATTTTAGAGTTATACCTACGCAGATAAGATATTATAAAATCCCATTTTTTTATATTGGTATGAATAAGAAAGAAATAAGAAATAAGAACTAAATGTAAAATTCTTAATAAGACAGACAGCTACAGCGGCTTTATTTTGTGTGAATTATAAAAGATTTTCTATACTATATATATACTAAGATTATTATGTAGATTTTAAAAATCATTTTTGTGTATTATAGTATATACTTCAGGTTAGTTATGGCTTTTGTATATTTAAATATATATACACGGGACAAATAGGCAAGACGAGTATTTCAAACAACAGCAGACTACCGCTTTTTACATCCAAAAATAGACGACTTCGTTTAGCACACCGTTCACCGTTAGTTCGGTTCGATGTAAACACAAATATTTATTCATGAGTATGATTGTTTGTATCGTTTGTTTTCTATCTATAATATGTATGTAATTGTATGTACAAAAAGAAAAATGTATCTACGTTTTTGTATCAACCCATAACATAAAGCTTTAGCAAGCTTTACTTAGGTCTACAGGATAAATGCCAAGTATCTCTTACTCAAATTAATTTAATAAATGTGAGTAAAAAGAATTTTAAATGCTGTGGCGTACTATTAAGTACTAGCTACTCGGCCCCGGTTTAGACGGTTACATATTATACTTGTATATAGAAACCTTCCTCTTGAATCATTCTATTTATTAAAAAAAAGCGCTTCAAAATCCGTTGCGTAGTTTTAAAGATTTAAGCATACATAAGGACGGACAGACAGCTACAGCGGCTTTATTTTATGTAATTATTTCTATACTATGTAATGATTTCTATAGATTTTCTCATATTATTATAGTATATACTTGAATCTTTATAAATATATATAGCTGCGTATTTTACTCCTGCCGTTTAAGTTCACCGTTGTCGGTTATGTAAACCATTTTAACGTTTTAATTTACAACTGCCAGAATTACCTTACTTAGGTACACAGGAATAAAGCCACCATAAAACGGAAATTAAATGCTGTGGCGTACTGTAAATAGCATTCATATTATTGTGCATTTAAATGTTAAATTCTTAAATAAATATTAGAAATAAAAAAAGAATGCACTGTATAATGTGCTTTATTATATATGTACCAGCTACTCGCCTCGGCTTCTCACAGGAGTTCAAGTATTATATACCTGCATAAACCTTCTTCTAGAATCATTCTATCTATTAAAAAAAACTGCTTCAAAATCCGTTGCCTAGTTTTAAAGATTTAAGCATACATAGGGATAGACAGCGATAGCCACTTGGTTTTATACTATATAATAATAATTTCTTTGTATTTGTTGAAATATACATGTACAGAATTAAAAATATGCAAATCAGTTTTTCGTTTGTTTGTCAACCTCTGGGTTCTAATGGGTCAACCAAATGTATGATGTCCAGTAAATATTATACGTGGAAGGTACTTTGGAAATGAAGGCATCCTTAATTTTCCTACATAACCTTATTAATAATTTATTAAATTATATTCATCACTATTTTATAAATTTATCTATTTTGCCTATTGTTATAAATTTGAGATTTGAAATTAATAAATAATAATAAATGTACAATACAAATACAATTCCTACCGTTTTCAGTTATTATATCCATTCCATTATATAAATAATTTTCAGTAAGTATGACCATATCTGTATTTTAAAATATTGAATAGCGGTTAAAATCACTAGTGTTGTATATTATTATTGCATTTTTTATATTATTTTCATAGTTATAAAACAGTTGAACCTCGGGCACGAAGTTAATTAAGAAACTTCTTTATCCGACACAAGTTTTAAGTCGCTAAAACTTTATGCTAATACTTACATGGAACAAAATTAATAAGATTGAGCGTTCGTTATAATGCGGCTTCACTTAGCTTGAACATAAATGCTTTGTATCATTTCGGTGTCACAAATGCAGCGCGTTGTATGCATTTTTGTAGTACACAGTTATTAATTACATAATTTATTAAATATAATTAAGAAGAAAGGAATATATTCGAAGGAAATATCAACCTGTACTAAGGTTTTATATTTTTACCGACACGCGAGGAAAATGGGGCAAATCGGGAATTTATTGCAACGAACGGGCGTCCCGTAGCTCTCCCGTCGGTACACTGAGGTCCGGAGCTTAGTCTCAGCTGAAACTGAAACGTCTGAAACATTTTGGAGGCAACCGTTGCATTCCAACCAACGACCCGGTCGCCGCTTCATTAACTTGGTCACTCCAAGCCGTTTCAATTCAACCCCTTCTCGAGTAAACTCACAATCACGACTTTGTAGTGAGTGCTAATTCACATCTCCTTTAGCACGTTGAATTTTATATTTTGTCTTTATTAGAATAAAAGAAATTATTTCACTGTAATAAATTTGTTAAAATCATTTTCACAAGACTGTTTGATACCTCTTTCGTTCAGTTAACGAGACTGTCAAGTGAACGCTGTAATCGAGGAGTATAATGGATTCCGTGGCAATTAGTCAACGTTATTTTCCTCAAAATATTTGCGAAATGAATGATAAATTGCTAGCGGTGGAGATCCAGTAAATTGGTACTGGTACCAATTTTATTGTATCGTAAGAAATTAGATTATATTTTATAGATTTTCAATATTATTCTTATAACATTACTGGGAGAATACATATTTTGAAAGAATACAAGTTTATTTTGTGTCGGCGTGTCCGCAACTTTGATGTCTCCTGTATCCACGTGTTAGAACACGTGGTACCTACTTATTCGTAATGATATTACCTTAGATTAACTTTATTATGTAACAATAAATAGAATGTAACAAACACTAAATGCATACACTATATCACTGAAAAATGCCATTCAAATCAGTTAAGCAACTTCAGAGATTTAGTTATATAAACAAACATATAAAAATTCTAAAAAGAGCCATTCTAAAGAGAGAGGCTGTCAGCTCATGATCACGGCTAGTACAACCTAGTCGAAACGTCGAGAGAGATAAATACTATTATTTACCATAAAATTATTCGTGTTAAAACCCATTTAAGTATATTAAACATCTAAAAAGAATTTTTAATATTATTTAATAAGAAAACACTTTTTATTGTAGATATGTGTTATGTTACGTAAATATACAGTGTACTTAACTTATATTTATTAAAAAAAGAACTAGTCTATGAAATAGCTTAACTGCCTCAATGCATTGATCCTGATAATTAGAATGAAGCAAAAAAACATTCAATCATTCATTTCGTACTAAAATACAAAATGAATGATTTAATGTTTCTAAACTTCGAACCTTAATTAATTCTTCACTAACTTCATCATTCATAGATGCTATGTCTGATATATCAACGAATAACAACAAGTCTAATAGAAGTTTAGCATGCGAGTTTCTTAAGTTTTACATGTGTATAAGTGAATTATGTATACGCCAGCTATGTTTGAAAACATACGAGAACTATGATGAGAAACTGTCGACAAATTATTCGTATCTAACTAGATTTTCAAATGTAAGTAAATTATTGTTAAAACTTTAACCAACATAAAGAGTGAAGTGCATATATGGTGTTTCAGTATATTCACGTAGGTTATAAAAATAAATACAGAGTATACCGATGAAAGGTTGTCAAGAGATTGAAATATATTGTAGAAAAATAGAATTTAAAAAACAAATTAATATAAATTTAGAATACTCTGATTATTAATAACAAGGAAAACGTAATTTTCATCTACAAAAGGATTTTATAAAACCAGAAAGTAATGTCAATAATTTACACAAACGAGAGAAATATGTCACTTTCAATATATCGTTGGAACCCAAAATGTTCCTTCCAGTTGGTTTTAACGCATCGTTGATTTTGTTATAAAGCTTTTCCTGGAAACGAAATATGGTAAGAATGAATGCCAAACACAATAAAGTGGATATTAATAATAAATGTGTCAAGTGCTTATTTTTAGTTTTAGAGGTAGTATACGGTAAATAAATATTTATAAATAAGTTAGTCTATTATTATATTCAGTCGACAACGCATGATTGAAATGATAAGATAAATTTATAGACATAATATGACCTACAGACAACCTAATAAAGCTAATTTTATATTTAGTCTACTTGTACCTTTGTAGAGTTATATTCATATTGCTCTGAACTTTATTCATATGTATGTAACTATTGTTTTGTATAAAATTTGTTTAAGAATATATATCTAATAAATTACGAGTCAACTGATTTAAACTTTATTTAAACCACCACTACCACCACCTCTTAATGGTTCTCCAGTGGTAATGATTATATATCTAAAAAAATTGTGTAACAATTTCGCCACCCTTTATACATATAATTAGTCAAAATCATGTTATCTTACAATATAATTGCTTTATATATGGTATGTATAATTGAGACGCTTGGGACATATTATAAACTTTTAGTTTTGAAACACTCTATAACACAACCTAACGTAAAGAGAGATAGAATAATAATTTATGTAAATATAACCAAATTATAGTTTTAGAAAGTTCTTTAAATATTAAAAATTTTACACTTCACAGTGTGTATAAAAATATAATACCGAAAAACATATATTTGGAAAAAATTGGAGCGACTCGATTATAATAAAAACAAGATGGATGCAGGTGATTCAGGAGCATTGTTTATGATGATTTATGGGGGGTCTCTATGTTCAGTAGTGCGCAAAGTTTAGGCGACTGCAATAATGACGGATGGTGATGGAAAAGTGTGGGACGAAGATGTATGATTGATTATACGATAAAAGTGAGCGACTTAGATCTGTAAAATGCAAGACAATATTTGTGTCTTTATTTAAAGTATTGGCAGATACTATGTATATTTTACTAAATATACAGAATAATCTCTATTAACATAAAGAACGTTAGATCATATTTTATTACAGGGTTACTAATAGGATGTATACCATTTTATTGTAACTATAAATTTTTCGATTTTTTCTAATACAGTTGGTTGTAGCTGCCCATTACAGCTTCATCAAACGATGGGGGGCGAGTGCAGAAGGTAGTCCAAACGTTAAGAAAGCAGTTGAAGGCCAACTCCATTCTGACGGACACGACTTTAGTATGTGGGCACCTCTAGGGGGTCGAATCTAGAATATGGCTATCATAACTTCCATCCCCTTTTGAATTGAACGGATTGGATTAATAATAATGAAATGAAATCAATTTACACAGAGTCAACGTGGACCACATCTCAACATGCTAGAAACATGGTTTTTAGTGCTAATGTTCACACATAAATTATAATAAAAAAATAATATAGCTATTAGTACGTAAGATACTACCTCTTGGCGCCAAATAATTGTTTAAATTTCATCTGGAGAGAAATAAACCAATACTTGAGATTTATAAAAAAACCTCTTTGATATAAAAAGGGTTAATTTTCCTGTCCAATGGAACAGCGAATTGTTAAATTCTCTTTTAAATTTTGACAAAAATTATACAATGGTACCGAAAAAGAATAAGAATCTTTCGCATCATAATAGTATCTAGGTATAATACATAAAAGCGTAAAATTTTCTCATTGCACATTATAATAATTTATCGCATTTTCTTTTCAGCCTCATACATTTTTAAACAGTTAAGAATTACGCTGTAAAAATGAATGGAGGCAATGTAGCCCATATCGTTATTTATGACTAGGCCTTATAAAATTAAGTATCACTTATTACATTATGTAGTACTTATTAAATTAAAAAATATAACTAAATATATTATAAAGTACAGATAACTGAATACTTTGATATACCAACAAAAAATAGTCTTCGTTCGAAATGTTTAATTCTCTGATGGTTGTTAACATGGTTAATAAATCAATGAGGGAAGTAGACATGCCACTGCAGAGGGTCTATGTACAGAGAAGGTAGGTAGTTATCGTTTCATCGTACTAGATACGGACCCTAGCTCATATACCCGCGGGTAGCAAACAATAGAGTTATTGTACGGGTAGTAAACCGTACAACAAAACAACCCTATTGTTACAACCTGTGCCGTGTTCGTTTTCCTTTATTTGTGTAAGCGTGTATGTGTAAACTTATTTATAGGGGTCTAATCATGTTTTATGTCCTATTTTAATGACTTTAAAAAAGTCAGGATTTATTGTCAATTTTGTTGGAAAGAAATTTTGTTTTGCGCATAATATTACTTATATATTTAAATATATGTATTTACTAGCTTTTACCCAACAACTTCGTCTAAATAGAATTTAACTTTTTATTTATTAATACAAATAAAATATCTATAATAAGACAACGTTCCGTCAAAATCGACTAGCTTTTACAGAGATTACAACAAACAGACAAAAATTTTATAAAATCAGTTTTTTGATATAAATACCGTACCGAAAGTATATTACTTTCGTATGCATTTAGTGAAAGAAAAGTGAAACTGTTAATTTTAAATTACAAACCGTCACTCCAATTTTATTTACATGTATCGATACTTAATTCAGTGAAATTACAATGATATACGTATTTATTGATTCTGTTCGAAATGTTTCGCGTTCGAGGGTATATAAACCCTAATTTTCAGGAGGGACATCAATAGCCAAGTATAAGGGGTGCCATAGAGTACATGCTGACACGCTTTTATTTTTAAATAAAATATAGTAGTTTTGTTTTTAAGTCATAAAAACATAGTAATTTTTGACAAATAAAAATAGTATAAAATTATCTGTTTTATTATTTTGTCCTTAATTATATTGTGTAATTCTACACTCCAGCTCACAGTTAAAAGAAACGCGTTTTTAATGCAGTACAAAGTATAATAAGATACTGTATGTATAGGTATTAGATATATGTATATATCTACATCCTACGGAATCCTAACCTATGTATATTGTATAAAGGTTTCTACAATATACATAGGTTAGGATTCCGTACGATGTATACTTTGTGATATTACTTTATGAATTTATTAATAAATTCAGACAAAATAAAAACAGACTTATAAGTGCAAAGGAGAGATTACGATGCTAAATTGTACAAATGCGACTAAATAATACTAAATACTAGAAACACCAGGATTACTACTATTAAGTGTATAAGGTTTCACTAAATAAACGTTTGACCATGAATGAATGTTAATCATTGGCG